GCGCACACACACACACACACACACACAAGAAAGCAAACAAAGAAGAGAAAACAAGCAGCGGAATTGGGAACTGGAAGAGATGAATGTACAGGGGGGGGTGTCTTGCCTCGTTTCTCGGCGTTACATAACAGTGGACGCAGCGCCCCATCAGCGGCAGCCGTGGCAGCAAGAAAAGAATCGAGGAACCCGAAAAGAAAACAAGAAATACTACAGTAATCATCACGCGCAAACGACCCAAAGAAGAGAGCATTCAAGTATATAAATGAAACATTAACGGCATACGACACACAACAGACCCGTAGTCTGGTGCCGGCAAACATACAACAAAGTGGTCCACATTATTTTAGAATATCTGCCAATGACGCTACCTCGACCGTGTTTGACTTGACCTTTGGTCCCGCCATCGCGCCGCGCTTTTTTGTGGCTGCCACGGCGGCCTCCTGCTGCGCCTCGCGAGCAGCCCGCTTTTCGAGCTTGCGCTGCTGCACCTTCTGCTCCTGCTCCGCCACACGCTTCTTCTTGACGCTGCGACCAAAGAATCCAGAGTGTTTCTCCAGATCCGCGATGCTGCGGTCGATGGTGCCGAAGAACGAAGGCGGCTTCTTCGGGTCACGCCCCACCATAATGTCCCTCTTGTCGCGCTTCTGGTAGGCGGTGCGCTCTGTCCAAATGGCCATGAGGCGCTCCCGCGTGTCGCGGTCAACCTCCAGCGCGCGGGCCTCGAAGCAGAAGCGCACGACAAACGTTGGGCAGTCGTCGAAGTCTTCGAGCAGCTTATCCTGCAGCAGGTACTCAAAGTCGACCGGCTTGCGCACCGTGAGCAGCGCCTTGCACAGCTCGAGTGCTCGCTGCGCCAGATCGAGGATACCGCCCTGCTTGTCGGGGAAGTGGTTCTGCCACATGTCGACGGTCAGCACGATATCACGCTGCAAGCAATCCACAAAGATGAGCCAGCTCTCGAGGGGGTTCTTCTTGGGGTTTCGAATGTGGTCCGCCAAGAACTCCATCAACGTGCCGATGTACTTCTCCACGTTGCGGATGAGCATTTGTCGAATGAGCTTGCGAGAACGCTGCTCCTGCAGCATCGTCTCGAACTCCTCGCCGATGTATTCGGCCTCGGTAGATAGGATGAGCTGCACCGGGTTCGTCGCGTCGGAGTACCACTCCCCCGGACGGAACACCTTCGCCCACTGCCCTTCGACCACTCGCTCCACCTGCCCGGCGATCTCGTCGAGGTAGTAAAACGTGTCCACCGGCAGCGCGTCCTGCACTCGTTGAAAGGGCGTGGCAAAGGCGTCGCCGGCAGCCTCAGCCGCGCCGCCGCGTCCGTTGTCATCTTCGACACCGCCGCCGCCACCAGTAGTACCATTCGTGTTTCTGCTGCCGTTGTCCAGCCCCGCCGGGCTGTCGTAGTCCCAGCAGGAGGCGAATTTCAGCTCGATCGTGTCGAGGTTGTTCTCGATCGTCGTGCAGTCGTTGCAAAAGGCGTAGAGAAGGAGCATGCGCCGCTGCTGCCACACCTCGGCTGCCTCCGGCGTCGGCAGCGCGGCGTTCATGTCCTCCCAGTAGTCAAAGTCGCTGCGTTGCTTGCACTCGTCCAGATAGGCGTAGATGGAGTCCGCGCAGGCCTTGCCGATCTGCCGCATCACGGACACGTCGATCGCGGTGTTCAGTCCACTCAGTGACTGCTGTAGCACGCTGAACATGTCCAGCGGACCCGTCGTGATGGGGAGCCCAGTAGGTAAAATCGTCGGTCCCTTCGGGTCGTTGCACACCGTCATGGCGCATGCGCGGCAGAGACGAGTGAGATGCTCGGACAAACCCCCCACGGCGGCCGTCATGAAGGATGCCGACATCGCGTCGATCGTTGACACGTCCACGTACTGGGCGAAGTTGTTTGTCGTCATCATCTCCTTGTACCATTGAATAAACAAGGAGGCTTCGATCAGCCCGTTCGCCTCCACTTCCGCCTCGGGGTCCACGTAGCCGTGCATCACGTTCATCACCTCCGCATGCACGGCCTGCACGACCAGACTAAACAGAGAAAACTTGGTGGAGAGAGGAAACAGCGTGAGTTCAAACGCCTCCAGCAGCGGCTCGATCTTTTTCATTTGCTCTAAATAGACGGAGATCTGGCGAAAGGGGTCCACCACATCCTGCATGATTTGCTCCTCCCACAGCTGCGACACACCCTTCGCCACCGCGTCGTAGATGGTGTCCTCGCTGATCTGCGGCTCCGTCTCCACGCCGTCGCTGCCGAAGTTGAAGGTCGGCTTCTCAACTTCGCTGGCGCACACCGCTACACACTGCCGCAGTGACTCAAATGGGTCCGGTGGGGCGTCGTCGACGGCGCCAGACTTCGCCCCGCCCCCACCAACGCCGCCGATGCCTGTGTACCGTCCAGCGCGGGTGCCGTCCGTCGGGTCGTCTTCTAACGCTTTTTGAATCGCAATCACCATTGCGTCCTCCTCCAGAAACTTGAACACCTCGCCCACGAACATGCTGAGGATGACATCGAGCTTCTCAAAGTACGGCTCAAAAACGGTCTGGAAGCTGCGGTAGCGCGCCCCGGCTTTGGTGATGACGGTGCGGCGAATGAGCTGCAACTTGCGCAGGCGAATATACATGGACCTGAAGTTGCGCTGCTCCACCAAGACGTACAAATTACCGTAGCGGACCTCCTTGAGCGCGTCGGACCAGTTGATGACCGAGCTGACGTTGTCGCGCAGGTAGTGCAGCTGGCGGAGGTGCTTGTAGCTCAACGTGTCGGAGCCCAGCCCCTGGATTAAGTCGCCTTGCTTCAGGAACAGCTCGCGGAGCTGCTGCACCTTGCTATAGTTACGCTGCACAATCTGCAGTGCGCGCTGGGCCTCCACAATCTGCGAGGACGCGATCGAGTTCATGGCACGCCGCAGCTCACGCGACTCGTTCTGGCACGAGCGCAACATCCGCGGCACCGTCACCTCCAAATTAGTATTCAGCTGGAGCTCTGTATTGAGTGTCCCTAGCACCTCCTGGCGTAGGTTCGCCTGCTCCTCCTCGGTCAAATAGGGCAGCAATTCTTCAGCGGTGTAAAACTGGCCTTTCGCGCCTGCTGCGTTGGTCGCGTCCGCAGCTGAGCCTCCGCCGCCGCCGCCGCCGCCACCACTGCCGCCCGAAGAGGGAAGCGTCAGGAAGCCATTGCGGCTGCCGCTCACCACGTCGGTGGTCCGCTGCTGTCCCTTCGAGATCGACCGCGACATCAAAGAAAAGAACCAAAACCTAAAAACATATGGCAACACCGCAATAACTACTTCAAAGGAAATCTAAAACAGAAAGGCGAACACCTGACAAGTCGGTGGCGGTGGGCAATTGTCTGTGCTCCACTCTATTGCCGCAAACTACGTTTTGTTCAGCCCGGTACCGGGCGACGTGGACAGGTGTGCTGTACATGAATCCCCCCGGTGCGCACCCGACGCAGCAGACGGTTTTGCCAAAGAGGCATTAAGGGAGAGGGGTTGGAGAAGGTAAAACACAGGAGGAGAGAAGTGTCGAGTAGGAAGACGAGGCAAAGCCGTCCACAGGGTCGAACCCTAAAGGAGAGTTCTCAACAAAGAGTGGGAAATGTGCTTCAAGCGGCCATCACAAAAGCTGCTGACTTCCTGGGGCCCCGCGAGTGCAGAAGAAAAAAAAAATGTGAAACACTTTATGAGAACGGCATGAAAGGTTTAGCGAAAACTCCAGCGACGTTGCAGAAGACCGATGGCCCTTCGCCTTTCTCACCGATGAGCGTATCTCCTGCGCCCTTGCGGTGGCCCTTGCGGGAACGAATATATTTACTCAGAAAGCTCATGTTTTCCCTGTCCTTTGGTATTTTTTGTTTGTATTATGCAAGTGTGCTGCCCCGTGATCATACAAGCACACACACAGAAACACACACGCTATGTGAGTACCAACATAACCAACACCACAACCCCCTTCGTCAAAGCAGCACAAAACGAGCAGCTTGAGGAAAGGAAAGGAAAAGCGAAGAGGAAAGCTTGCAGTCACGTATAGCTTTCTCTTCCTCTGGCCGGCACAAAATGAAAGACCCTCAAATCGTTCTTCACGTAAAATGCCACGCCTCAATAAATCTCTTTATGTAGGCGCCGGCGACTTCGACATTTCTTCGTACCAGCAGCTTTTTAATGGTGTTACTTTTTGGTTTGTCTTACTTCTTTTCCAAGGCCTCCTTGCGTTTCAAGAACGCATCAACGAGGGCATCAGCGCGGTCGTCCAGCGTCAGTTCGGTGTGACGAGAGCGCGCCTCCACCGCCTCTGGCGACGTCGCCACGAGCTCGTACTTCAACGCCTTCAGCCGCTCCGCCTCCCGCAGGTAGTCCGGCACGATGTGTTCCGTCTGCTCGTCCATTCGCACCGCCTCCTCCACCTCGTGATCCAGCTGCTGCACCACACCGCGCAGCAAGATGGAGGAGTGCACGTTGAGGCAGCCTCTACCGCCAAAGTAGCCGCCCGCAAGCGCGATCCAGCCGCTGTAGCTGCGGAAGAAGGCCCAGCGGTTGCCCAGCGCGAGACAGACAGCCATCGTCGCGACCATGTTGCCGCCAAAGTACCCGTAGAACCAGTAGTTGCTATTGGCGACGGCCGCGTAGGCCTCCCTAGACTTGGTCATGCGGGCGCGGCTATCCTCCAAAAAAACGTTCGCCGTCACGAGGGCCTGCTCGTACCTCTCAGCTTGGCTCAGCGGCTTCGCAGATTTCTTGTTGCTTGCTGCGGTCATCGGGCCGCCCAGGGAGAACATGCTCCCCTGTTTTGATTGCGAGAACATGCTGAAATGACTTTCGAAGCAGGGGAACAGCTAAAGGTATGCTTTAAAGTTGTCGCTTGAAAGGGGAATGGTCAGCGTGTACGCTGAAAGGGAGAAAGAAGGAAAACACCCACCAAGGACGTACGTTGCTTCGAATGCCCCCCGTCAATTTCGACTCACTGTGTGACACTGATAGCTGGAAGAGGGAGTGGACAACAGCCGCGCAACGACCTCGCGTTTCTTTCAAATATATATATACGAAAAGAAGAGTGCAATAAATATCTTTTTCGTTGTGTGTTTTGAATGCAGCTGTGAGAGAGAGGCAGTTGGAAATACATACATAAAAACAGCAGTTTAGAAAAGGCAAGGGCAACAAAACTTTTCAAAAGTTGAAGCACACGCACGTCGCGCAGCGGCCCTATCCTTGTCGGCGGTCGCTGATTTCGGTTCCTCTCTGCTTCATCAGCCGTGGTCAAGCAATCAGGGTCCTGTCGTCCGTTGCTTCGCACGCAGAGCAGCGGCAACACCTGTCACATTGTGTGTGTGTGTGTGTGTGCGATGCGAGTTACGTGGCTCGTGCAGCTCAACTGCCTTTTCCTTTGAAAAAGCTTCTCTATTCGACGCATGAACAGAAATTCCTGGAGTGCCAGCCTTTTTTCTTTCAACCCCGCTGCATTCTTCGGTCGCGGTGGCTCTCATCTTTCATTATTATTATTTTGTTTGGCTACGTCAGCATTTACGTGGGGTTTACAACGTTAGAGACAGCAAGTATTAGGTAATGATGGTGGAGTCCCGCAAGACAAGGGGAGAGGGCAGCGAACCTTGCAAGCTCTCAGCGTTGCTTGCCTTCCGCAATGAAACACAAAAGCATGCACCACTCACAACAGACACCAGAAATAGAAAGAGGAGAGAACTCCACACGGCTCTGTGAATATCCAAAAAAAAACACGCGGGGAACACAACGACGTCTGCCTCAACAGAGCAGCGTCGCCCTCGAAGAAAAAAGGCGCTGCTGGCGACTTTATGTAAAGAGACCTCATCTGCAAAATGCTCTAGCTACGCTGGACTCCTATTCAAAGTGAGAGATGCACAGCTCGCACCTACCTTGGCGGGCGAGTCCCAGCATTACCGTTGCACAGGACGAACCACAAGCTCGGAGACAGGCGTGTACCGCACCTGCGGATGGTCAGGGGTGTAAAACCCAAGCCCACGAAGATCACTGTTGAGGGCACCCTGGCTAAAGCCGGGGGCGAGGTTGCGCGCCGTTACGTGGTACTTGTCGAACAAGGCCTTGTCGCGGCGGTACACAAAGCGGGCACGGATCTGGTTCACGTTGTGGAGCGAGGGCGGACGGTCCGCCACGGGTCGCTGCAGCACCGGGTGGTGCGTCACCGACCGCAGCTCCTTGCTCCGCAGCGACCGCAGGAGGGGGGTGGAGGCGTCGTACAGATCTGTCGTGCGCGCCACAGGACTGAACTCCGCCTTCAGCATGTGATGCGGGTTGCGGGCGGGGCTTAGCTTGCTCATGATCGTGTGCACCTTCACGAGCGGTAGGTCGCGCGCCAGGTACGCGGCAAGGGTCCACAGCATTAAATCCTCGTCGCAGTACGTGCCGGCGTCGTGCAGGTACAGCTCCTCGCTGAGGGGCAGCAGGATAGCACGGCCGGACTCCAACTCGTAGGCGACGATGTTCAACGCACGGTCCGCCCTGCCGCGAATCCTCTCCGTTCGTCCGTACTGTGCAGCGGCTTGCAGCGCGCGCAGGCAGCTAGACGTGACGATCAATGCATCCTTGCCGCTGCGCAGGCGGCGCACTACCGACACGAGCCCGCTCACGTGCGTCGACACCCCGCTCGAGTGCAGAACAAATACGTTGTCCATCGACTTGATGAAATCAAGATTCGCCGTGAAGGTGCGCACCGGGTGGACACGTCGACCTTGGAAAGCGGCGACGTAAGGCACCGGATGCGTGCGGAGGTGTGCGAGGACGGCGTTGGTGTCCGGCAGGCCGCCCTTCACGGTGCGCGTCAGAGGATACACGCTCCACGACGGGTCCTGCGCAGTGAGCCGATCCGCAACACTCGACATGTGCGGCACCGCCTTCAGAATCGCCGTGTCGAACCCCTCGCGTTGGGCAAGCGTGCGCGCGAGTTCCTTGTCGTCCAGCGATTGTAGCAGCTCCGTTCCACCCTCCACCAGCGCCTGCAGCAGCGGCTCGTCTTGCGTTGCGCGTGCCCTCGCAAGACTCGCCGTCAGCACCTTCAGCGCGGCCGCCTTTACCTCTGCTCGCCTGTCCTTCGACACGCCGGAGAAGAAGTCCGGTCCGCGTACGGCCGTCAGCGACGCCGCCAGCTTCAGCGGGGGCGTGTCGTCGCGCTCGCGGAACAATGGAGCAGAGGAGCCGGAAGCTCTCCTGTGTCCACGCAGCTGACCGCCCAGCAGTGCATCCAGCACGGCATCGCGCTGCACGTCCATGACTTGCAACAGCATGTACAGCCGCTCTAGCTGCTCCGCGTGCTGCGGCGTGGTGAGCTCAAAGTCCAGGCGCGACCACTGCCGCCAAAGCTCATCCAGCAAGGCAGTCACCACAGCAGAGGACGCCTTACCGTCTGGCATGACGCCGGCGAAGCCAGCGAGCACATCCAGAATGTTGTCCGGCGTCCACGTTGCCGTCAGTCGAAGCGCACGCGCCGCATCCTCGTCTGTTTCCTTCAGTGGAAGAGGCACGTCTGCGTTCTCATCCACTTCATGCCCGCTCGTGACAATGTCTTCTAAGAAGTCCAGCAGATTTCGCCCCGTCGTTACGTAGGCCGTGGTTTGGTTGATGCCACGAGGATGGGAGTAGTCCGCACGGTTCTGCATCGAGTTCGCCGTCAGCGAGTACCACTTGTTCGGTTCCATGATCTTCACCAGCGCTAAAAAGTGAAGGACCTGGGCGAAGAGGTCCGGTGACTCCGCCAGCCGCTGCGGCTGCGCCTCCACAAAAGCCACCGTCATCGCATCCACAAGCACCACAAAGGCCTTCGTCAGCTCACTGGTGACGGTGTAGCCGCGACCGAACTTGACCACCTTCGTCACCAAGAACTGCAGCCCATTACCGTCCCACGTGAAGAGAGAACTCAACTCGTAGAGAATGCGCGTCAGCTCCTCGTTGCTGCGCTTCTGCAGCGTAGAGGCGAAGTCGAGCACTGTTGCGGTTCGCGCCTCCCGCTGCGGGCGGTCCCAGAACTGCGCTAAAAGGTCCTCCACGCTGCGGTCGCACTCGAGAATATCAAGCAGCGGAAACTGTGGGTGCGTGTGGTAGCCGCCCAGCTCGTTGCCGTCCCCATCATTATCCTCCGCATCGTTCGCCGCGGTCGAAGGCGTTCCTACCGCTGGAGAACTGGAAGATGCACCGCTGCCTGGGTGTGGCACCACCACGTCTGTCATCGCTGCGGATGTTGCATCATCCATGTTCTCGGTGTTTAGATCGCCCCATAACATGGCAGCCGTTAAGACCTCTGCGCTCTCCACCTCAGGCTCCAACTGTGACATCATCGTTGCCGTTGTGGCGGGCCGAGAGTTTGACTTACGAGGTCTAGCCGCAGCAGCAGAATCCATCCGCAGCCGCGCTTCTTCAACGTCGGGTACGTTGCGCAGCCGCACCGGTCCAAAGCCGAGCGACTCGTCGTGCTTTGGCAGTGGGAATGGGGTAAAGTCCGCTGGTACCTGTTTGGGGTACATGCTCTCGGGCAGGGGGCGGTACGACACACGTGGGGGAGGGGGCGGCGAAGAGGCCGGCGCGGCGGTCGTGGTTTCTTTTTGTGCAGCTGTCGACGATGACAGGGAAGAGGAAGAAGACAGAGGAGGCGGTGGCGCCTTGTCAAACCGCATGCGCCAACACCGGCTCGCGTGCAACGCGCCTACCACGTCGCGATGAGCCGCGATGCATCGCTGGTGGAGGCCTGGCATGATTGACGTTGCAACGCAGGTAGAGCTTGGAGGGAAAATGCCTTGTTGGGAGCGGAAAGAAAGATAATGCCAAGGGCCAATAAGAGCTCAAAAAAAAAGGAGGAAGAACGCGCAGATCTCCCTCTCCCTCTCTCACACACTGTTGACAAGCAATGCACTGTTCGATAAACAGGGGCGGGTGTATGGCAAAAAAAAAACCACAGAGATGAGTGATTCCGCGCAAGAAGCAAAAACAAAAATGGGTGGAAAGAAAGTTGTGAGGGGGATTCACGAGAGAGCGCGCTGCAACACGTCGCCGAAGTCAGCAGAATACCCTAACGAAAGGACAGCAATCGTGGAAGAAGAAAAGAAAAGGCAGAGACGAGTCGCTTGCGCAAGCACCGACATACAGATTGATGAATGCTGATGAGCCTTCTCCGCTTCACAACAGGGCTCCGAGCACAGTTGTGATCCTTCTCTGTTTCATCGTCTTGTTGTTTGTTGTTGCTGCGTGGGGGGTATTCGGACGCAGAGATACGGGAAAGAACAGGTGCTTCGGACACGATAACAACATAATAAAAGATGCAAACGGTGGACGCGCTGGCGGCTATCGATCGAATTCACCGAGCGAGAGCACACACACACCAAGGAAAAGACGCCGAGACAGTGGCGCTCATACAGGCAGGACCTCTTCAGCGAGTTCACACGTATCAAACAACCTGCTCCTGAAATAGGGATAATAACGTGTATAGGTAATCAATTTTCCTTTTTTAAGCGTAGCTGAATATGAGAGACGGGCACACGCTCTAGCACCGGATGGCTAACGGTCACAGCAGCAACAAGGCAAATTGTGAGAAGAAAAAGCAAAAACCGCAGCAGCAGAAGAATTTTAAAAATGAGGCATTTTCTTTTTTTGGGGGTGTAGAAGAACGGGGCCCCCACGCACACACATGCACACACCACAGCGGACATTTACGCAGACTTTGAGCTCCCACCATCCTATCACAAAACGACTGATAAGATCTCTTCCAATGTGCCCCCTCGCAGAAACAGAACGGCACGCAGTGAATCCTTACAAAAAGTTCAATGCGTTGTGAGTAACAAAGCGAAAAGGAAAACGAAGAAAAGAACTCCTCTACAGAAGAAAAGAGCGAAGAAAGAAAGATCGGCGCGATGTCTCTCTGCCGTGAATTGACGCACCTTACGTGGGGTGGCTTTACGTGCGTCCCCGTTGGTTCTCCACTTCACCCCATCCGCAGCACCGCAGCGAGGAGCACGCAAATGAGGACAAAGGCAAAAAATCTGTTCTTAAACAACGACAGAACATCTCCTGCCGCCGTCTCCTCCTCCTCACGCTGCGCTCCTTTGCTTTTACTGCGTGCTGTTCTCCGCGCTGCAGCAGCAGCAGCAGCAGCGCCGTTACTACCTGCAGGCTCCTTGGCTCGCAAAAGATACACATTTTGAAGCGGGTTCGACTCCGTATCAGCTTCCGACTCCTCACCGTCCTCACCCGTGGAGCTCCCTCTCTCCTTGTTGTCGCCACTAGCACTGCCAGCGGATGCCCCGAAGGCAGCCGCGCGCGACCCGAGCCTGAAACGCTGCCACGCAGGGACGTTGTCGCTCATGCGCACCACCGACGACGACACGACGGTGTGCACCCAATCCAGCTCGTCCGCGGCAAGTTGCTGCAGCTGCGCATCATAGGCAACATGCTCCTCAATCAGAAAGGAAAGGTCGTCGACCGAGCCGGGGAACATGAGTTGCATGTGGAGCCGCGCAATGCTGCGGTTGCAGACTCCCTCCAGCGCTAAGGCCCGGTGCTGAATCATCTCCAACCGCTCCAGCGTCGCCGGCGCGTCGTTCCCTGCTAAGGTTTCGTGCAGTTCCTTTTTGGCATCCTTCCTCTGCCGAACGAGGCTTGCGGAGAGCAACACGAGGGCGTCGTTGTCGGTGGCGCGGACGCGGCGCAGAATGCGGTTCAGTCGCTCGTTCTCCTTCAGCAGTACGATGTCCAATAAAATGAAGTACAGCAGCACGATGGCTGCTGTAAGCAGCGGCTTGCGAGTGGCGCCGGCGACCGCGTTCATCACTGCGGACGCGCCGCTGGTTGCGGTAGAGACGGCAAGCGACAGCGCATCCTCCTGCTCTCCCTCCTCGCCATCCTCTTTGCCTGCCAGCGAGTTATTGGAGCTGTTCGCGCCACCGCTCTGCTGCGACGGCATCGAGTTGTTGTTCCCTCCACGGGACTGCCCGTCCGACTCGTTGTCGTTCGACTTCACAAAGAGGACGAGGTTGCTGCGGCGCTGCGAGGAGTTGGTGCCGCCGCCGACCGTTCCGATATTTCGGAAGCTCGTCGTCGCGGCCTCCGAGCCGGCGCCGTTCACCGTAAGGTTCAAGTTGGGCTGCCGCACACTTTGGCCGTCGTCCGTCACGGCGCCGCTGAGCGCTAGCGGCTGGTGCGCCGCTTCGGCACCGCTGATGAGCATGGTGGAGAAAGAAACTGTCAAAAGGAAAAGAGAAGAAACAACGTTGGACAGCGACAGTCCCCACACAATTCGCTCGTGCAACTAAGCGTCTCAAAACGGTGCTCCAGTGCAAAAACCTAAAGTGTGGAGAGGAAGCTGGGAGAGAGAAGAAAGAAAGAAAGAAAGCAACAGATTTTTATATGAGAGGCCAAGGATCATACCCACATATGTACAGATATATATATATAGGTGGCACCGTTTGACGATGAGTACAGCTGGCAAAACTGGCCCGTCCTCGACAGTGTGTGCTTTCTTTCCTTGTTTGGTGAGAAGTACGACGTCGTAACACTCTCCATAGGAAACCGATCGAGACGTTGGAAAGGAAGGGGAAGAGAGACAGAAATTGGTAAAGAAAGAAACAGAACAGAATGGAGTGCGTGCACTGTCCTCGATCGAGGAAAGTAACTGAAGCCGAATTTTTAAATCGGTACTCACCTTTAAATTCGTAGAGAAGAGTTTCGAATGAGTGCTCATCCGTGGCGCTCTACCGTATTTTGCACAACCGCATTTCCAAGGACAGTGAATGAAAGTGAAGCTGGGCATTTTGTTCTCCTCTTGTTTTAGTCTCATGTGATGCATGTAGAACCATGCGTAAGCGAAGATGTGACGGGAGGAAAACATATATATGCATTTAGGGGCCGTGACGTCCACCGAGGCGAGATGTGATACCACCACAAGGTCAAGACTGTCGCGATGCAGAAAAAAACAGCAGCACGTCACTTACTTCTTCATGTGGCTCCGGTTTAGTCGCGCTCATCGGGGTCCAGCAGCTTATCCGCGCGACGGCGGGCACGTTTCGAGGCATCGATGATGGGCTTAAACCCGATATCGACCACCTCTCCCCGATCGTTGCGCACGTACGTGAACTGCGCTGCCTGCTCCGCGATCGCGGCGTCGGTGTACTTGAAGAACATCACATAGGCCACGTACACGATGAAGGAGCCCCAGCCGACCACCCAGATACCCTTCAGCGAGCTCCAACGCCAGCCGTACTGCCAGCGAGTGGGCAGACGTGGTCGCAACTGCTGAAAGACATACCCGCCTGCACTCTTGGGCAGGTCTGGCATTCCGGGACTGCGCGCCGCAGGCTTCTTGCCGCCGCCGCCACTGCTGCGACGCCGCCTTCGCCGCTCTACAGTTGGTCGTGGAACATCGAAGCGCTGCAAACACCGTCGCAGCATCGCCGTGAAAACACTACGGAAGAAACAAACAACAAAAGAAGAGGAAGCGGAGACTTCGCACAGCAGAAATCACCACAGCAAGTCTCCGTTGAACTTTTCGATGGAAGTGGCCGGTGGTTTTTGCCATTTTTTGTTGTAGGAAAAGGAGTTGGTTATGTAAAGAAAAAAGGGGGTAGTTGAAACTGTAGAACAGAAAAGATTGTACAGCGGCACCGCCAAATACCTGCGTTGTTCTTCTGGTCCCGCTCTATTACTTTTGCTTGCCATTGGAACCGCGAAACGTATTATACGCAAAGAAGTATCGTGCATTTTAAGTTGGAGAACAGCTGTCAGCCCGGCGACCAGCTGCCCGTTCTACCTCCCCCTTCTCACACGATTCATTCCAGGTGCATGCTACGGCAGTCGCTTTACGCTTCACCACTCGTTCCGTCCGAAACTGCCAATCCGGAACAGCAGAGTGGCCCGTCGTATTGAAAATAAATGTCAGCAATTATTTGTTGTTAGTATTGCAGATAGGCTTGTTACGCGAATAAATAAACAAAAATCCAGGTCTTAAAGGACAATTAGTGGAGCACGTTTGCGCAAGCAGAAGTGTTTGGGGAAAAAAGGTTGAGCTTCTCTTCTTTTGTCGAAAGAGAATCCCACTCACCGTTTTCCGCTTTCTGTTCTTTTGCAGGTGGGTCACCCGGCTCGCTCGTGATTCGCCTTCTTCTATCCCGTGCTCTTGGCGCTGTTGTGGATTTCGGCGCGCATGCTTTCGTAGTTGGCGCGATCGGCAGCCGACACAGACGGTCGCACCTTGCTCAGGCTAACCTCAAAGTTCTCTAGTGTGATGGTGGGCAAATCCGCTGCGTCGGCGCTTTTGCCGGTGATGTCGCGCTCCAGCTCCTCCAGCTCGTCCTTCGTGTGCGACTGATAGACCCCCTTCAGCGCCGTCAAGGACGCCTCCCGCATCAGGGCCGCCAAGTCCGCACCGCTGAAGCCCGCCAAACGCTCGTCGTGCGCCAGCCGATGCATATCCACGTTCACGTGCACGGGGTAGCGGCGCGCGTGTGTCTGCAAGATCGACCCGCGCTGCTCCGCCGATGGCAGTGGAACGTACAGCAGTTTGTCCAGCCGCCCCGGGCGCAGCATCGCCGGGTCGATCATGTCGGGTCGGTTCGTTGCCCCAATCACGTAGACGTCCTTGCGGCCCTCGACGCCGTCCAGCTCCGTCAGCAGCTGATTCACGACGCGCTCGCTGCTCGCGTTGGCGCGGTCCGACCCGCGGCGCGGCGCCAGGGCATCCAGCTCGTCGAAGAAGAGCACGCACGGTGCGGAGGCACGCCCACGCGCGAACACCATGCGCACGCTCCGCTCGCTTTCCCCGACAAACTTATTCAGCAGCTCCGGCCCTTTAATGGAGATGAAGTTCGCACCCGACTGGTTCGCAATCGCCTTCGCCACCAGTGTCTTCCCGCAGCCGGGCGGACCGTACAGGAGGACGCCGACGGGGTGGTCGAGGCCGAAGCGGTGGTGCAGCTTTGGGGCGCGGATCGGCTGCAGAATGCTCGTCATCAGCTCCTCCCGCACGTCCTCCAGTGCCCCAACGTCGTCCCAGGAGACGTTAGGGATCGTCGTGAAGCCCTCGCGCATGGCGGACGGCTGCACCCGCTTCGTCGCCTCCTTCAGCTCCTCAAAGGTGACGCAGAAACCCGTCAGCTCGTCCGGGTTGACGTCGTCAAGGCCGCCGCGCTCGTCGAGCTCGTTGTACTTGCGGCGGATCGCGAGGATGCACGCCTCCTTCACGAGAAGGTGCAAGTCGGCCCCGACATAGCCCGGCGTCATGTTGGCCAGCTCAAAGAAGTCCACGTCGTCCGCCAGGTTCAGTTTGGCGCAGATGATCTTCAAAATGCTCTGGCGCTCGTCGATGGAGGGGATGCCGAGGGCGATCTCGCGATCAAAGCGGCCGGCGCGGCGCAGCGCCGTGTCGAGTGCCTCGGGCCGATTTGTCGCCCCCATCACACACACCACCTTGTTGTACTGCCGCCACGCCTGAGACACCTGATCCATGCAGGTCAGCAGCTGCCCGACGATGCGGCCCTCCATCCCGCGCTGCGCGTCCTCGCGGCGGCCGGCGATCGTGTCGATCTCGTCAATAAAGACGATGCTCGGCGCCGCCGCCACCGCGTCCATAAAGAGATTCCGCAGTTTCGCCTCGCTGTCGCCGCTGATGCCGGACACGATCTCCGGCGCCGACACAAAGAACAGAGGGACCTGCAAGGATCCGGCGATGGCGTGGACTAGCTTCGTCTTGCCCACACCTGGCGGGCCGTGCAGTAGCACACCGCATGGCGGGTCCGCACCGAGGCAGCTAAAGAGGTGCGGCATACGTATCGGCAGCTGGATCAGCTCCTTAATGACGGGAAGCTCCTTCGCCAGGCCGCCCATCTCCTCCAACGTGATCTTCGGGATGACGCCTAACACTTCACCCTCGCCCTCGCCCTTTTCCTCGGTGCGCCCACCCTTCGCCGGCGCACGATTGCCGCTACCACCGCCGTCTTTGCCACTCCCAGCCGTCCCTTCACCCTCCTCGGCTCGCGGACGCTTCGAGTTCGGGTGGCTGTCGTCGACGAAACGACGGGGGCCGCTGCCGGGGTGCTGCTTGCGGTACCCGTTGGGCGTCTGCCGCGCAATGCTCTTCAGTTTGCCCTTCAGGCGGTCGCTCATGTCAGACATGACGAATCACAACGTGTGTGCGCGCTTTACTCGTTCTGACAGCTGCGGTGACGAACGGGGTAAACAAGCAAAAGAGAAGGGCGCAGAAGAGTTGGCATTTCGTATGTGCAATGCAAGGAGCACAAAGAAGATTAAGCGAAGAAGAGCAGGATGTATTGGGTCGAAAGCCAAAAAAAAAAGAGACAGGACACATTCATGTACACATACATACACAACGAGAGCAGCACACTCACACACGCACACACGCGTCGCCAATAGATGCGGCGATACAGTCGAACGCAGCAACGGCAATTTGAGAGGCAAAGGGTGGTTTTCAAAACTGAGCCATTCACCGCAATCGAACTCTACAAGACTTGTACGCGCCAGCACAGCTCAGGAGCCCATCAGAAAGGCCGAAAGTTTTGTATGCTAACCCAACAACTTTTCGAATTCAAAGCATGTCGATCATCTCAAATATCAAGCAACGGAACAGTGTGTACAGAGAAAAACAATGAGACAGGGCGGCGAACGCGTGTTGATGCTGGCATGAGAAACGAAACACAAAGTACGAAGTGGAACGGAAGGAAGAGCCTTATTAAGAATCCTCTTCACACGTTCACGCGTCGGCTTCGCAAACGTTTCGACTAAGGTCAGAGAGAACAGCCAAAACAGGAAAAAAAAAGTTGCGCGTGTGTAAGTGGGGAGACCCGTGCCCGCCTGCAGGACCTCATCCGATGAAGAAAAGAAGGAAAAAAAAGAGAATCGTGAACGTGAAGCTGCAGCCGTTTCTATTTGCGCGGACTTGCGCATCGCAAAATCATTTCCTTCCTCGCCTCAGACGCTTCTCTTTGATTTTCTTTTATTATTAGTCGCTTTCCTCGAGTGTTTTAGGCCGTGCGGTTAATCCGCATCGTTGTCCTTTCGTTTCTTTCGCTCAACGCCACTGCACGTCGGCCAACGACTTGCCGTCCAGCAGGAGGTCCCACAGGGGCGACAGCTCACGCAGACGCTCCACGTTCTTGACGAACTCCTCGATCACCACATCAATCTCCTTCTCCGTGGTGTAGCGACTAATGCCACAACGAATTGACGTGTGCGCGTTCTCGGCATCCACGCCAAGCGCGCGCAGCACGTAGCTCGGCTCTAGCGACGCACTCGTGCACGCGCTGCCGCTCGACACCGCGACGTTCGTCATGCCCATCAGCAAGCTCTCGCCCTCCACGCAGGCGAAGCTGATGTTCAGGTTGCCCGGGAGGCGGTGCTCCAAGTCCCCGTTCACGACGATGTGCGGTAGACGGCTCTGCAGCCCGTTGAGCAGGCGCTCCTGCAGCTTCTTGCTGTGCGCCGCATCGCGGTCCATCTCCTGCAACGCGACGGCGCACGCCGCCCCCATGCCCACCACCAGCGGCGTCGCCACCGTGCCACTGCGGATGCCACGCTCCTGGCCACCGCCACTGATCGGGGAGCGCAGGCGCACGCGCGGGCGGCGGCGCACGTAGAGGGCACCGCAGCCCTTCGGCCCGTAGATCTTGTGCGAGGACATGGACATGACGTCGATGTTGTCCGCGTTCACGTCGAGCTTCACCTTACCCAGCGCCTGTGCGGCGTCGGTGTGGAATAGGACCTTCTTGGAGCGGCAGAGAGCGCCGATCTCGCGGATGGGCTGCAGCACGCCGATTTCGTTGTGCGCCGCCATGCACGAGACGAGGCAGGTGGTGGGCTTAAGAGCCTCCGCCAGCACCTTCAGATCCACGATGCCGTTTTTCATCACCGGGAGGTAGGTAACCTCAAAGCCCTCCATCTCCAGGTAGCGGCACGAGTCCAGCACACACTTGTGCTCCGTCTGCAGGGTGACGATATGGTTCTTCTTGGCCTTGTTGAAGTTACCTACGCCTTTGATGGCAATGTTGTTAGACTCGGTGGCGCCGCTGGTGAAGAAAATCTCCTTCGGGCTAGCCCCAATCAGATCGGCCACCTGCTTGCGGGCCTTCTCCACCGCCTCCTCCGCGCGCCAGCCGTACTGGTGGGTGCGGCTGTGCGGGTTGCCGTAGTCTTCCGTCATGAAGGGCAGCATCGCATCCAGCACGCGCGGGTCCAGCGGGGCCGTGGCTTGGTTATCCATATATATGGGTCGGGTGTGCGGCAGGGCGCTAACGTCCTTGGTGACGGCCGCCGTAATCGTGGCAGGAGTCTTTACCGTAACGGCAGCGGCGGCGGCGGCAGCCGGCACCTTCGTCTGACCAGCATTCGCCGCCGCCGCAGCAGCAGCAGCCGTCGTGGTGGCCGCGCTCAACAAGAAACGGGATGCCCTCCACATGGCCGCGGCGTGTGTTTCTTAACGGTTTGTGGCAAGAAGAATAGTAGAAATAATAATAGTAATAGTTGCAAGAGAAAGAGAGAGAAAGAGAAAGAGAGAGAGCAAGTAAACAAACGTGTGTCGGTTCCTATTTCTTTTTCTTTTCCTAAAATAGTAAAAACCGCATCAAAAGCCACTCAACCGGGAATACAAAACAAGAAAAGACGGTTCCTTCCTCACCGTTTGCGGTGTCGTCGAGTAGCGCACTCAAGGAGCTCGCCGCGTCTGTGAAACAGAGAAAAAAACAAAGGGAGAAGAGAATTTAAAAACTTTAGAATAGCAATAATAAAGAAAGGGAAAGCACCCAAGAAGGGAAATAAGAAGAAGAGAAGCCAATTAAACAAATATATATATGTGTGTGTGAAGGAGAAGGTTTTTACGCTTGCCTTCCGCGCTTCGTCGGCTTACTCCAACAAAGGGCAGAATTAACAGTTTCAAAGGGCGCAAAAATCTATTACGGCTGCACTCTTCCTTTCAAATACTAGCAACGGTTATTTTGGGGGTTTCTTTTCGCGAACCGCTCGTGCGATGGTGTCCCACCCACAAGACGCGGAGGAGAGAAGCAGTAGAAAGAAATAAAAGGGAAAGGGAAAGGACAGTAGTTCAACGCGGAAGGCATTCAATGAGATCTAGACCAATCGCTCGTTAACTGACGCAGAGGTGCTCACTTTGACGAGGGATAAACCACAAACGTCCACGTACGCCGCTTTGTAACGACACAATGCTCCTTCTCCTCTTGTTCGGCTCGCGCAACACGTTTCGCTCATCAGCGTCGGACCACGCCGCACGTGGTAAAGCCACACAAAACGTGCTTTCCATGCTTCGAGCCGTTTTATACTATCATTAATAGTGTAGTCGGTTTTGTTGTTCATGCAAATGGTTCTTTAAAACACAAAAGAAAATGCTGCTCCCACGAAGTCATCAGAACAACAGAGCAAAGATGAGAAACACCAAAGCACAAGCGCACAGCGCAGAACGACGACCGCCTTCTCTTTCTCTCGGCAGGCTTGATACTCAGCACTTAAGGCGGTGACAAAATAGCCTCAGCGCTGCAGATCGGCTCGTCAACAACAGGAAAAAAAAAAACATCGACGATTACCAAAGTACCTCATCGGCGGCACCTACGACAGCATCAATGTCAAACGACTCCTCAGCGTCACCCATCGCGTCGTCTTCACCGCTTTCCTCCTCGTCCTCCTCGCTGCCCTCTCCTTTCCATCCCTCATACGGGTCCATCAACCCCATGTTCGCCACGGTCGCCCGCACGGCGGCGACGAAGTCGTGATTCTGTTTGTCCGTCGTGACAGTGTAAAAGTCCGACAGCATTTGTACCGCGTGCAGTTTTATGTAGGTTCTGCGCATCGATTTGGACGTGGCAAAGTACGCCGGCAGCTCCAGCCCCGCGCCGGTCGCCGCCGCCCCTTTGCCGCTGACGTCGTCGTTCTGCGTTTCGCCGGTTGCGTTGGCAACCTCCTGCTGCGTCATCCACAGCCGCAGCGCCATGTCCGTCACGCGTAAAAAGGTGCGGTAGCTCATCGACACCGGGTAGGCCGACGCCGCGGCGGACGCGTGGGCTGCGTCGACTACGCGGTACTGCTCTAATAAGGTGGCGGCCCCACGACGCAGGACCGAATGGGCACGAAGGTGCACGTCGAAGGAGAGCTGCTGCAGCACGGAGGGTAGGGAGGACGTGAGAACCAACACGCGTCGGTTGCGCTCCGCGGCGACGCGGCTGCCGGCGTTCACCACCACACTGCCCCCTTCCGTCTCCCCACCAGCCTCCTCGGCGGCGGCCAGCGGCGAGTCTGCGATGAGGGCGCGGCTCACCCCTCCCGGGCGGTGCATATACTCGTACAGCAGACCACGCAGCGTCATGGCCGCGTAGCCGCTGCTGCTGCCCATGGAGTCCACAAGCACGTCGTAGTCGTCCAGCACGACCAGGCCGCGCTCCGTGTGCGACGCCTCGCCCAACGCGTCCCGTAGCTTCGCCAGCTGCTCCGACGGGTCACGCAACTCCGCCAGCCGTCGACAGGAGAAGTAGCGCACCGTCGTGAAGTCATGCACGCGGGTCAGGGAGTGTGCCATGGTGGACTTACCCGTGCCGGACGCCCCCGTAACGGCGACCATCGCTGTCATGGTGCGGCCGCTCTGCATGACGCGTGTTATGGCGGCACGCGCGCGCTCGACGTTGCGGCTGACGGTGCCGTCGTAGTCGATCACATCCGTCCCGGCGCCGTCGCCGTCGGTGGAAAGCTGAGAGAGCGCAGAGGCTTCGTCCTTGGCGCTGCGGATGTCCTTCATGGCCTTGTCGAAATCAGCGCGGGTGACTTGGAATAACGGGGGAGCTGAGCCCGAGGAGGAGGATCTGTCCGGGTCACCGCCTTCGCCATCTTCCCTCTCTAACGGACGAAACCCGCCGCCGATCCCACCAATATCGCCAGGGCGATGACCGTACTCCTCTACGTGGGCAGCCGTCGCTTCCTGTGCGGCCGCGGCTGTTGCCGTTGTCTGTGCCGATGTGTCGTTGCCTGCGTGCAGCGTACCCTCCTGCGCAAACAGCCCCTCCGAGCGGTAGCGCAGCAGGGCGTAGCTCACGGCGGAGCGCACCGTGCCCGCAATGTCGGACCCCGAAAAGCCACCCGACTCCAGCGCCAAGGTGCGCAGCTCCACATCCGCGGCGAGAAAGTTGTGCTCGCGGAGGCGATCTGTGTGGATAAAAAAGATGTCCTCCCGCCCCGGCACATCAGGGGCGGGAATCTCAATCAGCACCTCGAAGCGGCCGGGTCGCAGAAGGGCCTGATCGATCGCCTGCAGTCGGTTCGTGAGGCCCACCACGAGCAAGTCGTTGCGGCTCTTCACGCCGTCCATCAGCGAGAGCAGCGTCGTCGTGACGCCGTCGTATACCGCCTTCGCCGAGCTCTCGTCGCCCGAGTGCCCGCGGCGGCGGAAGAGCGCTTCGAACTCGTCAATGACGAGCACCTGCAGTGACCCCGGCGCCACGTCCTTGTCTTTGTCTTCGTGGGCAGAGTGGCCAACTGTCTCGTCATCCCTCCCGACGTCCTCGGCCTTGGAGCTGGTGCCGATGTCGTAGCCCTCAAACACGTCTCGCAGGTTCTTCTCCGACTCGCCGACAAACTTGGAAAGGATGTCGGCCGCGTTCACAACGGAGAGGCGGGTATTGGGGCCCAATAGTCGAAAGAGATTGCGTGCGATGAGAGTCTTGCCGTTGCCTGGTGGGCCGTAAAGGATAACACCGCGGACGTGCTGCAGCTGCAAGGCGTCTGCCAGCGGAGCTAGCGACGGCAGCCGGGAAAGAAAGACGCGACGGAACAGGGAGCGCAGCTCGCGCTTGAGACCGCCAATACCGAGCTCCACCCACACCTCCTCTCCCTTCTGCATCTTGTCGGAGTCCTCGAATACGTCATCATCACCATCACCGTCGTTCTGCGAAGTGGATGTCTTTGGGGCTTTGGAGGTGTTGGCTGCGGAGACGGCTTTGGGGGTGTAAAGCCGCTCCAGTGGGTGTTGCCGCACCTCCTCCCACGAAACCGCCCGCCGCTGCCGCTGCAGCATCTCCTGACCCGATTCGTTGCCCGCGTGCGAGACGTTTGTCACCTGCAGCAGCACGGCGCGTCGCAGTACGCTGACGGAGCGGTAAGCATCCACGTCATTCTGCTTCACCTGAAGCCGGACGTCGAACCACATCGGTTTGTCCGCCAACCGCTTTAGCTGGGGACGCCACACGTCGCTGCTGTTCATCGTGAGGAAGGGGTTGACCAGCTCGCACGTGAGGAGCTGCGTGGGGAAGAGCTCCGAGGGGGTTGGGCGCTCGCACAGCAGCAGCACCGGCGCCGGGTCGTGTGCCTCCGCCGTGGCGGGCACTTCGCCGAGCAGCGAGGGCCGGCGGTACTCCTGCAGCAGCACGCGGTAGTTGCGCAGGTCGGTAGGAAGGTGGATCCCCTGTAAAGAAAGCAGGACGCTCTTTGGCAGTGAGGCCTGACCTTTGCCAGCGGTCACGGCAAAGCAGCCCGTCGTCTCCCGCGCATCGACCGATTCGGCTTCGCGGCACCCGCGTACGTACCAAATCTCTGGTATGCTATCCTCCTGAGAAGCAGCATTGGCGGCGGCGAAAGTCAAGTGAAGAGGGCCGCCGCACAAACCGACCACGCACAGGAGCGCTAGTGAGAGACGTACAATGATGCTGTCCGCCATGCTCTGCGAGCTTCTGTGCATTTGTTTTTTTGCAATAATTACTATTATTGATGATGAGGTGTGGTTCGAAAAAAAGAAAGAAAAAGAAACAAGACAAGTGCGGATGGCTGTTGACCCTATAGATATGGATCAAGATACCATTCCAGCAAGTCTACAACGTGGAGGGGGCTGCAGCACAGCAGGTGTCAGCGGAAGATGACGTGGTGAATAAATAGTTATAATAATCAATGATGTCAGCGCGAATCGACGGAATTGTTCGGGCGAGAGCAGAGAGAAAGTAAACACGCGTTGTGTGCAGCCCACCGTAACGCACAGCAACCTAAGGAAAAGGACGGTAGCTTCTCACACAACTGCGCAGAGAAGACTTCTTTTCAAAACAGAACGGCGCGAAGAGGAAATAAGTGGCAGAGGAAAGTTCAAAACAGAAGCGTTGAGCGCCTCTACGGAGGGAAAAGAAAAAGACGTTGTTCTCGCATTTTCCGCTCCAGCGGTCAGCCGTTGCGGTATTTTGCTTCTCTTTTTTAGTGCTCACCTCCCCCAACGCTTTCGCGCGAGCAGACGCACCCACATGTCAAAAAGACAGCGTGCGGACATCGCCTGCTGTGCTTCAAGTGCGAGGCGTATTCCACTCTTCGCTTTTCTACCGTTCTTACTATTTGTAGTTGGTGTTACTGGTACAAAAGACGGGGTATAGGAACAGAGAAGGAAAAGGTAGGAAAGGAAAAGAACGTGTTCGTAGCACAAACGCCCTTTGACGAGACGAGGGCTCTCACACTTAAACCGAAAAGAAGAACCGAGAGGAGATAAGAAAAAGGCTTGCATCTTTTCGCGTATATCGCCGGCGGCCAACGGCCAGTCGAAACCAAAACAGAAGAAAAAACAATAATGATAATAATAATAAATGCTACAGCGATGCCAAAGAAGACGACAAAGAGTGTCGAGACAACACGGGAGGAGAGACGTCTCGTTTGTGGTGGTATAACGAAACAACGGGGCAAAGGAGCTTTAATACCTTATTATTATTAATATTGTTTTAAGCCACGAAAGTAAAGCACGAAAGAACAAAAGACTTGACGCACCGTCTACTTCATGCGAATGCTTGGTGACATCCCACACGCACAAGGATAAACACGTTTCTGAATGGCCTTTCAATAGCAGAGTTCTTCTTTACCCGCGAAAACAAAAACGAGACGGAAGGCAAATTGTGTACAAGGGACAAGAAACAAAAGACGAAGAAACAAAAATCTAGGCTACTCTTGGTGCATATAAAACGAAAGCGAACAAAGAAAAAAGGAGGGGGAAACCGAAGAAAGACGCAAACAGAACGTCTACAACTCCTCTGTAAACGTGAAAGGGAAAAATGTATTTGTCGTTTTTTTCTGGCTTGTATGTCGGACTGTGGGTACGTGGATGCGTTTCCCCTTCGCGTATCTGAACAAATGTACCTCCTCTTTAACAAAAAGAGCACCCGACGCTGCGTTTCCAGCAGGTGTTTCCGCGAGGATACCGAATTCAAGGCACATGTACGTACGCACGCACAATGGTGCTTCTGAGAGAGAGGATAAACACGTCTAATCAGCTTCACTTGCGCTGCAGTTCTTGGATGCGGCTGTAGAGCGACGCGGCGAGATGTGGATCCTTCAGCGTTTCCACGGCAAAGCGTGCATATCGCTCGAGGGTGGCGCGATCATCTGGCTCTCTGCACACCACGTTTTCAAACATGTCCTTCGTGGCCGCCGTCAGCGCACGCAGACGTGAGGTTGGCGTCGACGCGGAGGCACCGCCCTGACCCGCCACCATTCCACTTTGCCGCTGCTCCTCCCGCTGCACCCGCACGCACTCTGCGTGCATGGTGTTCAGGATGTGGCGCAGCACCTCCACGTTGCTGGGCTGCAGCTTGTGGGCGCGGTACAGCATCGTCATCGCCTCCTCAAAACGGCTGTGACGATTGGCGTAGAAGATGCCGAGTTGATGGCAGGCAGTGAAGCTGCTTGGGTTGATGGTGACGGCCTCCTTAAACAGCTGCTCAGCGCGGTCGAAGACGCAGCGGCGCACCTCGTCGTTCGTGTACACGTTTTTGCTGTCCGTGCAGGCCCACATAAACTGGCCGTACTGCAGCACGATATCCTCCGACCGGGGGGACAGCTCCAGGGCGCGCTTGAAGTGCGCTTCCGTCGTAAAAGGCGTCGGCATCGCGCCGGCCATGAAGTTGGCGAAGGCGGCGTGCGCGGGGGCAGAGTTCGGACGTGTCTCGAGGAAGTTGCTGTAGAGCGACTCGCCGCAGCCAATTTGCTGGTCTTCATAGGAGCGGCAGAGGTAGTGCGCGTAGCACATCGTGCAGTTGAGGTCGCCCGAGGACGCCGCGTACGCCTTCGCGATGTACTTGCGGGCGAGGACGTGGTAGCCGGAGTACATGCAGAGGGTGGCGTAGTTCACCAGAATCGTCGCGTGCTGCGGGAAGCGCAGGAGAGCGCGGCGATACATGCGATTGAGCAGCTGCGGCTCCTGAAAGCGAGTCTGCACGATGTAGGTGGCCAGGCAGACCGCCTCCTCGCTCATCGCCGTGGCGACGCCATCCATCAGCAGCTGCGTGATGTCGGTGAGAGCGATGGTGGCATCGGTGTCGTCGGAGCCCAGCCGGCGCTGCATCATCATCGCCATTGCAGCAGCGACGCGCTCCGCCGAGACGCCGAGGCCCTTCAACAGGTGTTCGATCACCTCCAACCGCTGCCCGTGCGACATTGTGTCCCATGCCGGTCCCGTGCCGAGCCGCGCCAAACGAAGGTGCATCTCGGCGGCCGAGGCTGGGTTGGCGCTCAGCACTCGCTTCATGTACACGGAGCCCTTCGCGTAGTCGCCCGACTTGACGAAGAAGTCCGCCACGACCTCCGCCACCTCCAAGTAGGACGAGCACAGCTCCGCCGCACGCTCGTACAGCGCCGCCGCCTGAGTCGCGTCGTCCGCGGCCTTCAACGTGGCGTAGTTGACGAGTAAGATGCCCATTTCGCGCTGGAGGGCGTCGGTGAGGACGGGCATGGCGGCGGTGATGTGGTTGACCTGTTCCAGCGCGTGGGCGTAGAGGTCGGCGGCGTCTTTCATGAAGCGGTTCTGGTGGAAGAAGAAGGCACCGCGGCTCAGCACGATCAGCCCGTTCAGCGCCCGTTCCACTCGCTCACGTGTCCACAACGACGTGGGACAGGAAGACGACGTCGTCGCGTTGACGGTGGTCTCTTCTTCCACGCGGTCCATGACGGTGTCAGACACGACGATGCTCGCCGCCCGTCGAAACACGCAGCCGATGGACTGGATGCTTGCCTCAATGTCCATCATCCCATCCAGCTGCAGGCGGTCGGCAGGGTCAAGCGACTTGAGACACATCGCGTAGTGCACGAGGGCGTTTGCGTCGTGATCGCCCCGCACGTGCTGCACCGCCTGCATCAGCACGGCACCCATCCGATTGTTGCCGAGCTGGTGGCAGCTGGAGGCGAAGCAGTTGGCGACTTCGAGTCTCGTATGCGGGGCCATCATCGCATCGGGGAGGTAGAAAACATAAAAGCAGAGCGCTAGCGTCTTCTCCACCTCGCCCGACTGCTGCTGCAGGGAGATCAGCTTCACGTAGGAGTCCACCACGTTGCCACCCAAGGCGGCCTCAATCTCGATGAGGCGATTCTGCACACCGATGGCCTCGGCAAACTCGCCGACACGCTCGCAGCAGGCGACGTAGTTCGACAGGACCCAGTGAAGGGTGTCAGGCTTCAGCGCCAGGTGAACGGGCGACAGCGCAGAGGCGCCGACGCTGCTGCTGCCGTTGCTGCTACTGCCCGCTGCAGCTCGCACACGACCCTCCATGCCGCGCCCCGCATCGGCAGACAGCGAGGAGGAAGAAGCCGCTGCACGCTGCCGACGGGCTCGCTTGCTCAGCTTCGCCTGTGCGCTCTTCACGAGCGGGCTCGCTCGATAAGTACGCTGCACCACGTTGCGGTAGTGCGCCATCGCTCGCTTATGATCGCCGACGTAGGTTTGCAGACAGAACGCCAAGTGTCCTTCCACCTCGGATGCGCTGAGGGACACCAGTTGGCCGCCGGCCCCGAGCTGCTCCACCGCGTCGTGGCATTCGTTGAGCAGCATGTCGCAGGCACACGCGTACTCGTCGAGCGCGCGATCCACCAAGGAAACGGTAGCAAGCATATCCGCGTACTGCTCTCGCACCCACCCACTGATGAGTCGCAGCCCCGCGGCGTCCAATAGCTGCAGGCAGCCCTCGAGGAGACCGATCGCCTTACCCGTTTTACCTTGGGCGTGGAAGGCCATGGCCGTGTCAATGAGTCCTCCCGCCGCACGCTGTGCTGCGTTGCCGGCCGCGATGCGCACTGCTGCACCTCCGTCATCTTCCGCCGGTTCCGCTGCCACAGCAGCGGCATCCGCAGCGCTTTGTAGCAAGTCCTGTGCATCCTCCAGAAGAATGTTTGCGCCCGCCTCCAGGTAGATCAGCGCGGCATCCTCGTTGCGCTCCTTGTAGAGCAGAAGTCGGCCGAGTTCCACCATGACCGCCGCCACATCCTCACCCTCCATGTGCTCCGCCGCCCCATCCAGGTAGCTCTCGTAGAAGGATTGACTTTCCGCATAACGGCCAGCGTGACGATGCAGGCGTGCCATGGCGAGCTGGACGTGCATCAAGGGAACGGTGCTTGGCCCCATCCCCTGAGACTGAAGCAGCAGCAGCTGTGCCGTGCCCTGCGAAGCGGCGCGGTCGACGCGGGCGGCATCGCTGTAAAACAGCTTCGCGTCCTCCTCAACAAAGGTTCGATTCAGCGCCAAGGAGCTGCCAAGACCAGGGGTGAGCTGATCCGCGCTCCACAGCGGATTGAGCTCGAGGAAGAAGAGAACGAGTTGGTACTGCTCGGCGGCTTTCCAGTACTGCTGATCGCTAGCGTAGGCATTCGCCAGCAGCACGCGCAGGAAGACGAGGTGGCTCTCGGGGTCCTCTGTTGGACGAAGCACTGAAGAGAAAGAATGGACTCCGTGATCCTGCTTAGCACTCTTCGCAATGGATGAAGTGGAGTTGCGTGTGGTGCCGCTCCCCTCCAGCTTTCTCGATTGGCATTTTCGAATTTCACTGCCTTTGCTCAGTTGATCCTCTCCTCGCTGCTTCGACTGCAGTTGGAGTGTGTAGGCCCGCTGCGCCACCTGCAGCGCCTCCGTCAGCAGCTCTGTTGCACGATAGGTGACGAAGTTGAGGAGGCAAAACACAGCGTTGTTCACCAGGACACGAGCGTAGAGGCTCAGAAAGGCGACGTCGTGGCTGCTGCTGCCGAAGTGATCCTCGTAGCGCTGCTGCATGGCGTACTGCACGGCGCTGCAGTCGGAGAAGGAGTCTCTGCGTAGGGAAAGGAGCAGCTGGCGCTCCCACTCCCGAAGCGTTGGGTCGGAGAAGGGACGGGTCCACTCCGCCAACGACGCTGCCCAGTCCCGCACCTGCGCGAGGACACGTTCCACAAAGGAGGCGAGCTGAACTCGGGAGAGCAGCTCGTCCGTCGTGAGCGCGGCCACATTAGTTTTTTTCCTGTCTCCTTCAGAAGCAAAAGACGGCTGTGTCAGGGAAGATGAAGTCCCTGAGAAAGCTAAAGCTGCCCCTTCCTCGTTGCTGCTTGCGCTGTTGCCTTCGCCTCCGCAAGCGCCGGGCGTCACCGTCGTGGCTGCTAGAGATGGAGAGGCGGAAGATGCAGCTGCACTTCCCGCCCTCGCCTGCTCTTCGTGCGCCTGAAGCAGCAGCGACGCCTTCTGTCGGGTGTTGCGTCGTTTTCGTGGCTGCTCCGAGGAGCGGCGGCTACGCATTGGTTTTACCTGAGGTTCCCCTGCGAAGTCTGTCAGCTGCGCCGAGGCCGTGCGTCGATGACGCCGACCAGGCGCCGAAGTCGGCAGCCCCTGCTTTGCCGAAGAAGAGGCCTCAACAGCCAACGGGCCACCTCCTTTGCGTTTTGCGGACGACGACCCCGCTGCTGCCGTTGCTGCTCCCGGTCCGCCGCTGCTACGTGACCCGGTCGGCTTCGTGGCAGTTGTCGCGGGCGACGGCATCTGCGCGGTGGCTCCTGGGGCAGGGGCCGCGGCGGCCCTCGCACCTGCCCGTGCCTTACTGCCTGAAAACGCCTTGGAGGTTTGACTGGAGTAGCACGCGCAGGACTGCTGAAGGGCGCTGAAAAACGTCATGGATGCGGAGGAGTGCTGCAGTTGAGTTGTCGCGGCAGCATCCATTCGCAACGCCGCCGCCACCGCGCGCCGTCCTGCGTTGATGGGGGCCGCGCGTCGGGAGAAGCGCTTCATTCTTCTTTGTTGTGCGACGGATTCGTACGGTGAGACGCGACCAATCTGGGTGTATCACAGCGCTTAAGGTGCCGTCGTGTGAAGCAGAAGACGAAAACGGGGAAAAATGGCAAGTGAGAAGACACTAGCAGTAGTGGTAATGGTACAACGCGCGAAGAGGCAGGTAATTAGAAATCTAGGCAGAATAATGCTTGTGGGTGTATGTGTGCGTTTGTATGGGTGGTCAAAGCATCAAAGAGGGGATGAACACACTCGCGTAAAAGGGAAAAAGAAAAACAAGCAAAACAAGCACTGAAGCAGTAGAAGACGCAGATAATAATAATAATAGCAATGTACGCTGCAATAACTCTGGACAATTCGGTGGGACAACACAACGGTATATGTAAGTACACGAAGAAATATATAAAACAAAAAGTAGTAGTGATATATGCACGCAAAGCAGTAGCGAAGTTCCTCTTGCGTCTCCGCTTCGTGTTCTCGCCTGATCCGAGCACAAAACTCCCAATAAAGAAAACAAAAAATGTCAACAGTGATTGAAAAATCAGCGCAGAAGGGGAAAACAAGGGCTGAAGCAAAAAGCCGTCAACAGTAGAAACAGATTTTAGACTAAAAGTCTTTTAAAGCACCGTCAACTTCGTCTATTCCTTTTCGCTCTCCTGTTTTATTTCACAGCAAGCAACCGCGTCGGCCTTGAGAAAGGCGCACAAAGGACGGCGTACTCGTGCGTGTGTGTGTGTGTGTTTCTCTTACCTTTCTCTGTTATTTTCTTTTTCTTTTTTAGCGAGCAAGAGAAGAAAATGCGGTGTCTTGTAGACAGTCGGCGTAGAAAGCGCACGCAAAAACCTGTAACCTTGGACAAGTACAAGGGAGTTGCTGAGCTTTTGCTCTTGTGTTTTGTATTTCAGATCATAGCAGACGCAGTAGCGGCGAACAAGACGCAAAACAGGAGAAAAGAGTGGCAGGAGCGAGAAAAGAAGGGGAGATGAATGGCTGTGAAAAGGTACACCATGAAGCACCTCTTCTCACACGAGCACATACATTACAAAGCTCAATATTCAAACCTTTGAGAAGCGTTCTTCACTGTCACAGGGGCATCAGCCCGGCACATTACTGTTGCTTTTCTTCGCTTCTCTAATTTAAGACGATGAGAGGAGACGAGGAGCAAAGACTTTTCCTCCCTGAAGTCAGTGGAGAAGAGCAGCAGTGAAGAAAAACTAGCGCTGATGACACGCCTTTTATTTGCATTTTTTCTGCTACTATTTTTGTTTTGCTTTTTGCGCTACGAGACTCAAAAAAAGAAAACACCAAACGAAGCATGTGAGCGAGGAAAAGACGTTTTCTGCGCTGCTGTGCCACGATCGAAGCATTCTCCCCTCTTCTATTTGAGTTGTGGCCTCATTGTTCCCCCAACCGTAACGATATAAACAGAAAAGGGTTTTAAAAGAAAAAGGCAAAGTAAGCATCCGTGCGTGGTCAGCGCCAATGTGTGTCGTCATCTGGAGAAAAGGCAGCGGCGACTTCGCCTTCACGCGGCGCCAGACGACTGCGTTCGCTTCTCCGCTGATAATTCATCTTTGACTCGTTGCCGCTCGCAGTACGCCAGATTAAGAAATAGAATTAAAATAAACAAAAAAAAAACGTCTTCGTCCCTCATTTACTTCTTCTTGTTCGGCTTGGCTTTATTGCTGCTGTTCTGCTGCGTGTCCGTTGGCTGGCTCGCGGCCCGCGGCGGCGATGCACTCTTCTGTTTCCCTCCGCTTTGCTGAGTCGGCTTACCCTTCGGCTCTGGCACGCTAGTGAGCGCCAGAACACCGAAGCATTGCTTGATAATCACCGCGGGGACAATAATCCAGAACGACGAGGGAATCACCACCATGGTGAGCTGATCGATGAGAGTGTTGTGCTTCGTGTACCTGCCCTCCTCGGCGACGTCCAACATAAAGTACAGCACCGTCTTGTACATGGTCATCGTCGCCACCAAGATGCCCAGCTTCACCGCGGCGTTGCTCGCGCGGCGGAGAGACAGCAGCACCGCCAGCAGACCCAGGACGACCTCGACCAGGTTCAGCCACGACTGCGCAATCACAAAAGCGTCGTCGTTAGGTCCGTAGCGGCGGTCGTACCGGGCGTAGATCAGCCAGTACTTGAAGGGAAATACCTCACTCAACGGGTGCGGCACCTTCGCGTGGAGGGAGCGGGTGAGCACAAAGATGCCATCGATCAGCACCACCGGTGCCACCGCGCTGAACCACACCGCGGCGAGAAGTGGGAGACCGGCTTGAGGCATGATTCGAAAGCGCGGATATTCGAGGTAAAACGAGAGCAGTATATGTATATATAATCCTTTTTACGAGAAAAGGGAGGAAACAAAGGCAGTACAAATAATTTCGGGTAGTGTGAGGCGGTTTAACGAAAGCAGGACACCGTCACGGAAACGAAGGACACACCTGCTAAGAGACACAAATAGAGCGGTACGTGTATATGAAATAATAAGAATAACAGATGATACGAACTCTGCTCGGGGTACAGCGTAGCGTGTCGTGCCCGTGCGTCGAGACAGCAAAGAGTGAATGTGACACGGAATCAACAGAAGAGGAATAAAGGAGAGGGGAATTCAGCTGAGCGTCAAAAACCGAAGAAGAAACTACTAGTATCATAGAAGAGGAGAAACAAAGTCGTCCATAAATAGGTGTGTGCATCCGCGCGGCACGGGACAGACGTTTTCTTTCTTTCAAAGCAGGAGTTCCGAGAAAAGAGCAGCGCTCGGCACGCCTCAAACCCTGCGGCGCCGTCGTGGTGTAATAGAGCACAGAAACGTCTGCACGAGTTCCCTTGATGGGTTGCTTGATAGAAAACCACTTCTGTAAAAGAACGGACAACAAGGTTCGGGGGATGGTCATCTAAAATGCGACCGCAAGCCGCCCATCGTAGCCATGCCGCACCCGCACCGAATACACGTACAAACACGAAAACAGAAAGAAAAGAAGCGAGTGCGGCTCAACGGTGCGAAACCGCCAAAAAGCACGCCACTCGACACGTCAAACTCGATTGTATCAAAACGCCATCGTTTGCGCTGCAGGCTCACTCGCTGCAGCCTTCGACGTCGACTTGCGCTGCGAAGCCTTCTTTGTCTTCTTCCTCCCGCCCTTCTTCTTACCGCCGCCGCTTTTCTTCGCTGCACGCGTGCGCTTTGGCTTCTCCGCCGCAGCACCGCCGTCCTTACCCGCGGCCTTTTCCTCGTCCAACTCCTCGCCCTCTGCGTCCTTTACCTCTGTCGCCTTCACCTCCATCGTAGGTGCTGCGATATCGTCTTCGGCCACGTCGCCATCCCCCACCTTACTAGCGGCTGCGCCTTCGATCGGTATCGCCGCGGCGGCAGCCGCGGCAGCCGCAGCAATCGCTGAGGAAGTCGCCGTTGCCGTGGACACGCGCTGGTACGCAAACGTCCCTTTCACCTCGCCGGCGGTGGAGCGGAACGCGCCGGTCGTGTTGGTTGCTCGCACGGTGGTGTGGGCGCCGTCCTTCTCCATCGACCCTTCGGCCTGCTGCGTGCGGTGTAGCACGTCGAAGTCGCCAATACGGCGCACCTCCTGTACCTCAGCGGCGGTGACACCGCCATCCCGCACAAACCGTGCCGTGGCGTAGCGGCTGTCCGTCTCTACCGTCATGTTGCCGCGGTCTGTGGTGTGGGTGACGCGATAGCTCGTGGACGGCGTCGCAGGCTCGGAGAGGTCCAGGTCTGCGTCCAGCGCAACATCGCCTTCAGCTTCCTCGGGGGGGATAGGGGACTCGCTGGCTGAGCCGCCCTCCCTGTTTGAATCGGCTTGGTTAGGATCCGGTGCCGTGTCAGGCGCCTCTTGCGCTTCTTCCTCGCCCTCCGCCTCCTCGACCTCTTCAACAACCTCTTCGTATTCGTCGTTCTCCGCCGCTGCGGCATCGGCCTGTGGTGCTGCCGCTGTTGCCGCCCTAGACTGCGCGGCACCCGCCTTTGTCTCCGCTTGTGCCGCAACGTTCTCCACCCCACTGGAAAAGTTGTCCCGCGTCGCGTGGGGGACCGCAGCAGTGGTGCTGGTGCTGTGAGCACCGGAGACGGCCGCAGCACCTTGTGCACCAGCGGCGGTGGCCTGTTGGTTGGAGCGGTAAACGTGGCTGCCAAACTGGAGGCGGCTGTCGCGCGCGTCGGCCCGGCGCGCGGTGGCGGCGAAACGACTCGTTACCTCTCCTTGCTGCGCCGCGTAACGCGTGGGGCGAGACACGCCCTGGCGATCCACCGCACGCCGTGCCGCGTCGCGAATTGTCCGATGCTCCATCGCGAAGAGGTCGCTGAGAGCGCTCTCGAGGTGGGCAGTGAGCAGCACCAAGTCTTCATCACACAGCACGGCCGTCAAGATGCCCATCTCTTTGTCGGCGTAGACCGAGCCGGGGTAATCCTCCGACGCCTCGGGATCGAGGTCCGTGCTGGGGGTAACCGGTGCACCCGCACCGCCAACACGCCCATTCTCCGGTTTTTGCGGCAGTAACTTGCGCGTGAGACGGGCCGTCAGCCGCACCGCCCGCGGCTTCGATGAAGAAGAGGTGCCTTTTCCCTTCTTGGACGGCTGCACCGCGCTCAATCGCAGCGTGGAGCGCGGCCGCTCAACGACCGCCGGTGCGTCGGACCACCCCTGCAGAACCGTCAGCAGCTGCGCCACGTCGTAGGGGCGCAAGAAAAGCCGCCCGTAGACGAAGTCCTCCGGCCTGCGCGGCGCAGCGGCTGCCTCGTCGGTTTCTGAGCCAGCTGCTTTGGGGGCACTGTCGGAAGCGTCGAGGTCCTCGAAGCGGCTACCAGCGTTGAGGGCCACGGGGCGAGGGGCGGGGGCACGCACGCAGAGGGTGAGGTGGCGGGGTGTGGAGCTCCGGAACTGCCACAGCAGGCGCGCGGGGAACGGCGCCTCGGCGGCGTCGGGACTCTGGAGAGTCACGGGTGTCCACGACTCCCGCACAAAGACGGTGCGGAAGGACGCGACGACGCACGTCGCGGACGCCGTCGAGGCGAGCACGCCTCTGCTCGCGGGACGGAGAAACGAACGCATTCTTTCCTTTTTGTGGCTCGTCTCGCTTTCCCCTCTGTGCTGCTATTTACTTCGTTCGTTGATCTTGTGGGTGGTTCTTTTGCATTCGATCCGATGGCGGAAGTGCGGCACTCGGAACTGACGGTTCTTGCAGAAATAGGCTGAGGACCGTGTACGGCGGCGACGCACACACACACACACACACACGGGAGAAGAAGAATAAACAGGGGGCAAGAGACGCTGCTCTGACTGTGATGATATGAAAAGTTAAAGGGGAAAACTAAACGTAATGACAACACTGTTTTTCCCAAGTTTAAAACGGCTGAGGTACGTTCGATTGAGAAAAAAAAAAGACAGAGCAAGAGGAACGACAAGAGATACGTCAATGACGCTGACAAACACGCACAACAACAACAAAGGTTTTTAGGGCAAAAAAAAATAAAGAGAGTTAGATCACAGTGAAGGAGACGCAGTCCGACAGCATCGAAAGGTCCTGAATGTCCATTTTGGGGGAGGAGATTCTCTGTTCAGGCTTTTAGATTATCGCACCATCGAACAAGAGAGAGCGCAGTGGGCTTTTCACAGCAGAGGATGCATGCCTCGGTGACTTCCAGCGAATCCAGTCTCGCACCAAAGCAACGCTTGTCACAACTCCTTTTCATCGCAAGAGGAAGAGAAAGAGAGAGGGAGAGACGCAGAAAAGGTCGTCCGTTTCTCGCGATTGGCACGGGTGGGCAAGAGACGCACCTTTCACAGTACAAAGTGCTCTCTTCACGGCCCTCAACAAAGCCAAAAGCCTTTCGCCTGTCCTCTGTTGTTCTGCTTCTTTGTCGTTGTGGCATTCCATAACGTGGTTCAGCACTACAGATAATCTTTTCCTCTCTAAATTGTTGCTCATCAGCGACGCTAACAACACAACGGAACACACACACTCACACTCACACACACACACACACACACACACGCCATGGTCTTCCACTGCAACAACGCACCAACAAGGAATATGTATAAAAGAGAGATGGACAGATGGGTCGCTCGCCCACTTTGCGACGTAGACGGAATAATAAAGGTTGTCGAAGAGATGCCGGCGCGCTTAGCTGATGCTGCTATCGTCGGCCTCCGCCGCCTTCTCTACGCTTGCCTTGCTGTTGCTGCTGCTGCTGCTGTTGGCTCTGCGACCGTTGTTGTTGCGACGGCGGTTTTGGTTCTGGTTCTGGCTCTGGCTGTTGTTGTCGCCGGTGCGGGTGCTCCGGCGAGCCTGCTCCGCCACCGCGTGCTGGTACTCCACAAACCCAAAGCTCTCCGTCAGCGCACTCTGCAGAAAGTGTTCCAGCGTCACCGCGAATTGGTTCTCAAAGCGCACGCTCCACTCCTCCTTCGCCTGCGACGAGGTGCGGTGCACCTGCCCTTTCACCACGTAGCCGCTCGGGCTCTTTTCAAAGACTAGCTCGTAGGCGCTGTTGGTCATGTGGTGACTGGGCAGACGGCCCTCGACGACGCACACGAGGGCGGCGAGGTCCATGTGGCGAAAACGCAGCGAGATACGACGCTCCCGGTCGAACTGCGGCGACGGGTCATTCGGGTCGGCCTTGCGCGGGCCCAGCTGCGGAAACTGCGAAAGCAGCAGCTGCTTGCCGTCGACGGACACACGCGTCATGCTTCCCTGCGCCGCCTCATCACGCACGTCGTGGATTTCGAATCTGGGGAGCAGCTGTGTGGATCGATAGTTGCGGCGGTTGGGGAACGGGCGTGCAGCAGCAGCAGCAGCAGCAGACTCGCCCACCACGGCGCTAGACTGGAAGCGGGCAACGGACAGCGCCATTGCCGCCAGCGGCACCTTGCGGGACACAAAGCGGAGCATCGTGTACTCTTTTGTGAGGAAGACTACGTGTGAGTGTTATGAGTGTGCCAACAGGTGTACAAACAAAATGCAAGTGCTAGTTTATAAGCGGAGACGATAACAAGTGTTTCTTTTCTTTGCTGCTGTTGTTTTTTCTATTTTACTACGAAGGAGTGCGCGTTAGCGAGCACAGAACTACACTAAAAGCTTGGTGTAAAAGACGGCGCGGAGCGAAGTGTAAAACCACAAAGAGCGGGAGAGGCAAAAGGCGGCATCAATACAGGAGAATAGAAAAGATGAGCGCACATTAGAGCCGCGACGTGTTCTCAAAGGAGGCCAGACCAAAAGACAGCAGCAACGCTGTTGGTGTCCACCACAGCGGTGGGGGTATTTGCCAGTCGCAAGCATCTCTCGTCAGCGCAGGGCCTTAGCACGCTCCTTCCCAAACAAGGAGTTGCAGCCATAAACACACCTCCTCCTTGCTTGCGGGGACAGGTTATTTCGCTTCACGTGTCTCACAAGACTCACTGTTTCACTTTGCTGCTTCGCTTTTTTTTTTGCTTTTAAAGAAAAAACAATTAGACAGCACATTATACTTTACACGTTACGGTTAAACCGATAACTACGCATCACACAGCTCTGGATGATGCGGCCTAGTCGAGGAACGCATTAAAGAAAACGACAAGCGGAATACAGCGACTCATTCGCCTGGGTGCGACGCACACACAACATTACACCCAACTTATTGGACGATGTTCCAGCCGTTCTTGTCGCGCACAGAGGCATTCTTTCGCTTCTTAGGCTTCGGTGGGGCTTTCGCCTGCTGCTGCTGCTGCTGCTGTGGGGCCTGTTGAGCCTGCGGCACAGACTGAAGTTGCGCTGACGCAGCTGCCTGCTCCTCTTCCTCCTCGTTGTCTAGGTCGCCCTCTTCCCTCTCCTCCACGGCGTCGTTATCTTCTTCTGCGTCATCTGCGAGATCTTCGGCGGTGCCGCCGTTGACCGACATCCCAACCGGGTTTGTCTGCGTGTAGATGGGCAGTGTCTGTAGATAGTGGTCCGCCACGCTTGAGTCGTTGGCGCAGCAGCGACAGTACATGTTGTGCAACACCGTCGCCACCTCCTTCATGCTATCGTCTTCGATTTTCACCTCGCGCACGTTGTCGAAGAAATCTTCAAAGTAGATCTCCATGTCATCCGCAAAGACCTCGCCGTCGCGTTGGTGCCACGCACACAGGTCCTCGTACAGTACCGCCGGTGCACGCGCGTCGCAATGCAGCGCCACGAGCTGGAGCGCCGTCCACTGCTGCAGCACAGCACTGAGGCCGTGGGAAAAGACCTGAAACTGTTCATCGGACGCGCGCAGCGGCTGCATTGCGGCGCGCAGCTGCGCACCGTACGACTGCATGTTCTGTGTTGTGCTTTACGTTGTTGCTAGCAAGGGCACAGCAGGCGACGTACGTAGTGGTTGTAGTGGAGTACAGTGTGTGTGTGTGCATTAAACGATGTAATGAGAAGATCAACGCAAGAGAAAACAAGAGGTAGAGAAAGCCGCACGTAGCGACAACTCTTTTTTTCTTTCTTTCTAGCTGTGCTCAAAGGAGCGATAAATCATTGTGGCTGTGATCCGTAACGTCAACGAAAAGCAAGGTCGCTGATATGACGGAACAGATCAACGGGCACCAGGCGCTGCAGAGAGGCACGCGAACAACAGCCATCAGGGAAGAGGCACCCCAAGCAGAACACCACAGCAGTCGCAGCCGAGAGCGGTACATGCGTGGGTGCTTATTTTTAATATTATTCTTTTCGTTTCAGGTGTTTCTTTTCTTTTTGTGCTCTCTGACGTACTGTATTGGCATTGCCGTAACAGAGGGAACGCACTCAAAGTGACAACACAGACGCGCACACACACAAGTGAAGACAACGACCAGACCAGAGGTCGCAGCGGCGCAACTTATGATCGGCAACAAGGTGCTGCGTTGCAACAGCGAAGGGGAGGAAAACAAGCAAATACGAGTTAAGGAAGAACCAACAAAAAAAAAAAAACACTGCACTCTTGACGGCCCGGGCGCTATAAATTACGCACCGCTGCCTGCATGACTTTCAGCATGGCCGTCACGGTGCCCTCGCAGCAGTGCCGGCGGTTGCCGTAGTTATTCGTCATTAAGTAGTTGTGGTAGCCACAACTGCAGTTTTCCCTCTCCCTCGTCACCAGGGCATCCCAGTCCTCACCAAGCACTTCCTCGACCGTGAAGACTTGATAGGGAGGAAACGATACCTCCGCGTGCGTCTGCAGCCACAGCAGGCATTTGCACACCTCCTCGTAGCGCTTCTTGGTGGTGAGGAAGGCCACTTCAACGTGTGCCCGCTCCGCCCGGCAGGCGTTGACAGCTGCCACGACTGTGTTCCAAACCATGTCGGGCAACGTACGGTACAAATCAGCTTCTGATAAAGCAACCGACATCTCAGAAGTACCTTTGGTCGCTGTGCCGTCGCTGCCGTTGTTCTTGCTGCTCCCGTCCTTCACCATATGGTAATACCGTTGAATGACCTCGTCATAGGTCCGCACGGTCCTCTGCAGCTCTTCATACCCCGTGCTGGCGCCCTCCGCTGTGCAGGGAATACCGTGCTGCGCCGCAATGAGCTGTCCCCACCGCTGCACCGTCACGGCGCGCTGAATCTTCGTTATTTTCTTCACGCTCAGCGCAGGGGTGTGAATCAACGTCTTTGGTGCCTCACACGTCGGCCGACAAAAGGGGTATTCCACCACCGCCATGCTGCACTCCACGACTCGCTCGTTGTCGTCGCCGATCTGGCTGCGCGGGTCGAAGCGAGCCCCGTCGAAGAAGATGGCGCAGCGCTCGAGACACGCCACGGGCACGGTGGACGCCTGCACGGCACCGTGAAAGACGTTGTCGGCGTCCTCGTCGTAGCTGTCGTCGCTCTCCACCACGATTGGCGCCTCATCCGAGCTGGCACTCTCACCCATCGCTTTGGCCGCCCCGGTCTGCTCTGCTGCAACGTGCTGCAGCTCTTCGGAGTCACCCGAGCGGCTGCTCACCGTCGACGCGTCCTCGCTGTACATTTTCTGCCGTTCGTTTCGCTTTTTTGTCCGGATTTATGTGGGAGGAGTAGCGCTGTGGTGGTGCTTGCTAGTATTCTTTGTTTTCTTTTCTTCACCCACGACGCACGAGTAAAGCGCAACGGAGGACAAGAGAAAAAAAAAGGGAGGGGAAAGGAATCGCAGAAATACCCACGATTGACGACGCAGCAAGGCTCTGTTGTTTTTGGCCGTGGCCCATAAAACATGGCGTACAAGTAAGAAAGAAAAGGCCTTGCAAAATGGAGATGACAGCGCTACTACATTGGCATTTGCCTTTGTGAGGGGGCGGCGGGGGGCGGGGCTATTTTTTGGCGGGGGCGGGTCTCAAAAAAGGTATGCGACCGGTGAGGATCGAACTCACGACCTTGGGATTATGAGACCCACGCGCTGCCGACTGCGCTACGCTCGCTCTGGCGTAAAGGGTCAACTTTACCTTTGTCCCCTTCTCCACCCCGCCCATCCTTCCTTCACGTGCGCTTCGTTTGTTACCGTGACTTTCCTTGTAAGCATGACGCCGTGCTGCTCCTGGCGCTCTAAAATGCGTGACCGCGTTCGCATCAACTCCCACGCAGCCGCGTTGCTGAAGCACGACGGGGCCTAAAACTCACCGGTTGACTACATCTCAAGAAAGAAACCAAAAAAAAAAGAGGAAGAGGTAAAAAGGGTAAAAAGGGTATTGTTGGTGAGGCTTGAGCGTCTTCGTTGAGTGCCCGTCGTAAGCATGCGGGAAAGTCAAGCCACAACCATCTCTAAACGTAAGTGCGTCTCGTCCACGACACCTTCCCTTCTCAGCCGCGCGCATATCAACTACAAAACAAAGGAGAAGACAAAATTTTGCCTCAACAACGCAAAAGGAAAACAAGAGAGAACAAAAGACAGAAAACAAAGGAGCAAAAGAGAAGGAAACAAACATGAGGGAGTATTATGGTACATCAACACCGCGAGCGACTTCGCTTCCTCTACACGTTCTCTTTGTCGTCGTTTTCCCTCCTTATTCGCCCGTCAAGCTGCGAAGGACAACAACGCGCCGACAACAACAACAGCAGGAAAGAAAGAAAAAGCAGCGAAGTCCACAAGCCCGCCTCAGCTGTGCACGTTGTCCTCTTCAAATGCCAGGAAGCTCAATGTCCTCGTCCGAGTCGCTCACCTTTTGCTTCTTTGACTTTCCACCACCACCACCGCTGCCGTTCTTCTGTTTGCTAACGGCAATGTCGTCATCCGATAGCCCCGCGGTGAGATCTTTATCCGCAGCGGCGTTCCCCCCGCGACCACCCGCGCGGCGGCCCGCCACAGGGCCCTCACTCGTGCCGTTTGCACCACCTCCAGCACTGCCGCGGTGGTTGTGGTGGTTGGCGCCAGCATCCGACGAGTCGCTGTCATCGTCGCCACTCTCGCCGGCGAGACTGCTGCTGCCGCTGTGAATCTGCTGCCGCTCCGCCTTCTTCATCGTCTTGAACCACTCGTTCGCCTCCTCCGTCAGATTGGCATCCTTGCAGATCTGCACGAGGTACTTCAAGCACTCCACGTTATTGGGGTACTTGCGGTGCACCTGCTCGTAGAGCCGCTTCGCCAGCACGTAGTCGCCGCGGCGGCGGTGGCAGGAGGCGACCATCAACTCCCACTTCACCTCCTGCGGCTGGATGTGCGAGGCGCGCTCGAAGAACTGCACGGCCTTGTCGTACACCTCGTTCTTCACAAAGTAGGCACCCAGCCACGAGATGACGTCCATGTTCACCTGGTAGTAGCGGTACGCCTCGAGGTAGTAGTGGAAAGCCTGCACGTCGTCCCCGTCGCGGGCGTAGAGGGAGCCGACGCGGGCGAGCGCGTTCGGGTCGGTTGGCACACGCCCAATCAACCGGTTAAACCACTCCAGGGCCGACGGGTCGCTGACGAGGTCGTTCAGGTCTGCGATTTGGTACAGCACCTCGCTGCTATCCACGAGGGCCTGGACCCGCTTGAACATGCGCACCGACTCCTCGTAGAGGCCGAGCTTCTTGGCGGTCAGGCCGAGGTTGTAGATGGCCTCGACGTTGTCCGCCTCCACCGCGAGGGCCTTGTTGTAGAACTCCTTCGCCTTCTCAAAGTCCTTCTTGACAAAGGAGAAGTTTCCCTTGTTCACCAGCGCCTTGGCGTTGTACTGATTCTCCTCCAGGCTCATGTCGCTGTACTGCTCGCCGTTGTCGTAGTCGCCCTCGAGGAAGTAGAGGTACGCCAGATTCGTCGCCGCACGCGCGCGCAGGCTCTTGTCCTTCTTTTCAAAGAGCTTGAGCCCGTTGATCGCCTCCTGGTAGCGCTTGTGCTTCAGGAAGTTCAGGTTCTTGCACATCTCGAGTTCGCTGGCGACGTGCGAGCTGGGGTCGCGCATCTCGTAGTTGCGGAGCTGGCCGATGATGTAGTCGAAGCCGACGCACCAGTCCTTGTTCAGCACCGGTGCGATGAGTCGCGCCGCCGTGATGATGTACTTCAGGTAGCGCGCGCGGCGTTCCTTGCGCATGCTGCTGAGGCCGTCGTCCACCAGCACGTCCTTCCGCTTCTCCTCCTCCTCGAAGTCCTGCTCGCCGTCAAGGCCGGCGAGGTGGCAGTTGAGGAGCCGCGTGAAAGCCCGCTTCATTCGCTCCGTCTCTCCCAGCGCGTAGTAGCACAGAATTAAGTTGAAGGTGGACGTCACATCCGCGTTGCCCTCCATCACCGTCTCGTAGCTGTTGGCCGCGTCGCGGTACTGGCCCAGCTTCACGAAGGCATTCGCGATGTTGCGGCAGAGACGGTAGCGGAGGTCCTTGCCGGCCTCCGGCGCCTCGTCCAGCGCGGCGCGGTACATCTTAATAGCGAGGAGGTAGTTGTTCTGGGCGAGGTAGATGTTGCCCATGTTCACGCGCAGCCCGCCCGCCTGCGGAAACTGCACGTTGCGGATAATCAAGTTGTACGTGTTGAGGGCCTCGTTGTACAGCTGGTGATTCTGGTACTGCACCGCCAGGTTAAAGTGTACGGCGTAGGTGAGGTCAACGTTGATTTGCTCAGCAAACCCGCGCTGCTCCCGCTGCTTGCACAGCTGCCGCTCCAGCTTGCCAGCGTCCCTCGCCTTCTCGAGCGCGGCACCGTAGTCCTTCTGCATGGCCAGCATGGCGCTCTCCTCGATCAACTTGTTCACCTGCTTCTCCATCTCGGCGAACTCTTCCTCAGGGCTGTTCTCGCTCCGTTTCTTGAGCGGCGGGGCGGGGCCGACGGCCATGTTGGCGTTGCGAGCCTGACCAGTCGGATCGAAGATCGCCGCCGCGCCGGTCTTCGCCGTGCTGCTGAAGCCGACTGGGCGGTTCGATGTCATGGGTCGCGCCGCACCGGCAAGGGCGCCGCCCATCGTGCCGAGACGGCTGCCGGGTACGCCCCAGGCCGACCCCATGCCGTTCCGGCCCCACTGCGAGGGCGGGGCTTGCATGAGCGGGTTGCCACCGAGGGACTTGGTGGGCGAGCCCTCAAAAGGGTTCGCGGCGGTGGTCCACGGGTTGGCGCCGCTCTCCGGGGTCTGGAAGGCGGCATAGATGTCGTCGGCGTTGGCCGCCATCGTGCTCATCCCTGCGCACCCGCTTTCAAGAGACAAATGATAAACGAAAAAGGAAAACCTACAGTGGAAATAGCAGTTTCTACCCGTGAGTGTGTTTGTGTGAGAGCGTCTGAAACGGCGCCACCGTCAACCTTTACTATGTGTCGTTTTTTTTTTTAATTTCGCCTCCACAAGTACGTAAATACACTCAGCGTAAAAAACTTCGCTTGTCTCGCGATTTCTGTCGTCAAGATGTCGTGGCACTACAGGGACTCGTCGTGCGCGGTGATTTATGGGGTGCGCAGCCGTGGGTGGGAAGAAGAAACCAAAGTAAAAATAGTAATAACAGGAGCATGGAAGAGAGGCAAAAGTGTGGAAGAGGATGCAAAGAACGGTAAAGCTGACGCGTCACGTCCACAACAGATGTGCACGTCAGGGGAGAGGAAAGGGGTGTACACCTCGCATAAGAATTGAAGTTCAACCGACACGAGCAGCTTCGTCCTGTGTGTTGAGAGCACAACACGGCTGATGATAAAAAAGGATGTCACCGCCCTTCCCCAGAGTATGCGCAGAAGTAGCTACCTTTCTCTTCGTCTTTCATTCTTTCTCATCTTCGCATTAGACAATATGAATTTACGCACAGAAAGATAGGTAAAAGAAACTTGAAAATAACATACGGAGAGAGACTTCAAAGCATTACGCACATCGAGAGCAGCGCCTCTTCCTTTTTGTTCACGAGAGAGAAAAGAATGAATTCAGCGCCCTTGTTCCTCTTTCAGGTCGTATAAAACCCACCAAAAAAAAAACAGAATTCAAAATAAAGGCGCTTGAAGTGAAGAAGGTGGTAATTCATAGACACGAAATCACACAGCCAGGGGCCACAAAAGGAGCTTAAGTTATTTAGAAACAAGAGCACACACACACACACACACACGCCACACCTGTGAGGGTACGAAACGGACAGAGCAACAGCTGGTGACACAAACGACCAATATAGGCTGTCATTTTCGGTCAGCACATCGTTTTTTATTTGCCTTTCTTTTGCTAACACGGCGCGAAAAGAAAGGTTTGAAAAGGAAAAAGACGAGGCACAGCAAATGAGGGATCGCCAACAACTCAGCTGATAAGGCTTGAAGTAGCAACACTCCACAACACCATGAGCAAACACAAAGAGCACAAGAAGAACAAGACGCACCCTAAAAATATGCATGCACCTAAGCCCGACAAGCTCTCATGAAAACGGCCGGAATGCGCCTAAGGATTCTCCTCCAACTTTCCTCAATAGGCTTACTTCGGTGCTTACGAGGGAGTGAACGGTTTGAAGGACGGCGGCGGCGGAGGAAGCCGTGCTGGAGTTGGTGCTGCCGCGGGGGCTGGAGCAGGGGCCGCCGGTGCCATTGCGAGCTGAGTCGCATATTGCGGTTGCTGTGGTGTGGGCAGCGTCTGTGTGGAGGGCGCGGCGATGACGGAGTTTGTACCTGGACGTTGCGCAAATGGATTGCTTTGCGCTAATGCCGTGCGCAGCGACGGTGGTGCTTGTTGTTGCGGCGGTGGCGGCTGCGGTGGCTGAGGCGCAGAGGCCTGTGATTGCCAGGCAGGAGGAGGAGAGGATCGCATGGCTGACGGAGCGCCGCTTGCGATGTTCGAGCTTGTGGCGGTGGCAACGGCAGTGGGCAACGGCATGAGCGGTGCCGAACCATGAGTAGACCCGATCGGGTCACCTTGCGCGTGCAGGCTGGCGTTGCTGCTCCAGTTCACAGGGGCGGAAGTAGAACAATTGTATGACGCCTGCGTAAGAGGTGCAGTGGGCACAAAAGACGAGAAGTTGTCTGTAGTTTCAGGTAAGCTAGAGCCGTACGTGTTGAGGCTGCCCTGCGGAGGGGAGTAGGCACTATAAAGTTGCTGTTGCGGACAGTGCTGTGGTGGAGGTGGTGGTGGTGGGTACTCCTGGCTCTCCGAGTGGGACCGCGGCCGCAGCATATTCATGTTCGTTGCTGGGGGGGACGCCGACGCGTCGTAAGGAGGGGACGACGACCCCTGTGCCCCCCACGGCGGCAGCGAGGGGGCGGCGTAGGAGGCGTGCACCGACGAGTTGGAAGGCGACGCGGAGCCGCGCGACACCGCCGTCGGCGCTCGAGCCGGCTGCGGCGCGGCCGCAGAAGGATATAGGGGATGTGCAGCCGCGGCGGGCGGGTACGGTGCGGTGGCGTAGCCAGAGGGCCTCGCTGGCAGCCCCGTCGCTGCGGTTGGTGGCGATGACTGAGCGGCTTGCGTGGGCGGTCGAAAGTCCTGGGGTGGGGACAGGGAAGCGGGCGGATAGGGGGAGCTGCGGATTGGTGCGGACGCCGCGGTGCCCGAGTACGCGGAGCTCGCCACGTAGTGATTTGCCTGTTGCGGCGCCGTTTGCTGAGAATGAGAGGGGGCGCCGGGGTACGGCGGCTGCGGGGCAGGAGCGGCGTTGCCGAAGTAGTCGGGTAACGCATACTGCGGACCGCGCCCGACGTGTGCGCCGCCGCCGCCAAACAAGCCGCCCGGCACCGACTTCGCACCCGGTGGAGGTGGCGGGGCGCCGACGTTCATCGACGCTGGCGGTCGCTGCATCCCAGCCGGCGGCGGAGGCGGAGGTGGAGGCGGGGCCAGGATCGTCCGCTGCCCTGTCCGCTCCTTCTCGGCCTCCTCCAGCTGCTCGTAGTACTCCCGCTGCACACTCTGCGGGGCATCCGCCGAGACGGTCCACCGGCCGAGGTTGGCGTCGAAGTAGTACCAGTTCTTCGTCACGGGTAGCCCGTTCTCATCCAGCTCCGGGCCGTCGCCCGTGCCGCCGTTGCCGCCGCCGCCCTGGGCACCACCAGCGCCAAACCCAAAGGGGTCGTTGCGGCTGCCTCCACTACCGCCGCTGCGCACGTTGGTGTTCCAAAAACGTGTCGCCTTCTCATTCGCCTGCCGCCACACGCGGCCCAGCTTCGCCTCCCACTGGCTCGCCGCGTCGGTGAAGGTGTGGTCTGCGTCCTCGCTCTGGCCGTTTGCCGCCGTGCCGGCAATCGCGTCGACGCTGGAGCTGCGGTTGTCCGTGGAGGCGAACCCGGCGAGCTCCGTAGTGGGGAGGCTGTCGGTGTGGCCGCCGCCGTCGCCGTCTGCGCTGCGAGCGCCAATGTCGAGCCCCAGTTTGGACTGGAGCCACCCAACAGCGCGAACGGACATGTCAAAGACGATCCCCTCAGTGTCCTCCTTTTTCGTAATCTTTTTCTTTACCTCTTGTCGTACGATCAACTGCTGGGCAGAAATTGATGTCTACACAAACCGTTCTCGACGCGGTGCCGCTGAGCGAACAAGAAGCGCAAACCAACGTGTATGCAAACGTTTGATACATAAAATGAGATGCTGAACACGCCGGCACAGTACCCAATTCATGTAGAAGAGTTGTCGAATACGCGGCCAGGAAAAATGGGAAACACGTGGATATAAAAGGAAAGAGAAGGAAAGAGAAGGAGCGAGAGGAGAACGAAGTCAACAACATTTCGTATCCGCGGCATTAACGGTGTTGGGTGGGGGCGGCGACGCATCACCTACTTCCCCAAGAACGAAAAAGGAAGATTATTTTTCAAAGCGTCAATGAAACGCTACCGCAGAAAGAAAGAAAAACTCCACTTTGTACGCACGCAGTTACCGCGAAGCCGAAACGAGCCAGCAGAGATGCAACTTACCGTCTTCTCTGGCGCTTCTCTCCGCATGGAGGAGAGAGCGAAACCCTTTCGGTGTGTTTGCGTGAGAAAAAGAAAAAAAAACAAAAGGAAAAAATGTTAAGCGGCAAAAAGATGTTCGTACGACTCCCTCACCTCTGCCAAGAGCTGTCGCACCCGCTCTCCAGCCATCGCCCGTTCGTCCTCCGCTGCTACCATCCCTGGTGCCACGCTCCCAATGCAATGCACACAAAACGTCAGAAAGCACGTCATGCTCGCATAGGACCAATTGGTGCCGCCGTGCAGCATCGCGTCGACGTAGTCCCTCCACACCACCACATCCTTGGTGTCGCAGATGACCGTAAGGTCGTCCACGGAGAGGCTGCGGACGAGCCGCTGCGCATCGCGGAGAAAGGTCTGGGTCATACACTCGATGTTGAAGGTGTTACACCAATTGTGGTTGAGGGCCATCGTCAGCGGTCCCACCAGACTCGAGGTGGAGGACGCGCCCTGCGGACTGCCCGTCTCCTCATCGGACGCGGCAGGGTTGGTGTACCAAGAGGCAGGAAAGGTTTCACCGGAAATGTTGTGGACTTGGTGGTAGAAGCGGGCCGGCACAAAGACGAGATCGCCGGGGTGCTGCACCACACTCTCCGTGGCGAACCCCGTCAAGACACGGATGTCGGGTGGGGTGGGGAAAGACGGCAGGAGATGCGCATGCAGATAGGCGTTGCCCGACATGGTCGGGAAGAACCACAACTTGTCGCCGCACACGTTGAAGGACCAGGAGTAGGTGCCGAAGACGTCGCAGTGCAACGGCGTCCAGCTGCCCACTGGGCCGATGTAGGCAAAGCGATAGTCACTCCTGTTACTGCCAAAGCCCACAGGTCGCGGGGTGCTCGTGCAAGCACTCGTTAGGCCGTTACCACCACATTGCATTGCTGCTGCTGCTGCTGCTGGTAATGAAAATTCTTCCTCCGACCCTGCAAGTGGACTCGCTGACGACTGCGTCATGTAGCGACAGAAAGGGTCCATCCAGTCTGCTCCCAGGAAGTCCGGCACACGGTACAGCGCGTTGCCGTGCGCGCCTTTCTCTCTCTGCCTAGCAAAGCCAGATGTCACTGCAAGCGAGCCCCCAAACAATTCGCCCTCTGTGTTGGCGGCTGCGTTCTCCAGCGCCTCCTGAAGATGCCAGTCTTTGAGGTAATACACGCGCGACTTCGAGGTGCCGACACCCCTGTGCGCACCCGTCTGGTCCCACGATTCCAACACATTCCTCAAGGGAACTTCTCTACAGCCCTCGTCATCGTCTCCGTCAATCTCCGTAGCTGCCGCTGCCTCACCTCTACCGCTCCTGTACGTCGGTCCACACGGGCTAGTTTCTCCTTCATCACGGATCGCCTCTGCGCAACCGTCTTTTGCAGCCGTATCGTTGAGTTCTGCGGTGCAGGGCGATGGGTATACCGGCACTAGCGTCTCTGGTCCTATTGTGTCGAGCAGTACCTGGGGACTCAGTCGATGAATCAGCTCGGTCAGATCGAAGTAGGTCGTGCCACCGTTTTGACAGGCATTCCTAATGATGGCCGGACGGTTCGGCTCGAGGCAGTTGCAACGGAACTCCTCGTAGGTGAGGCTTGCGCCGTCAAGCTCCAGCATGACGATCACTGCTGTCACTCGCTGCGTGTACTGGCCCTGTTGAGGAACAGAAGGGCCTGAAATCTACGAGTGTGTTTACGAGCGTGTTTGTTTGTTTTGATGGCTTTCGCAGGTAAGTGAGCGGTACAGCACATTATCATTATTATTATTGTTTTTGTTCCAATTTGGCTCCTGGAGTTTTTTTTTTTTACGAGCAGGAAGGAAGAGAACGAAACGACAGCGGTTCAAATGGGCGTGCAGGGATGAAAATGCGAAGGAAGGGAAGGTACGCGAAGATGCGTACAGGGTGCTACACGCAATGAGCCCAAGCACGAAGCAATCACCGATACGCACAGGGGTGCTCTTGCTCTCACTGTTGTGCCGCTCAACACATATAAAAAAAAACTTGAATGTCACACGCCTCCTCTCTTCTTGTTCTTCTTAAACACATTGCCACAATACGATAGGCAGACGAAATACCTTTGTCAACATCACCCTGAGAGCTGAAGCGCGTCACCTTCTCTGCGGTCTCGCATAACGCTCTCCTCGGCTCTCGTCCAACCCACCTCCTCCGCTGCGTGCTTCTGTTATCCGCTTACAACGATGTCTGCAGGTACATGAGGTTTTGGGAAAGCGCAGAGTACCCGATAACGGCGTCGAGGTGCGCCAGCATGTACTCCGAATAGAGGCAGGCGTGCAGCACATTGCTGTTCGCTTCCATCGCATCACGCAGCGCGGCAGTGACGACGCCGGCGCCAAGCTGGTTTCGTGGCGGAGTCCCACCCGCGGCATCGCGCGGCACAGAAGACACGCGTTCGCCGTCGCCCGCCACCCCGTCGTCGTTCATGAATGCATCCCAATGCTGCAGCAGCGCATCATACAAATGGAGAAGTGAACTGCTCGTCGTGGCGGAAGAAGCTGTTGCGGTACCGGCAGCGGCCGCCGTCTTCTTGGGCGTGGGCGCCTGGGCCCCACCTACCCCATTTGCGTGTATCTTGTGCTGCAGAACATCGCGCAGTTGGCACAGCGCCGCCTTCAGCGGTCCATCCACCGGGTCCAGCAGGGTGTAAAGGACGCGCGGATCCGGCAACACGCAGAGCGACACCACAAGATCGGCGATTAAGGAGCTCACCGTGAAGGGCGTTGCGTCCAGGTGCTGCACCATCTCGCAGAGAGCCACCGTAAGCGGCGAGCGCTGCACTCCCGCGTGGCGCCAACAGTTGCTCGACGGCCCTGACGTGCGCTGGTGTGAGGAGGGTGTTGGGGTGACGATTCCTTTGCCTTCACCCGCACCAGTGGCGGCAGCCGGAGAGCTGGTGCTCTTCGGGTTGAGCTGGGTCATCGCACTCATCACCTCCTGACGTGCTCGCAAGGCATCGAGAGGCATGTTGCCCTCCGTCCGCAGCAGCCGTGTCAGCACTTCCTCCCCCACCTGTTCCGCCTGCAAACCCAGGACAGAGCTGTTCGCGGTCGTCTCGTGCAACTCCTTCACAAAGTACTCGTGCACCTTCAGGTGCGGTGGTGCCCGGCCCGTCGACCACAGCCCGAGGTTTGCCACGCGGCCGTCGCCTGCGGCTACAGAAGCGGAGGTAGCGCCGGACGAGGTGTCCTGCCGCTGCCTCCGCAGCACGTCCGCAAGGGAACTCGTGTCCATCAAGAACACTTCGCGCAAAAACACGTCCGGCACGTTCTCGGCGAGGGCTTGGATGAGCACCAGCGTCGCCTTCGCGGTCGACCACCGCGTCGTGGCGTAGCCCAGCATCGCGCTGCTCTCCCGCTCATCAGCGGACATGTACGGGTTGCTAGAGAGGTGAGGGAGGATGTAGTACGAAAAAAAGGACGTCGTGGGGTGCACCTGCAGGCTCGCCGCAGCCGCCTCCTCTTGCTGTCCAAGCGTGGTGGCACTCGGACTGGCCTTGCCCGGGCCGCCCTCGTCCGTCACGACGCTGTCGTAGTGATCGGCCTGCGGAATGATGCGGCCCGACGACTTACGGATCGACGTCGCGAGCAATGCGTTGGCCAATCCCCTTGTCAGCGCCGGTGCGTTGCCCTTCAGCTCACGCAGCACCTGCGCCGCCACCAGGCACGCCGCGGCGTACACGTGCGTGTCGGACGACTGCAGCAGCGGGATCAGAGTCTGAAAGTAGAATTCCCTGTCAATCAACGTGGCGAGCCGCAGGTCCGCGGCGACGCCGGGCGACATAGTCAGCAACGTCGCCCAGAAGCGCAGCACATCGCGGAGGAACAGCACCTGCGTCAAGCTATCGTCGTTGTCCGGAATCTTGCACAGCGTCAAGAGCGTGGTGCGCGCTGCCATGAGGGTGCGCGACGCCACCCGGTCCTCCTTGCCCACCAGCGCCTGTATCCACGGGTCGGGGCACTTGGCCAGCGAGACGACGGCGCTCAGGGCGTAGCGGCACGTGTCGCGGCGGTGCGTCCACCCAGGGGCACTGCAGTCGTGCGTGAGGTAGGGCAGCAGGGCGTCCAGCAGCACAAACAAACTGCGCTCCCCCTGCGCGCCGTCCTCGACCACGAAGAAGTTCGCCAGCGCCGGTACGCGCTCCATCTTCTCCGCCAGGCTGCTCAGGAAGATGACGAACTGGGTGCGCCCGGCGTCTTGAAGGAAGGTTCCGTCCTGATCGTCGTCTCCGCCGGTCCAGGGGTAGATCAGCGACGACGACATGGACGCGCTGCCGTGCTTCAGTGGCGTGGTGGATGGATTGAGCATCCTGCTGACTTGGCGGAGCATGTCGAGCAGCGGCACGATCAACAGCTGCGGGTTCAGCTGGAGCAAGGAGAGCACCGGATCGCCGACGGGATAGGCGGCTCGGTCAGTCGGCAAGTCCGCCTCCTGCAGCAGCCGCACGAGGAACTCGAGCATGATGGAGCGGACGCCGGGTGGCTCGTCCTGCTTTGCGTACTGGCACAGCGTGAGAAGGAAGATGCTGCCGATGGGCGATGGCTCATCGAATGGCTTGCCAGTTGTCTTGCTGGCGTGTGTACCGGCATCTGCTTGTGCAACCGGTAGTGGAGTAGGTCCGTCATTCCCGCTACGGTTGTTCGCGCTCCCACTCTCGTCGCCTCTCATACTGCTTTCAACAGAAGACGGCGGCCCGTCGTGGTGTGCGTCCGCAAATAGGAAGCGATAACATGGCGGAAGAGACGCCAGCGCGCCGTCGAAAAAACAGCCGCTGGCAGGCGACGGCGCCGAAGCGGTGGCAGCTGCGGGCACCAGCGCACCACTCAGGGGCGCGTGCGGCCCATTACCGGGTGAAGACATACCTTTCGCTGTCTCGCCTTCTCGTGTCCTTGGTGGGTTTAGCGCGGGCGCTTCGAGTTCAGAGTGGAAGGAGTCGTCAACACTAGGCAGGTGGGTGTGCAGCAGCTGTGCCGAGGTGAACTGCTTGCGGTCCGTGAGTAACACGTCGATAATGGTGTTGAGACTGTCCTCGACGATGCCGAGCTCGCGGACAAGGACGGCGCGCTCCTCAACGGAGTTTGCACAGTGCACACGCTGGAAGTAGTCGCACAGTAGCAGCCACTGGTCTTGAATGACGGACACCATCGACGGCGGTTGCGCGGGGAGGTGCTTGGAGACCGCGGAGAGGGATGGAGTAGGGGCTGCTGGTGGGCTCGGCGTGAGAGGGGCGTTGGCGTCGGCATGTTGCTGTAGGGGAAGAAGTGGGGGCTGTGCTTCCGCTTGTGGCTGTAGCTGCTGTTCTGGCTGAGGTTCTGCTTGTGATTGTGCTTCCGCTTGTGGATGTGGCTCTGTTCGTGGCTGCAGCTGCTGTTCGGGCTGCAGCTGAGGTTGCGGCACGGACTCCGACTCGAGTTGCGGCTGCGGTTCGGGCTCCATCTCAGGCTCCGGTCCGGGCTCCGGTTCGGGCTCACCAAGCAGCATCCGCTGGAAACGCGCGTGCATGTCGTTGTCCATGTTTTGCGTCTGCGAGTCTTTTTCTTCGCAGTGACACGACTAGAAGGGGGAAAAGAAAAAAATACACCGAGTGTGCAAGAGAAAAAAGCCTGTACGAAGCGCAACGGTGCAGTCAAGTATAGTTATACGGAAAGAAATGTCGATGTCTTTCTTTTTTGATGAGCGTAGAGCTGCGTAGATTAAACTGGCATAGAATTACGTGCAGTCCACGAAGCGGGCGGAGAACTAGAACAATAGCACGACTGCTCTGCGTTATTGTCTAAGATGAATGTGTACTTGGGCTTCCCCCACCGCCGCCGAGCTGAGGACAGAAGTTGTAGAGGAAGAAAAGTAACACAACACGAAAACCACGAGGGTTTTTTCTGGATTTGCCCAGAGTTTTGGAATAAACAGTTGCGAGCCTGTTGAAATTCTGGTAGATGAGAATCAAAAGCCGCAAAACAAGAGAAGAAGCTTCCTGTTTTCCCTTTGTCGAGCGATGCAGGCTGTTTTGGCAAACGTTTGCGAGGCTGAGCGAAAAGGCGAAATGTGTGAAGAAGAAGAAGAGGAAGAGGTTGTGCAAAACGACAATGACCGACGTAACATACATATATATATATATATATATATATATATATATATCAACTAGCGCACCACCCACGGCATGCGCTTCTCCAGTTATTAGTGCTGAAAGTACACATCGATGTGTCGGTCCAAGCAGGCAGCCCGCGTAGTCCCTCAGCGGCGCGCGTGCGTGTATTGTGTGTATTTCGCGCGCACACGTTGTTTGGAAACGCGCCACTGGCAGCCTACGCAATCGAAATCCCCGTTTTCTTTTCGCAAAACAACCCATTGTATGATGCTGATGTCACCCTTATGGCACGAATCTCCGGAGTACTCCCGCCTTGTTTTCCCCCTGATTCTTGCTTCGTGCGCTCTTTACTGTTGTTGTTGACACTGTTTGTTAAATTCAGCAATAGGAATTACTGTTGGTGCTTGTCCACCTTTATTTAGCCGATTCGAAGGCCTTCACAGAAGAAAACCTCAACTGCAGAACCTCTTTTTTGTTTAGCGCGGTGCAGCAGCACAAAACGGCACTGCAGCTACTGACTATCGCAGCAACACTCAGAAAGAAGAAAGAATATCAAGAACGCCTCGAGACACATTTCGCAAGGGACAGGGAGAAAGAAAATCATCAACGTAAGCGAGTGGTGTATGTGCCCTCAGTTATCTTGTGCGGCTTCTTCGTCGTCATCCTCTGTATCCGAGTCGTCGTCCATGCCGTAGAAAAACTGCTGGTGATGCTTAATGTTGCCGCGATTCGGGTTGACCAGCTCATCCACTTCTTCTTCACCGTCTTCCCCATCGTCGCTCTGCTGCGTTCCACGGTGCACCTGTGGGCCTGTCAAGACAGATGTGGTGGTGTGGGTGGTAGAGCCATACTGCGGCATGCGTTGCACCGCCACCCGTTGATCCTCCGCCTTCTTTTGCGCCGCGCTAACTCGCTCCCGCCACGCACCGTGCGCAGGGTCCTTCAAGAAGTTCTCGAGCTGCTCCGGCGAGGGTTTGAAAGTGACAGTACCGTCAGACACCACGACGATGTCCTTGATGCTGAGCCAGATAACTTTGTGGAACTTGCGGGGCAGGAAAACGAGCTGCTCCTTCTCGAGCAGCGCCCCCGCCTGTTCCTCTGGGGCGGGGCTTGCCGAAGCGGTGTTGTCGCCACCAGACGCCGGCGCCACGGCGGTCTGATTCTCAGCCTCGGCGTCCGCTTCGCTCAACTTGGGCACGTTTTCGGGATGCGCAAAGAGCAGGAGAACGCGCACGTGTTGTCCATGGGGCGACTCCAAGCACACCGCCAGCGTCTCACCCTCCTTGGGGCCCACCCACCCAGACACATCAAGATACTGCCGGGTAAGGTGCTTTGCCCGATGCTTACGGCCTGCGCCACTCATCTGCTGCCACTATCTGTCTGTGTGTGAAGTCAGAGCGCGCCGACACAAGAAAGACGACGACAAGCAACGGAAAAAAAAAATCGTGCGCGTTGTTTTGGTTGTGCGCAGGATGTTTGCGATGTGAGAGAACAGCGTCTCATGAGGGCGACAAAGTGGCAAAAACAGAGAAAAAAAAAGGAGGGGTGAAAAACACAGATACGAGCGGTAGATCAACGCAGTACAGCAATTGTACGCGATGGAAAGATAAAACGATTTTTGTTTCCGAAATGCTGACCCAGCGAATGAATACAACGGCGAGGACTTCACCGCGCACGCAACGCAGCAACAACAAATAAAACCTTCTCCCTCTGGACTTCTTTAGATATATTTATTTGGATCTTTTTATTCGTCGATTTCACTTTGGGGGATGCTGAGAACCGTCATAGGACGGCGAGAAGAACAGTTTGAGTAGGTGAAATAACGAGAAGAGAGAACAGCGTTGCGGTTTATGACAAGGGCACAGATCCAGGCAGAAGAAGGACCGCAGCGCAAGCGAGAGAAGAAGAAAAGCAAAGGTGCACTTCCCATTCACCCAACTCGCGGCACCGGAGCGGGGGAATTCCATAAGCAAAACGAAGACGAAAAGAGGGTCCGAAAGACCGGGAAAACAACAGATTTATCGCTGTAAGTAATGCTTTCCTCCGCGCGTCAAATTAATAAACAGTTTCTTTAACACGGCGTCCAATCGTACGCGAGTTTCGAAGCAAAGAAGAAAAAGAGTGATGTCTTCTCTTCGATTATTTAAAAAAGCGCAATTATTTAGGGAGGCAGACAATGCCCATCGCTCAGGAAACGAAATAACAATAGAAAACCTGTTTGTGCGGACTGCTGCCATTGTCTCGTCTTCTTTCTCTCTCCGTGGTTCAACGTCACTACGGCCAGTCGCGGTAGGGCGGTGGATAGGCAGTTTCACTGTTGGAAAAGCGCTCGCCTGAGTTTTCGTCGTCGTACTCGCCAACGACGGAGGCGAGCAGCGTCATGTCGTCCGGCTTCCCGCCCTCAAAGAGCGCGCCCTGCTCAATACACTTCGACGCGTACGGGGAGTCGCAGTGCACGTCGTTGGCCACCACCGCAGCGTCTCGCATGACCGCATCCGAGCCGACCTTCAGCGCCGCCATGATATCGTCCACCAGCAACGCTCGCAGGTTTCCACTGCGTGAGTGGCGGCGCAGCATCGCCTCCGCCTTCCCTGGTTCATCGCCCGGCAGCTGAACGTAGCCGTGCTGGCGGTACACTTGCTCCAGCGGCGGCCACAGAGCGGCGGCGATTTGCGCGGGGTAGAGATTGTCGAAGACGCCGTCGCTGCCCATCACGATGACGTCGCCCTTTTCGACTGGCACAAGACGTCGCACACCGTCTTTCGGGGTGTCGGCGCTGCCCGTGCCAAGCTGAAAGGGATAGTCCAAGGAGTGGCTCTGCTCCACCGTCGTGTACACCACCTTGCCGCCGCGTATGATCATCACGGTGCAGTCCCCAACGTAGGCGATGTCGAGCAGGTAATTCTCTGCGTCATCGGTGCGACGGAAGTGTGAAAAGGCGGTTTGGAGATCGGCCGTGGTCGGCACCTCGACGACGGAGGACGTGAGCCCAGTGCCGCTCTCCCCGCCGTCCTCTTCTTGCACACCGTCTCCGCTTTTAGGGGGCAGCGCCGCAGCCGTCGCCACCGCTATGTTGTCTGGAAGCCGCAGCGACGGCCCTTCGAGCAGCACTACCTCATACTGGTCCTTTGTCTGGATTTCTACCCGCGGCTCTTGCAAGGTGGCAACGAGTGCGGTGCAGGTGCCGAAGACGTCGCCGTGCTTGCAGCTCTCAGAGGAGCCTTCGAGAAGCCGAAACGAGCTGGCTGGGGTGTCTCCAAGGAGCTCATCTTCGATGTACTCGTACATGGTGCGGGCGAGGGCAGCGCTGTACAGCCCTGCCGTGACACCGGTGTTTTCCTTCCACCAGCTTACACCATCGAGCACTGCTTGGACGTTGTGCAGCGAAAGAAAGGCATCCTCGCCGCCAAGTTCGGCCTTCTTTGGCTCCGGAACGGTGCTCACATTGCGGTAATAGAACGAAAGTTTTCTCCCTAGTCGCCAGCCGTGCTTGCGAAGCATGGTTCAGTTTTTCTTCTCTTCTTCCGCCGCTTTAATGATTATTTCTTCGCGCTTTACAGGTTTTCGCTCTGGAAAAAAAAAATAGGGCTTTTCTTTTGTATTGTTTTACGCTCACGTCGACCTTACTCGCTGTTTACTGTTACGTGGTCAGCCGATGAGACGGTGAAAGCAGAAAAAAAAAGAGAACGGAGTTATCGCCGTAAAGTGTGTGGCTGTTTTCGGCTCTATTAGGAACGCTTCGTAGGTGTGACGGAAAGGCAGGATTACACGTACATGCAAGACGCTGGTGAGTCTGGGGTCTCAGCACGCTCCGATTGTGAAACCGGGAAACCTGAAAAACAGAACGCTCTTGTGGTGCGACACACACCACAAGAAAAGTTTATTATATATATATGAGAATACGTAAGTACATATATCTCGAGATTAATGGCCAGTACAAGTGAAAAAGAAAAACACGAAGAGAGTTCAAAAGGTTCTTCTTCCGCTTCTTTGCTGGCGCCTCTTGCTTAACCGAAGAGAACGCCGAAAAATGGTGGATGTGTACTGTGAGTGCACCAGATACATCTGCTGCGAGAAAGCGCACGGGTTTGTCACAGCAGGCAAGGAGAAGAAAAAGAAAGAAGGAGAGGGAAAGTGAGCAACGGGAGCACAGATGGAAAGGTGTTCTACACAATACGATGTCCACCAACAAAAGCACGTCAATAGAGCCGTGAAAAAAAAAGAGGTTTTTTTCCCAACAGCTCCGGTCGCTTCTTTGGTTAGACATTTGATGCATCCGTTTTGAAAGGACGAGCAAAGGATCACTTTATTGTTGTCCCGTGAAGACATTCCGCCCCGACCCCCCTCCCCCTTATGCCGCCGCTGAAAAGCGTACGCCGGTGCACCTCGACAGCTTCAACGGGGGTTGCAAGGCACGGGGGAAACAAAACGAAAAGCGAAAGCTGCCTCACTGACCGTGGCAGACGTTCGCCCCAACAGACAAAACACAAGAGGGAGAGCTTTGCTACGCAACGCCATTATTGTTGATGTTGGTTTATTTTTCCCAACCTCACATTTCGTGGGCACGACAGACTCAAATGAGAATGGAGAGAACGAAAAAAATTGAAGCGCGATGAAACAGCATTACTGGACGAAAACAGAGAAAAAGGAAAGAAATCGAATACAGAAAAAAAAGGGTATCTATGGGTGGTTGTGCGTGAGGCTGCGCGGGAGGCAGCGCGGAGGGAGTGCGAAATGCAGCACGAGTAAGATATAAAAAACGAGGAGCGTGAGAGTCAATGAAGAACGCTCACGTCTCCACCGCACGGGCGCACACGCACACCCTCGCACGCACGCACCGCGCAACGACACGCAGTCAGCATCGGTGATGCGGCGGGAGGGGGGAGAAGAGAGAACTTCACTTCTTCGCGGCCTTCTTGTGGGCAGCCTTCTTCGCCGGCTTCTTCGCCACCTTCTTCGTGGACTTCTTCGCCACCTTCTTCACGGCCTTCTTCGCAGCCTTCTTCGCCGGCTTCTTGTGGCCAGCCTTCTTCGCCGCCTTCTTCGCCGGCGCCTTCCTCTTCGGCGCGGCCTTCTTCGCAGCGGCCTTCTTCGCGCCAGCGCGCTTCACGGCAGCCTTCTTCGGCGACGCGCGAGGCGACTTCTGCGGCGAGGTAGCGGCAGCAACGGCGGCGGGCACGGCAGCGGGCGCGGCAGCGGACATCTTCGAAAGGAGCGGGTTGGGTGGGAGAGAGGAGGGGGAGTGAGTACGAGAGAGAGAGCGGTGAGAGCGACTAGGGAAAGCTGTGCAGCGGCGGAATGGGGGCGGCGAAGGTGGAGTGAAAGGCGTCGGAGGCGAGTGCGAAAGGTGCAATGGGGAAGCAAGCAATCAAGAAAAAAAAAGTGCAAAAATAGAAGGGAAGACGGCGAGGCAGGTAATATGACGGAAAGGGTGCTTATTTGAAAGGAACGCAGTCACAATCATTACCGTACGTTTCTTTCATAGTCATGGCTCTCTAACGACGTCAAAACATCACGTGTAAGCAGAGGTGTGACTCTACCAGAAAACCTCCATAGTGCTAAAAGCCCGTCGTGGAGTAGAGGAAGCGATGGAGCAACGCAAACGGACAGCCGCACGGAGCCCGCTATCGTGACATCCATCCAGCGGCGTCGACGCACCAACGTGCGATGCTCGAGAGGGAGAGGGAGAGAACACAACGCGGAGCTGTTGTCAACACCTCCTACCCGTGAATCGTTCTGCTGTTTTTGTACTTCTCTGTGATACCGTTGTCGAGAGAAACACAAGTAGTAATAACACAAATAACGGGAAATAATAAGCGTGACATAGCTGTCGAAAATAGACGCCAAAAAAACAAACAAAATATATGTACATATATAAGAAGACGGCACGTACAAAAGCGGAAAATGGGAAAGAAGGTGAAACGAAAGGCACAGAAAGGGTCTCGAGACCACACACACAGACACAGACACAGAGAGAAAGATATTTGCCGTGGAACGGATAGAGCAAATGAACAACGCGGAGCACAGAGCTGAAGCAATAAGAACAAGACAAGGGGGAGAAAAAGAAAGGCACTTGTAAGCATACGCAAGAAGACGGAAAGCAAAACAGAGAAGAGAAACAGGTGCAGAAACCCAAACAAAAGCAGCACTGTTTCCAGTTGTAAAAACAAAGAGATTAAACAGAGAACAAACTAAAAGCAGGGGAAAAATACGCAGCCGTCGAAAGAAGAGCTACAAAGATTCCCTCGCCTTTGAGGATGCCGACGGCCTTGCTCATAGATCTTCCCTTCCGTTTTTGTTAGGCTCGTACGGACAGGCGCATGCTCTTCAGTCACGAAAAAAAAAAGGGAGTGAGCAAGTATCGTGAAAGAAAAGAAAAAAAGGATCGCCTTTCGCAGCAATGCGCCAACGAGGAGAGCAGACACTCATCGTGCGCCGCTAAATGAAAAAGGATGTACTCTGCCTGCTCGTCTCACACGATGCTTCCAGGCTTTTTCGAGTAAACACGAAAATAAAAACTAGAGAAGACACTTCCGAAGTCCTCCTCATGATTATTGCTCGGAAGCGGTGAAGAGGCTATCGAATTGTAAAAAAACCGTTCCCGTTTCCCTTTGCTGCACGACGGCAGATTGTCACACCCACCGCCGCGAATGCAGTGCTTTGTGAAAAGGCCGGAGGCGGCAACAACACGCAAGTCACGGAGTACGTGCAAAAACAAAAGAAGAGGAAGAAAAGGTCCTTCTTTTCGTCCTTGCGGTCGTCGAGGTTCGCAACGGCGCGCCGTTTCGTTTCAACAGATCTTCTTTTTACATCATTGTGCAGCCACCCTGACCCGAGCGACGTTGCGGCCGCTGGCCACTCTGAAACTGCGGGTGCACGGCGGGAGACGTGGAGCGCTGTCGAGACCCTAAAGGGCTAGCTCGCGTCGGTGTCATGCCATTCGGCTTGCGCGCTTTTTCTCTCTTCGGCAACACCGCGCTGGTGACAGGGGTAGTGCCGTCGCTCACGCGGGTGGGGGGCGTCGCCGTAACGGCAGGGGTGCCCGGGTCGGCCGCAGGAGCCGGAGAGGCGACCGGGCCGCCGCTCCGCGTGCGGTGTTGCCGGGACCCGTACGAAGCCTGCTGACTTGCCGATCGCGGCGGAGTGGTGAGCGGAGGCAGCAGCGTTGCGCTGCGCTGCGGCCGTTGCTGCGGTGACCGAGCCGGCGCCATGGTCGGCGAGGCACGCATCGCTACACCAGCGCGTCGCTGCTGCTGCTGCTGCTGCTGCTGCTGTTGGGCACGCTGAAGGTATTTGCGCTGCAGCCGGTGAGCGAAGGCCTCGTCTTGCGCAGCGATCTCGCGCAGGCGGGCCGCCTCGGCGGGGTCGACGGGGGCCGAGCTGCGCGGTGTCTGCAGATCGCCTACGCCGCGTAGCGTCTCGGCGCAGCACATCGGGCACGAGTTGCTCCGCTGTTTCCACTCCATCAAACAGGCTAGGTGGAAATGGTGCTGGCATTCGCCGCGGAACATCGGGTTGTCATCGCTGTACTCCTCCAAGCAAATGCAGCACACGTCAGGCTCCTCATCGAGCGCGGGCGGCGCACGAGGCGACGGGGCGAGCGTACTGCGCACCGGCGGTGGCGACGGCGCGGTGTAGATCGCCACCGGTGGCAACTCCGGCATCGGTGACGGCAGCGCCGACGTCTCCCGGGCGGGCATCGCCTCTGCACCGTCACGTTGTGACGGCGGTGACGCGCTCGTGCGCAGTGTCGGTGAAGTCGCCGCCGCTTTTGTATTCGCGGGGGACCTCTTTAACACTGGCGACGGCGTGCGCGGCACGACCTCCGGCGACACGGGCGGCTTCGTCGTCACCGCCGCCGTAGTGGGCGTAGTGGCCGCCGCACGCGTAGCCGTGGTGGGTGTTCGGCGCGGCGAGGGCGACGGCTGCGGCGTTCGCGATCTGTTTTCGGACTCCCTGTGTGCCTCTTGCTTCTCCGGCTGCACCACAATTCTCGCGCCCAGCAGCCCGGGAGAGCACCCTGAAGGGGCGGAGCTGCTCAGCTTCACCGTGCATGTGCGGTGGGTGGGCAGCAGCACCGGCGTCGTGGAGCATGGAGTAGCCGGGTAGCGTCCCACCTTTTCGTCGGTTGTGGTCGCGTTTCTAAGCGGACTGCCGGTCACGTCAGTCGCCTCGGCCCTGCCGCCGGACGATGGAGTAGACGGCTGCGAAGACACGTCGGCGGCCTCGGCCACGTTGGAGGGGTCCTCCAACACCATCTCGAACGGCTGCGCTTTTTCGTTCTTGCAGAGGCCGTGAGCGACGTATTGCTCCTCGGTGTTGCCGAAGACTTCGGTGGATGTGCAATTGCTCGGCATTTTCTTTTTGGGGGTTATTTTTGTATGTGTACGCCTCAAGGATAGCTTCACGGGCAACAAGAGCTAAAAAAGAAAAAATGAATGATGAATGATGTAGCTGAATTGATTGCGTGTTCGACCGGCGTGTACGCGAACTACTGCAGTCCAATCAGCAGTTCAGTTTCCGCCTTTGGTGTGGGGTGAAAACAAAAAACTTCCTATTTTTGATGTCAAAGCACTTGCACAGCGGCAGTAGAAATCAGAGAAATGGATATCAAGAGCTACGCCCGTTTACAAAGCAATCACTGTGTTGAGGTGAAAGCCTGCTGCGACGCCGCGTATTACTTCTTTCCGCTTATCGTTGCTGTTGATGGAGGCAATGCAACTGTGCAGCTTTGTGTACGTATATATATTGAGAGAGAGATGCTATTTAAAGAAGAAACCGCACTAAACCATAACAGAAACAATTACAAAAGAAGAGCAGGTAGGAAACAAATCTTTCTACAATTATTTTTGGTGTTCCGTGTTTTTTTAGCTTTGAAAACTCAACAACAAAAAAGCTCGTGCAAGTAGGGGAAAAAAAGGGGACGACAGAGTAATTAGAATTGGGAAAAACACTGAAAAAAGGCAGGCGTGGGTAGAGGTTCACACCTAATCCCCGAACGAAGTCGGGGGATGCTTCTGCCGCACCTGCTCAAAAAAAAAAAGGGGGCCTTGAAGAACGCAACGGTATTTCTTCGCTCTGCAGCGCAGAAAGAAAAAAAAAACTAAAAAGAAGAACAAAAAAGAGGGTGATGTTATTTTTAACGCAAAAGCAGCTGTTAAAGCCGACGTTGACGACAGAGAAGGAGCGAAAAGGAAGGGGGCGGCTTTGGAGCGTGATTTTAAAAGGGAAACGGAAGAATAACAAATTGAGGACTGTAAAAGAGGTTGCCAAAGGGGACCAGAATACCAGACAAACCAGAGTGGAAAGCGTCACGCACAAATTTAAACCCCCCCCCCCTTGCAAAGACAGTGACGACACGTCCACAGAAAAAAAAAGGAGAAACAGAAGCGAGTTTTTCACCTACAAAAAAAAGTCTGCAAAAGGAAAAGAAGAGGAAAAAAAACAGATGAATCGTAACTTAAAGGCAAGTATATATAGAGAGAGATAAACCCACAGAAAGAGAGGGAAGAGGGGAGGAAGTATCCGGGCACGTATAATTCCGGTGTATACCCTCCGCAATTCTTTCCGACCGTCTTCAATCAGTGAAGACGGCTACCTATATCTTCCTTTCTTTAGGCACAAATAGTGCCTTGGTTTATCTTTCGATTTTGATTCGGAACTCCTCTTCTTTTCCTATTGCAAGAGCTGATGCGGATCGTGCTTGTCTCTTTTCCAGACGGTAGCGTCTTGTCTTCTCTCGCCTGACCACACGACACAAACCCTCGTGGTTGGCGTCGGCTCGTTGACAGCTCCAAGCAGTGAAAAAAAGATGAGCTGAACGTGCAGATTCGTTTAATTCAAACAAAAGCAAGAAGACAAGCAGCGCTGACCAGATCCAGATACCGAGCGTAGTGTACACAAAATGTATCTCAAAACACAAAAGAATGGTGAGGGTGAGCCTTACCTTTCACACTAGAAAGCAAGAACAAACAAAAAGTCACAGAACGAGAGAGGAGTGAAGAGCACAGATGGATGAGAGAGGAGAGGTGTTGTGAGAACAACAACCATACAGCACATGGCAGAGGGCGAATAAAAGCACGTCATCGGGGGGAGGCGAGAAGAAAAAAAGAGGGGGAGGGGACCAGCCAAGAACGCTGCCCACACCAATGTAGAGTTAAGCAAACAGGAGACGGCGCCTGCGTGCGTGGTAAATGAACGCTTTCTGTTGTCAAAGGAACCCGCAGATCGTCATCAAGCGCCCGAGCCAGAAGTGACGCACGTACACGGCGACGTTGCACACTATCGATCACGCTTTATCTCCCTCTCCTTTATTTCTTCCCCGTCCCCATCTCGTTCATCGCGGAACGCTGCGTCAAACATTTCTGCTTTGGTGAAACACAAGAATTGTTGCGGATTAGAGAAGGAAAGAGACGAAACTAAAACACTGACACCAATAGTACAACACACACAAGAGAAATACATATATATATATGATGGGCGCACCTAACACCACCGACCCGCAGTGCTGCGTATAAGCACTACATCATCTCGCCAGATCGCCTTATACTGCTCCGATCGTTCACTTCACAGCACAACCTTCGCAATAAAGTCATTGCTGAGAAGAGCAACACACACACGCACTCACTCGGCCGCATCTCGCCCCTTAAGAAGAACGTTCTCTGCGAACATCAGCTTCATATTTGTAACTCCTGCTACCAGCAACTGCGTTAGTTGCGCGCGAGGTACGCCAGCTGCGACACCTCGCGGCTCTCGCGGTCTTTAATAGCCGCCACAATCGCCGAGGTGTGCAGGCAGCCCATCTCGCAGATAATCATGTCCACATAGGAGGCGGGGGTGAGGTCGTACAAGTACCCGGCGGTGTTCGAGGAGGACGAGAAGGGCACGATGTCGCTGCTAGAGGCGAAAAAGTCGCCAGCGCGGTTCGGCGTGCCCCACCCACCGGAGACGCGCGACTGCTGGACGGAGAGGGTCGGCGGGGAGGGGAAGGTCAGCGGGCTTCGACTGCCGCCGTCGCCACCGCCGTGCGCGTCGGCCGCGGGTCGCATGTCGGCCAGTTTGGTGTTCTGCGCCAAGTTCCCCACCCACACCTCCGCCACAAACTTGTAGCTCTCGCTGAAGCACAAGACAGGCTTGCGGAACAGCTTCGCGCAGGCCGCAACGAGCGCCATGCCGCACCGGCCAAATACATCGCCGTTCTGCAGCACCGCGGAGGCGCCCAAAAAGACACGCGTGCACTTCGGCATCAGCGTGCAGCACGCCGTGATAAGGCCGTAGGTGACTTCGATGCCGGCGCTGGACAGCTTGTCGGCGAGCAGGCGGCCCTCGAAGAGTGGGGCCGCATCCACGACGATGACGTGCTTCGGCTTGCACTGCGGCTCGCGCGAGCGGGAGAGCAAAATGTACTCCACCATGCTGCTGCGCCCGAAGACGAAGATGGTGTCGGTGTTCGACACGTACGGCAGCGATCGGTCCTCGACGATGCTCTTGAAGGACATCTTCACTTCCGCCTCGACCATGTCGAGGATCTTCATCGTCACCTCACGTGGGTTGCCGAGGTCGTTGATGAGGGCGGCCACCTGCGGCTTCGGGTGCATCACCTCATCCCGCAGTGCGAAAAAACGGCGCACGAGCACGTCCTTCACGTAGCGCATGCCCGACGAGGCCTCCCGCTTGCGGCGCAAAAAATCGAAATTAGTCTGAATCAGCTTCTCAAACGCCGTTGCGTCCACCTCGTTGAGCGTCGGTACGGCGAGTACGGTGGTGGCGCGCAGTAGCTCACGAAAGGCGGAGATGAGGGCCAGCACACGCGCACTGCCGCCTACGAGGAGCATCTGCTCCATTAAGATGGCCACCTCCGCTACGCGCGGATGAACGACGCCGTCACGCGGCATAACGTGGCGCCGCTCCTGCCGGTTCGCGTCCATGGTCCGCTGCACGGCGGCGGCCAGTCTCGCCGCAGCAGCCTCGCGGTCCGCCGCGGTGATTTCCTTTTCCGTCTTCTCCGCACTCGGCGCTGTCTGAGTATTTGTCCCGGCAGTGCCTTTGCCGGAAGCAGCAGCCACTGCAGCCGTCGCAGGAGCGGCGGGAGATGCGGCTTCGTGGCTGCTGCTGCCGTTGCCACCGTCCCCGCCACACACCACCTCCAGCTGCGCAATCTCCTTCATCAATGTCGCCTCCCTCTCTTTCAGTTCGGGAAGGTGGGCCTTCGCCTCCGCACTCGGGCTCTTCAACTCCTTCTGCACCTTACGCAGCGCGTCCTTCTTCTTCTTCAGCTCCCGCTGCGCCTTGACGACCGCGCGCGCCTCGTCGGAGTTCTGCCCAGCAAAGCGCATCTCCGTCGCCTTCTTCGTCTCCTTTTCCGCTTCCACAGTAGCGGCGGCAATGCTCGACGACGGACGAGCCGGAGACAGAGACGGAGACGGAGATGCCGCCTCTGCAGCTGGGGCTGTGGCAGTGCTGCTGCTGCTTGCACCCGCGCCCGGCTCTGGCCGACCGGTGAGCCCTGCCAATTTCCGCTCTACCGCCTGAACCTCCGCAGCGGCGGCCTCCACGGCTGCAGTGGCGCCGTCGACGGCGGCCTTATCGTCCTTTTTAATGCCCTTTAGCGCCTTCTCTGCCTTGCGCAGTGCGTCGCGCTTCTTCTTGAGCTCGCGCTGTGCCATTACGGCGGCGCGTGCGTTTTCAGAGTCCTGGCCCGCGAGTCGAAGCTCTGCCTGCCTCTTTGCCTCCTTCTCCTCGCTAGACATTGGGCCGAGTCGCAGCAGGTGTGCTGAGCAAAGAGGAAAAAAAAACTATGCTACAGCTACCAGGATACCAGATATTGAGAAGCGGAAAGTCCAAGGTGAATACAATTCGCTCCTCAGCGCGATTAAAAGCCAACACACAACAACAACAACGAAGACAACGGAGGGCGAACAGGAGCACGCGAATCTCTGCTTCTTGTTTGGGAACTATCCCAAGCAAAGCGGGAGGCAGATCACCGTGAAACGCGGTAGCTTTTGAGGGATAGAAGATATACCCCACGTGCAGAAGAGGCGGAGTGTATCAGCAGAAGTCGGGCAGCAAGAAGTAGGAAAAGAGGAGCGTGTAAGTGAGCAGGAATGACTCGTTTTTGTTTTCATGCTCCTGTAAACCACATGCGGCATCCGAAAGCGATAGAGCAGGAGAACTGCGCTCCGCAAAAGGTGTTTGAGCCTCCACGCCGTAAGCGTGTTTACAGTTGCGAAGCCAAACGAGGAACTCCTGTGAGGCACGGCAAACTCAAAGAATGGAATAGTGAATAATGCGGCAGTGTTCGTTGCAGCATAAGCAGCGTGCGGTGACGACTATTCGAGCACAGATGCACAACAGACACGTTTCCGGGACCGGCGTTGCGTCTGTCCTCCGTCAGATGTGCTCCGCATCTTCGCACCCCGAGCAAGAAGCAACGCGTCGAGCCCCGCATGACTGCACTGCGAGTGATACTAGTAGGTATCATACGCAATAATAATAATAATAAGATCCTTTTCTTTGGAGCGCTGTCTTTCCATGTTTGCATTTCGATTTTGAGCTTGTAAATGAAAAGACAAGAGGACCAGAAGAACAGAAAACGAGTCGAAGATACAAACGAGTACACCAAATAAACGGCAGCTGAGAGCTACATACAGAACCTTAAACCGCAAATAAATCGCAATAAAGCCGCAGCCACTACAAACAGACAAGAATAAGAAGAGCATACCCCATTAGCGCAAATGCTCACCGACACCTCACAATATTGGAAGCCGAGAAAAAAACAAAAGAAGAGATCTGTGTAGATGTGCGCGCGCCGGTCAAAAAAGGAAAACAAAAAGCTGTTTGCTCTCGATGTCGCACAACCGTAGAGCTCCATCCATGACTCCACTAACCGCAGAACGTTCTCTTGTGTTTCGTGTATGCTAGGATGCTGTTCAGTGAGCTTCCACTCTGCTCGGTTTGACCTTCTCTCTCCTGCGCGTGGAGATAAGTATTCCTCACGGCTGTACAACAACAAAAACAATGCTCCTTTTGTATAGAATCATCTTCACGCCGTGGAAGCAACAACAAGCAAAACAAAAAAGGATACGTTGTCATCAGCACAAGAGAAGGCGGAGCACACAGGGAAAAGAAGGTGTGGCACAGCATGAGCCCGACAGCAAAAAGAAAGTGTCAGCAGGGACGAAACATAGCGGAAGTCAGCATCGCATCGCTATGGGAGTCCACGGAAGTAGATCAGCCAGACAAAACGAGAGCAAAGGGGAAAAAAAAAACACAAAAAGCGAACCACAATCAACAGATCCATACAGTAGAAGGCGTGTATATCAGGAGAGGTTTTTTTGGGAAAAGGAGGAGGCGTTGCACGAGACCAAAACGAGAAAAGAATGACTAAAATGAGCGAAATGAATGAAAAGAAACATGAGGTACAACGAAAAGACAAGACGCAGCAAATAGAGCTGCTACGTACACACACGCACCTAAAGTCCCACAGCCTCGCGGATTCAGAGCAAGCAACTGCCACTAAAATAGGCAAGTGGATACACGGCAACAAAGACTGCACACGCATGCGGGTGTTTGAAGGGAACACCAGATCAGCTCACTTGAGTGAACCATTCAACGCAGAAGCGACTGCAGAAGTCCAAGAGGGAAAAGAGCGACTCAGGACACACATCAAGTGTGACAAAACAACAACAGCGTCCGCTCACCAACCTGAAGTCCCTTTGCCCGTTCGCATTCTCAACGGCGTTCGCCTGAACGAGGATCAAAAAAAAATCAGTAGGTGTCATGTATTTATTCCTCGTGAACGGCTGTCGCCTTGGAGGCTTTGCCACGCGGCTGCGAGCGGCGAGCCCCGTTCCTATGGATGGCGTCGATGTCGTCCTGCAGGCGCGTTATCGTCTGGCCGTTCGCCACGCGCTCCTTCTCCAGCGTCTGCTGCAGCTCCGCGAAGTAGCGGCGGTGCTCGCGATCGACGCGCTTCATCTCCGTCTGCGTCGAATCCTTGGCGTGCTGCAGCGCGCCGGCGCGCCACTCCATCTTTTCGATTTCGCAGTCGATATTCTCCATGTGCAAGTTCGCGACGAGGTGTGACTCGTACAGTTCCTCAATCTCGCGCGTCAGTTCATCGAGCACCTCCACATCCACGCGCTCCGCCTCGTTCTCATTGACGTCGTCGCCGGCGACAGCACCGCCAATCAGCTCCAGCCGAGTCTGCAGCTTCGCAATTTGCATGGCGCGGTGACGGATGGCCAGGTCGTTCGCTTTGGTCAGAGAGTCTTCCTTAGAGAGCTCGTGCAGCGCCACGCGACGGTCGAAGTTGCTGTGGCGAATGTAGTCCTCCCTCGTCAGGCCCTTATGGCCCTTGTCGGCGATCTTGTCCTTGCGGGCGACGGCGCGTGTCAACAGGTTGCGCTCCTTGCGCAGCTCCGCCAGTTTTGCCTTGCGCTCCGCCAGCACCTCCATCGCCTCCGTGCGCTGGCTTACGGCGTCCGTCGTCTCCTGCAGAATCGAGGCGAGACGCAGCAGCTCGCGCGACTGGCCCTCGAGCTGGACGCGGATGTTCTCGCGCTGCTGGTAGAGCGCGACGGCGGCCTTTTGCGCGGCGCCGTAGGCGTTCTTTTTGCGCAAACCGGCAGCGGCGCGGGAGTTGCCGTCTGCATCTGCGTCGGCCGCCTCCGAAACGCGCGCGAACTCTTGCTCGGCAGCCTCAACGTGGGCGTCCTCCTTGACCAGCGCCTCCTGCAGCATCGCCTTCTCTTTCACGAGCTCCCTGTGCTTGCGGATGGCGGCCTCCACATCGCCGCACTTGTGGGCGAGGTCGTCGATGAAGCCCTGTGGCAGGTCGGACGAGGTGGCCGACGGCCCACCGCGCACCGTCGACCCCCGCGAGCGACGCGACTTGGACGGCGCGGTGCTGCCCATGCTCTCCCGCATCTCCGACATCTTCGCGTTGGTGGCGTCCGACACGTCGAGGGAACGCTTGGTGGACCGCAGGTGCTCCACCTCGCTACGCAGCGCCTTTGCCTGACCGTCCAGCTCCACCAGCTGCCTCGACAGCTCCAAAACGGAGGGGTTTGACATGATGCTGTAGGGGGAGGGAATGTTTGTGTTGTCGTATCTTTTCTTCTGCGATGTATGTATATATGAGCTACAAACGAAGCGATGAATACAGTTCTAATGATTAGCGGTGCTTCCGTGCTGGATGTGGAGAATGGTGGTGTGGTACGAATACAAAGAAAGAAAAAAAAGGCGTTGTGCGTGAAAAGAACGAAGAAGATCCAGAAGAGAGAGGCACGACACGCGCGACAACACTCGTGGCTTTCTTGTTTCGATGCGGCAAAGACGGTGACGATAAAAAAAAAAAGGATATATAAGACTCTATGTATACAGGATATAGGTGTACACGGAGAAATGATGCTAGCTTCGTATATAATAGAAGAAGAAAAAACTGTAGGCACTCCATTTTTTTTTGTTTTGAAATCAGTTAACAGGGAAAGGTAGTGAAGGCGAGAGGTTTAAGCATAGAGAGCACAGTGATAGAAGATTATTAAGCCTCGACGATTGTTATCCGCATATCGCGTTGTTGTTGTTGTTTTTTGGTGGGGTTGTCCGTCGTCCTGTTTGCCTTTGCCCCTCTTCTGTAGCCACCAAAAGGTGTCGTCTTTCCAGGGAAACGAAACGATCTCTTGGTAGTTTTTGCTCTGGCTGACGTGCAAAGAAATCTCCGTTTCTGAGCCGAGGCAAAGAGCATCGTACCACTTTTTCTGATACACAACGTTAATCCACCTCAAGTCAGCTGGAAAGGGTCTGCTACAGCTGGGGTTCACTGCATTTTACTTGAAAATGGGGGTTGTGGCCACACATAGGTAGCAACGATCCGTGTGAACGAAGAAGAATACGAGGGTACGGTAACGAGCACGCCTACAGCGCATGCTTCACAGAAAAAAAACTGGAGAGAGAAACACAACTTCAACAGAACGGAACGAGTCGCTGGCAGCACGTCGTACTCTACACTAAAAAAGTCATAATCCGAAACCCAAAACAACGGAGCACATCCGCTGAGCATGGCAGTTGTCCGCGAGAGGCGAAAAAAAAAGAGAGTTCTTTAACAGCAGCGGCGAAGCGCAAGGGAGAAGCAGAACAAAAGTGTGAGGAGGACGTGCAGATACCTAAGATTTCAAATCTGGCCCTTGCTTTATGAGTGCTGCCGATCTTCCCTTCTTATTTTTCTTTGTTGCTGTCATCCGCACCCCTGCTTGGCTGCGAAGGCGTCCCTTCGGTGGTTTCTGCCTTCGTTGGAGCCTCGCTAACCACCTTTTCCCACCCGCGTGCACTGGCGCGACGACTTGCGAGATCAGCCCCTTCCGCGGAATCCTTGGGAAGCGAGGAGGATGAGGATGATGACGGCGATGACGATGGCGACGACGATGGCAGTCGCTCATCAACTCCGTAAAGCTTGTTGACATCGGTGTCCAACGGCGCTGCGTGGTCACGGCGATCGGCAAATGTTATCGGCGCCGGCTTTGCTGCATGCCCGCGCGTGTGGGGGAACTGGAAGACGGGGTGTTGCGTGCTGTCGTCCTCATGCACCTCTACCCCTGTCTCCTTATTCGCGTCCTCCTTGTTGTGGCGCATGACGTCCATAAACTGGTCGTAGTGGCCGCGAGGATCGGTGAAGCCCTTTGCGCCTTGCGCACGCGACATGGAGAAGTTGAACTCCGCCGCCTCTCGCATCTGCGCGCGCGTCTGCTCCTCGTTGGCGGAGAGTCGCTCGTTGTAGATCGGCACGCCGTGAATGGTGTCCACCGCACGCTTAATGCGCCGCGTCCGGTCAAGCCACCACAGAAACTTGGCCTGGTTCCGTTCATCCTTGCCCATGTCAGCGGCGTACACATGCTTGTAGATGTTCTTGGAGGTGGTGTTATGCTTCCGGTGCATCGGCAGCATTTCCGGCTTCTCTGCCACCTCCTCCTCCGTCACGGTGGCCTCTCCACGCTCCAGCTGCTCAATGCGGCGCTCTTCGAGCATATCCTCCAACTCACTCACCGCTGTTGCGCGCTTCTGCCGCAGTTTTTCGCGGTCGCTGGCGCCGAGGTCGTCGAGGGTGCGCACACCGCGTGGGCGGTTCGTCAAGTACTGCTCGTCCTTCTGCACCTCTTCCTCGGAGTACCCAATTTGGCGAAGTATTTCCGCCTCGCGGGCCTTCTCAAGTTGCGTCTTGCGCGCCGCCATGTGCGTGTTGGCGTCGTCTATGCTCTTATGCAGCTTACCCTTGTAGTTGCGGTACTGTGTGCGGGGCAGCTCGACGGTGTCTAGGATATCTTGCAGCACGTTGCGCTCCAGTTTTGTGAAACTGACCAGTTCGTCGACGCCCTTCTTGCGCTGCTCCGGGGCCAGCACCCAGCGCAGATCCTCATCGTCGATGCGCCCACGCACCAGGGCGTAGGGCTCGTACTTGTCCCGTTCCCACGAGAAGGGGAGATTGCCAGAAATCACAGCCTGATCCGTGCGGGTGTTGTCCATCATTTCCAGGTAGGAGTTCAAGTACCACCGCGGTGCCACGTGATCCGTCAGCTCCGTGCTGCTCGCATCCTTCGAGGTCTCGACGTACATGAGTGGCTCCGTGTTCACGTCGTCTGTGCGACTGTTGATGCCCTGCGCTGTGAACTGCGGCTTCCTAAACTGCTGTTCGACAGGGGTTTTGTCGAGTCGTGGCATTTTCTTCGCGACGTAGCGTACCGGCGCCTCGCGGGCGGGCCTGGCGGCTGCTGTGCCCATCTCTCCGCACTACAATGATCGAAGTCCTCGCGAATCACTGTTTTGAAACGTTCCTGTGTGGAAGACGGTCGGTGTGAGGAAAGAAAGAAAAACAAAAAAGAGGCCCTTTATGTGCAACGCCACCGTCACAACGAACCCTCAGAGATCAGCACTGTCAACACTCCGTTGAAGCAACACGTGAGGGTTGTCTTTTGCTGGCGCTGGTGGAATGTACACAAGCAAAGACGAAGAATCAAACAGAAAGCCGAGCAGGCGTGGTGTGTCGTACGCAGCACAGAAACGAAGGAGAGCAGAGCAGAGTTGTCAGAGAAGGAGAAGAGAGAAAGAAGGAGAACGTTGATTTTTGTTGCAGTTGTTGTTGTTGTGAAAGAGAAGCAGCAAGCTTCCATGACGGAGATGCATTAAAAAACCGCACCATCCGGCCAATAGAAGAGGAAGTAGACGCGCCTGCCAACGTTCTCTTTCGGGTATCATACAAAGATTGGGCAGTGATTACCCTCTAGCGCGGCGGTTAGACAACGCTACGTGGAAGTGGCCGCTCCGTGAGCAATGCAAGACGCACAAGAGCGAGAGCTGTTCACCCCGGCCAGCAAACATATGCAAGAAAGACGCCCGTGCATGCGCTGAGCCGTATACCCGCATTTCGTGCGGCCAAGTAGCTGCCTAGGCACCAGCACGCAGCTCAGAAAGGCAGCAAAGCGATACCAGCTCTACGGTGCGGAGCAGGAGTACATGATATTTGGTGAAAAAAGGAATGTTTTTGTGCCATTGTCGAAACGATCTCGTAGAGAAGAGAAAAGGGAAGATAAATAGAAGGAAATACATAAAAGAGGGTATCTATGGGTGGTTGTGCGTGAGGCTGCGCGGGAGGCAGCGCGGAGGGAGTGCGAAATGCAGCACGAGTAAGATATAAAAAACGAGGAGCGTGAGAGTCAATGAAGAACGCTCACGTCTCCACCGCACGGGCGCACACGCACACCCTCGCACGCACGCACCGCGCAACGACACGCAGTCAGCATCGGTGATGCGGCGGGAGGGGGGAGAAGAGAGAACTTCACTTCTTCGCGGCCTTCTTGTGGGCAGCCTTCTTCGCCGGCTTCTTCGCCACCTTCTTCGTGGACTTCTTCGCCACCTTCTTCACGGCCTTCTTCGCAGCCTTCTTCGCCGGCTTCTTGTGGCCAGCCTTCTTCGCCGCCTTCTTCGCCGGCGCCTTCCTCTTCGGCGCGGCCTTCTTCGCAGCGGCCTTCTTCGCGCCAGCGCGCTTCACGGCAGCCTTCTTCGGCGACGCGCGAGGCGACTTCTGCGGCGAGGTAGCGGCAGCAACGGCGGCGGGCACGGCAGCGGGCGCGGCAGCGGACATCTTCGAAAGGAGCGGGTTGGGTGGGAGAGAGGAGGGGGAGTGAGTACGAGAGAGAGAGCGGTGAGAGCGACTAGGGAAAGCTGTGCAGCGGCGGAATGGGGGCGGCGAAGGTGGAGTGAAAGGCGTCGGAGGCGAGTGCGAAAGGTGCAAATACAAAAGGAAAGTGAGAGGAAGAGGGAAGATGTCTTGATGGGCGGGCGTTGGAAACGACGGAGTTCACAGAAGAAACCACCCTTGAGCTAGCAGCGGTCAAAAGAAGCAATGCGTAGGCAAAAAGTTTCGTTCTCTTCGCTGTCGACACTTGTTGGCGGACAACATGAGAAAAGGCGCCTCCTGACGAAGCAGGGCCCATATATCGGCAACAATAATAGGTTGTTGTTGTCTTTAATCAGTTTCATGGATGGACCTTGTTGTCTTGCACAACCGCAGACGGTTTAAAAGGCACGGTGAACCACAAAAAGCCCTTTAAGCACGGCTGTCAGCAGCATTCCAACAAAGACTTGTCAATAAACACTAAAAAAGTATTGCCTTTCAGTTCAGTAGGGCATTGTTAACATAATTTATCACAGGAGGAGAGAGCTGAGCGGTTCCTTTATCCATAGGGCCAGCAAAAGTGGCGTTTTGTACAACACGGAAAGGAGAGTCAAGCGAGTTTTTGAGGACTGTTTAGCAAAAGTGAATAGAGAAAAGAGAGACAGGAAAAAACAAAGGAGGAGAAAATCGATCATGCGTGTTGACGGCAGTGGAACTGAAAGACGGTTATTGCTCATCGATCTATCAACGATAAGGAGAGGGCCTTGAAAGGCACCACATACTCAAAGAAAAGAAGAAAACGTTGTCCGTGGTGACGGTTTTTGCAGGGCGTCGGTATCAAGCCAAAAAAAAAAGGCATCTAAAATAGAAAGAATGCTAGCGATAAACTTAACAAAAGCACAAGACAACAACACCACAAGTAATTCTTTGCCTGATTGGCGCCCGTGGCGCCATACACGCACGCGCACCTAATCCTCGTTGCGCAGGTAACGGCGCTCCAGGTGTGCGCGGAAGTACTTGGTGGTCAGCGGCTCGCCGGTTGCCTTCACCACGACATCCATCATCGTCGGATACATGCAGCCCACGCTCCACACCTTCTCCCGCTGCTTCTCAAGGATGGGTGTCATGTCGCCGGTGCGGATGCACTTGTCCACGGTGTCCTCGCCGATCTCCTTCTTGATGGTGGTCATCAGCTGCGCGGCAAAGATGGACCCGATCGCGTAGGACGGAAAGCCAGCGTAGTAGCCTGAGGACCAGTGCACATCTTGAAGACAGCCGATGTCGTCGCGGCCTTCCGTGTCGATGCCGAAGTACTCCTTCACCTTCTCCGCCCACACCTGCGGCACCTGCTCCGGCTCCATCTCGCCGTCGATCAACGCGCGTTCGATCTCGAAACGCATGATCACGTGCATCGGGTAGCACACCTCATCCGCAGCAACACGGATGAAGCCTGGCTTCACCACCTGGTTCAGCTTCCGCACGTTCTCCACCGTGAAGGCGGGCTGGTCGCCGAAGTACTCCCTCAGGTGCGGCGCCATAAATTCCGCAAACGCGCCGGAGCGGCCGATGATGACCTCGCCGAAGCGCGACTGACTCTCGTGAATGCCGGCGGAGCGCGCCATGCACACCGGCTGGCCGAGTTTCTCGCGCGGGCCGCAGCCCGTCTCGTACCGGGAGTGGCCCGTCTCGTGGATCGTCGCAAACACGGACTTCTCGTAGTTGTCCACCGAGTAGTGCGTCGTGATGCGGCTGTCCTCTTTCACCATGCCAGAGAACGGGTGCGGAGCGATGTCGAGGCGGCCCTCCGGATCGTAGCCCCACACCTGCGCGAAGAACTTGCCGACAGCAGCCTGCTTCTCCACTGGAATCGGCGTCTGGAGCGGCACGATGGAGGCGTCGATGTCCTTGCGGTTCTCCTGCACCTCTCGGATCAACTGCGGCAGCCAGGACTTGATGTCGTTGAAAATCTCCTCCAGCGTTTCCACCGTGAGGCCGGGCTCGTTGTGCATCAGCATGGCACCGTACGGCGTCGTGTCTGCGTCAGCCGCACGGAGACGGCCTTCCTCGCGCGCCACCTCCACCGTCTGCTTAAAGTACGGCAGGAACATCTCAAAGTCGTTCGCCGCCCTCGCCTTGGCCCATACCTGCTGCGCCATGTTCGTCACCTTTGCTTTACGCTGCACGAACTCATCAGTGAACATCGTTTCCTCCTTCACAATGCGCTGCATCTCGCAGAAGTTGGCGCGTTCCACGTCCGTCATCTCACCCTCTGCAGTCGCCGCCTCTGCGATCATCGCCTGTACCTCTGGCGAGGAGTACATCTGGTGGATGTGGCTGACCAGCACGGCCATCGCCTCTCCGCGTGCCTCGGCGCCGCAGGGCGGCATCATGACCGAGGCATCCCAATATCCAAGATCCACGAAGTGCTGAAAGCGATAGGCCTTCTCGAAGACACCCTCCAGTTTCTTGTAGGCTTTCATGGCGATATAGGTGAACAACGCGTGTGCGAGGAGAGCAAGACACTATGCGAAGCGATCAGCAATGATATCAATAGTACACAAAACAGCGCATAATAAAGAGAGAGGAAGCAGTACGGGAGTTGCCAGAAAAGAAGAAAGACGGAGGCACGTGAGAAGGTTGAGAGAAAAGCGAAAAAAAAGAAGGCACGATTAGCTGGAAAAATAAGATAGGAGCGTTAGCCGAACCTTTGATGGGCTAATACGCTTGTTGCTCTTGGTCACTCTGTGCCAAAGGAACGCCACCTAACGTGGGGTAAAGTGATACTCCTCCAATAACTGTCAGTGCCGTTGAGTTCATCGTGAAAGCAAGGCTGGTTTTTTTGTTTCGCTTTTCTACTCGTTCAAGCGGCATTGTGCGTGCTTTTGCTCTCGTCCAACACTCGCTGAGTTGGCACAGCCAAAAGCAGTAACAGAGTAATCCGTGTTAGTTTGACATACTTCTTTTATTACAGTTATTCTTACGCTTCTTTCGTTATGTATCCGCTAAGATACACGTATAGAGTACTTGACATTCAGCGACTTCGAAATCCTAACACTGCGTTGCTGGCTGCGAAAACGTGCGAGAAGAAAAGAGGAACTCACCCCGCATGGTTTCACGGACAGGATTCAACGGCATTTCCATGACACTCGCAGTTCATCACAGACAAACGCGGTGCGCTGAGCTGCAATCATTCTTTCTCTCTTTTTTTTTTTGCACCTTTGCAACGTAATGCTTTTTTCTAGTTCGACATCCGCCGGTGGGGTCATCACCAAGTTTTGTGAATGCTTTCGCCGCGTCGGGGCGAAGAGAGTACCAAACGAGCCACTATGAAGCCAGAAACGGCAAAAGAGGCGCGAGTGACGGAAGCCCGATACAAAAAAAAGGAGTAGAAAAGCATAACGAATCCAAATCGCCACCACAAGAAGACAGTACAGAAAAAAAAAACACCTAACAAATACGAATCGACATCTCACCCACTACACACTAAGAACAAAAGGAATCAGGTCAGGAACCGTTATCGGAAAGGAACGCATCCCCGTCCGATTCGCCGGCAGTCTGCGCAGCTGTTTCATTTAGACGGCAACTTTCCTCGACGCACCGCCAGCCCACAACCAAAGAAAATGGAAAAGGTCTATCTGTGTAAGGCTATTCACCAGAAAGAAAAAAAAAAGCGAAAGCAAAAAGACAGGAAACAGAGTAGCGATGAAGCCAGAAGTCAATGTCCTTAAGCTTTTCAGGGATTACGCCTCTGTGTCATACTTTTCTATGATCTCGTGCGATGGCCACACACGCACCATACCATCCTCAGCGCCAGACGCGTAGGAGTTGCCGTCGGGGGCCCAGCGGATGTGGAACACGGGGCCGTGATGTCCTCGGTTAGACTCTACCTCTACGCCGTCCAACGTGAACTCCTTCGCCTTCAGCTTCGACCCGGCCGCCACACGCTGGCCTTCAGGCGAGAGAGACGCACACTCCACATCTTCGCTGGTCGTGAAACTGTTCTTAATCTCCAGCGACGTCGTGTCGATGAAGCTGATGCTCTTCTCGTGAGCCGCGACTATCGAATGGCGGTGAGTGTACTCCACAAAATTCAATCCAGTGATCTCGCGGCGCAGGTAGGGACCAGATGTGTCGCGAAGATCCCACTTCATGATCACGTTCTCGCACGCGGTGACCATCGTATTGGAATCCAAAAAGTACGTCGCCTTCACATTCGTGGCATCAGGGCTGCTGAAAGACAGCGGCTCCGCGTCGTAGCGCGTGGCGTCGAAGATGCGGATGATGCCGTCAAAGCAGCCCGTCGCGATGCGCTGATCCATCCAGTCACACGACTTGATGTACTTGGGGTGGCTCCATGCGTGCAGCTTCTTGCCTGTGAGGGCATCCCACACCATCGCTGAATAGTCGCCGCTACCCGTGACGAGCCGCGTGGCACCGGTGTTGAAAGCGGAGCAGAACACCGCACCCTTGTGGCCCTCAAAGGTGCCGACCCAGTCGCCCGTCTGGCCGTTGCGCAGCATCGGCTTCGCATCGTGGCAAGACGTCACAAACCAGAAGGTCCCATCAACAATTTCACTGTAGTTGATGTGGCACACGGGACGGGTGTGGCCTGAACAGATCTTCACCTTTGTGATATCGGCGACACCGTTGTCAGCCACCGGGCTCGCAGGGGCAACCTTCCCTGTGGGCGCGACGTATTTGCTCATTGCGGCAACTAGCGAGTTAAAGGAACACGCGGAGGAGAGAATGAAGGGGAGCGCGTTACGCGGCACAGGAAAGCTACGCTACGCTCTCGCCAGCAGTGTCCAATTCTGGCAAAAGTATCTTGTGTGGGCTTGTTCAACACTGCACTGAATTAACACTCTGCTACTCCACGCACAACAATTAAGTTACGAGTGGGGAAACCTTTCAAACTTAGGTCACACTTGTGCGCGCAAGAAATCAAATGTCAACAGTAGAGAAACAACGAGTCAGCACCTTTGAGATACGCCGGGGGCGGAGACAAAACGTCGTAGTTCAATGAAAGACGAACAAGGCAAAAACTGTAAATGAGTGCACTTCCACTGCTCTGCTGCAATCAAATATCTTTCTACTTCTTTCTCGGATGTGGGTGCCTGTGTGTGTTTGTATGTGTGTGTCTGCGTATACGTGGCGAAGAAAGAAATGTTGCTATTGTTGGTTGAATACCAGTCAATTTAAATATCCTGCGTGGAGCAACAAATAAAAATAATGACTTACGTGCACGATTCACCTCAACGTTTTTGCTCAACGAAACATAACAAGAAAGAGCGAAGAGAGAAGGCGATATAAAAAGGAAAGATAAAACGACATGTTTCCAATTGTTATTCTTCCTTGCACTTCATTTTCTTCCACACTATCCATCTATAATGCTGAAAAGAAAACGTTCGAGAAAAGTGCATTGCCGAAGAGGAGTCAGGACAGCGGTGATGTGGCAGACACAGAGCAGGAAGCAAAGTCCAACGACACTAAAAAGGGAAGAAGAAAAACTGTCCCTTAGGGGGAAAAGGTAGAGTGCTTCTATTTCGAAGGTCCTCTTTGGCAACCAGCCTTGCCTTCTGGCTCGCTTGCAGCCGTGTGTATCTATTACGGCAAATCCTCATTCATTTGAGGTTTACGATCCCATTTTTCTTTAAAAAAAACACAGAGGAATAATTAGCCTTTTCGTTAATTAAAATACACCACCTGTAATCTCAAGCTGTCCTATCACACCTACATCATGTTGGAACCACAAAAAAGACGAAATCGTTCCAGGGAGTCTGCCTTGTTGTGGTAGCCAGTTCACATCCACCTCTTCTTTGAGTGAACTCTCTCACCAACGTTTGCGACCTTCCGTCAGAACTGTTTTCCTATATAAAACAAAAAAGAAATTCATTCAATGTGATTTTCTCCGCATCCCCACCGAAACAACAGAAGTACTACATCGCTACGCAGAAACCATAGTATGCATCAAGGAAATGTAAAAGCATTTATAACGCCCATATGTTTACCTGGTTCTATTTTTAAAAAAAAAAAGAGAAAAAAGATGCAAAATGCAAAACCTCGTCATGATTGCCTCCTAGTAAGGTAGACAAAAAAAGTAGAAGCTCTGTCTTTTCTTTATCAAATCCGCTAGTCACCTCACCAAAGTCACCGGAAGACAATCCGTTGCCTTCAGCGCATCTGCGGTTCAAATATACAAATAAAGCACACTTCCACATGCGCCTTTGCATTATGCCAACCGGAATCGCAAGTAACATAGCCATGCTTTTTTCTCCCTTACAGTACTCCAATTATTGCGTTCGCTGGCGCGGCACGGCGCGCAAGACATCGTCCACACGCAGGATCATCTCAGCAGCCTCGGAGGCATAGGCGACCACGGAGCTCTTCACCTTGTACGACTCCGTGATGCCGAGAGCCTTCACGTCTGCAATGTCTCCGAGAATCACATCAATGCCAAACGTTTTGTGGCCTTGGTAGTGCTCAGCCTGTAGACGCGTAACGAGGTCGTTGCTATCAAGACCGGCGTTATCAGCGATGATGGCGGGGAGAGTGCGGAGCGCCGCGGCAAATGCCATCATCGCGAGTTGCTTCTTTCCAGCGATAGTCTTAGCGGTTTCCTCAACAGCATTGGCCATGAGGAATTCGGAGCAGCCGGCGCCGAGCACCGTGCGGGTCTCTTTGACAGTCTGGGAAATAACACAGATGGCGTCGTGGATTGAGCGTTCGGCCTCGTCAAGGATGTGGCGCGAGCCTCCCCGTAGCACAATCGTGCACGCCTCACCTTTGGGAAGGCCCGAGAAGCGGATCACAGTACCCTCTCCAATCATCACCTCGTCAATCTTCTCCGCAAAGCCGTACTGGATGTTCGAGCTGTCGTCGAAGGTGGAGACGACGTCAGCGCCCAAAGCCTTCGCGAGACGCTCAATACCCTCGAAGTCAGCGTGCTCGATAGCCATGATGCCGTGCTGCGCAAAAATTTCCTCAGGGTAGTTGTAGATGAGCTGACGGTTGATGAAGCAGTTGATATCGTGCTTTATGATCTGCATGCACTTCGCCTTCATCTTCGCCTTTTCCGACGCCTCCACCTGGGCCAACTCCGAAACGCTATCAACATTCACCTTCGCGCCAAAAATCTTAATTTTGTCCGTGTCCATGGGCGTGTTCGCCACAAGGATCTTGGCGTTCTCAAGGTGGCGAGGCTGGCCAATGCCGATCCGCTTGTCCAGCAGGAAGCCAGGTTCCAGGTAGCTGTCACGAAGAATGCCGCCGAGCTTCTTCATGATGTTGATCATCTCGAGATTGCCGCTTCCTTTCAGACGCAGAACAGCATCTACACAGAGTTTTGCAAAGTGGTCTGACTCGACGGTGATAATCTTCGAGCTCAGTGTCGTCTTGGCAATCCGAGTCAAATCTTCGTAGAAAAGCTCCTCATCCTTTCCGTGATCCTCCGCGGAGTCAGCGAGCGCTTTCTGCGCCGCAGTAGCAGCCATGCGGTACCCCTCAATAATAGTTTGGGGGTGGATCGACTGGTCGAGAAGCTTCTCAGCATTGCGGAGAAGCTCGCCCGCAAATACGGTGACGCTGGTCGTGCCATCACCAACTTCGTCGTCCTGTGTCTTGCTCATATCGATGAGAATCTTCGCGGCTGGGTTATCCATGAATAAGGATTTCAGGATGGTCGCGCCATCGTTTGTGACACGCACAGATTGGGTGCGGTCCATACCTTGCAGGATCTTGTCCATGCCCTTGGGGCCCAACGTCGTCTTGACAATGTCGGCAACCGAGATCGCACCCATGATGTTCATGAGGCGCGCACGCTCGCCTTTCTCCTCGGACGCGCCCTCGCGCAGCACCTGGGACGCCTGGTTAGCGAAGAACATAGCTTGGTTGATATGAATATGTATATTTACAAAGCGCACCGCTTTTTTTTTTCAAAATATATAGTTGCCTTCGTGAAACTGCTTGCAGAAGACTGGTTGCGGCTTAAACTGTGAATAAAAATATTCCTTTAGCACAGAATTAAAAACGGATAAACAGGTGCACCGAGGAAGAAAAAGAGAAAATTAAAGAATTGAATATGAGGCACTATACGCGCTGTATTTTCTTTTCCCTTTTACATGTTCTAACAGCGAAAATTGCAGCAGCGAATAGGTTCTTTCGGGGACATTTCAGTATGTGAAAGATTGTGCGTAAAACTGTCGACGTTCGAATTCATCGGCGTTATTTATTTCTCTGGTCGCCTCAGGTTAAGAGCCTTGATCTAACTAATATATTATTTTCAATATCATTGCTTTTCTCCTCTGATGAATGCTGGAAACTATGGAAACTGCTAAAGAGAAAGCAAACCTCCACAAAAAAGAAAAATGAAGAGTATTCTGATTGGCAAAATTGAATTTGAAATGCTGCAGTTGCGTAGATTTAATTAAATGCCTTCGCTTTCTCTTCGCTGAAAAGTAGGTTGCGGATGATAATAATAATTCAAATAGTTGAGCGCGCTAAACTGTTGAAAAGAAAAACGAAGCTACTCCAGATGAATAACGACGCTAACGTTGTGCGCATCCAAATGATTCATCATGTGATGCGAAACAGTATCGATCAGTTTCTTTCTTGTGCTTGCATATTCGTTGCCGCTTCGCATTTTGCCAGCGACAGTGCAAATTACAAGCTCTCGCGGAGGAGTTGAGTGCACCCAAATTGTTGGTGTCACGACATCTTGAAGTAAACCTGTTTCAAGAATTGCCACACGTAGCTCATCCGAATAATCCTTGCCGTATTCGGGAGCGGACAGCAGCAGTACCTTTCCTGTCTCTTCCAGCAAAGGAAATGCAGACATCAAAATGAGCACCGCGCTGAGTGCACTGCAAATTGGATCGGCGACCCAGAAACCAAAAAAGTAAATGATAACGCTGGAAATAATAACACTCACGCTTCCCAGTAAATCCGCCAGAATGTGCAAATACACGCCTCTCATGTTATGATCAACGTGACCACCACCACCTTCACCGTGTGAATGGGAGTGGCTGTGGCCGTGCGAGTCGTGGAAGAAAATAATACCAATAATGTTCACTACAAGTCCAATAACAGAGACGAGAAGCAGATATGGGCCTTCTATCTCCGGTGGGTCGATAATGCGCTGAATAGACTCAACAGTGACGTAAAGCGCAATAAAAAGAAGCAAAATACCGTTGACAAATCCGCCAAAAACTTCATATCGTGCGTATCCAAAAGGGTGTGTTTTTTCGTCCGGTCGCCAAGAAGCGGCGTGTGCCGCGTAAAGCCCAATGGCGATAGACGTGCCGTCGAGCATCATGTGAAACGAGTCTGAAATGAGACCTAGTGAATTCACTGCAATGCCGTACAAAAACTCCAACAGCATGATTGCAAATGTTAACAGAAGAAAAACGAATAGTTTGCGTTCTCGTGAGTTCGACATTAACGTTGCGATAATGCCGACATTATCGGGATACTGCTTTGATTTCTTGAAGAGCTGTGCCGGGTCAAACAAGCCCGCTCCCTCGGAAATTGACGAGCCGTCGGAAAAACTGACCCTCTTGTGAGCCCCCCAAAGCGAGAACGATGCAATTGTCAGTGCAACACACTCCCAGCTAGTCAGCGATGGGAATGCCGAAGTCGCGCACAGCAGAGAAGAAATAAGAACACCAGCCAGCGCAGCAATAAATGACCAGAAGTTAGCTTGCCCCACCAATCCCAGATGTACACAACCGAAAAGGGCAACGGCAGCGATGCAGAAACTGAGCAGAACACGCATTTCACTTGGCGCTGTAGCTTGCTTCTGCCATACTGTGACGACAAAACCAACAATGCCGAGGACAACGGTGGAGAAGATAAGAGAGTATGTATCGGCCGTTTTCACTGCCTCAGACGCCGCGAGCCGTCCTGCGAGTGCCACGCAAAGAATTCCAATGACGCCGTAAATGATGGAAGGCGGTGTCTTTTGCCCGGGGTCGCTTATTACCATGAGAATGGCGCTGCACACCGCAGTACAGATAAGTTTTGCAAACCGCGGACCTTTTCTGCAGCGGAGAATGCTTGGAAGTCCTGCAACGCATGCCGCTTGCAGGATAAAGCGCAGAGGCCCCAGAGTTTTCAGACCGTACAGAAAACTGGCAAAAAGAAGCGTGTACGCAATAATCGAATTGCTCCGGCGACGGGCGTTAAAACTCTCCCCACCTAAGTTGTGTCTGAAGTTCGAAGCTACGCGCACAAAAAACGCCGCCAGTGCGCAGAAAGCACTAAGCCATAAAAAACTCGTACCTGTGGCGCTTGCCGCGCTGTACATCACCACGACGCACGCACACGCCACGAAGCCTAGCGGTGGCTGAAGAAGCTGCATTTTTGTCGTTACGAATCGTCTGCGGTGCCCGTCAATGCTTGAGAAAGACTAACGATTGGAAAACACGAGAGAAAAGAGACGAGAAGATCAGAAGCGAGAACCGTCGAGACGGTTGAAGAGCAGAAAAAGCACCTTGATCACTGTTAACTGAGAAGCGCCACCTTCAACACAGCAGAAGACGCCATCTTCTGGTGAACGAAAAGTCTCAGACCGTGCAAAACGCCATTCTGCGAGTTCAATCAGATGGAAAAAAAATGGACGTATAAAAGAAGTGCAGTTGCTCTTTAGTTAGAAGGATCTTCGCTGTATAAGGTACGTGTTTACTGAAATTACATGGGCTGAACGGAACAGTGCATGGTGTGCAGCTCACACCAAATTCGTATCACCTCCTAGAGAAAAATGAAGACGCGTTGCCCTCGCACAGCTGTGCGTACGTGTTTGGGAACAGCTTTTATGGAAGCGCTTGAGTTTGTCCTGTGGATGATACAGCAATTAAATAAGGACGTGTGGTTTTCTCTCCCAACGCCAGTTGTCAACGATGCAAAAAGGAAATACAGAAGTCTTGGCAGCACAAGAGGAAGAGGAGGAGGGGGGGGGAACTGAGGCAAGGAGAAGGCACTGCGAGTTGCAATCACTTCCTTGGCGGTTCTGCGGGGGGCCATCGACTGTTGTCTGAAAGTTTTGGTCCGGATCAGCCGCGGTGTGTTTGAAAACGATTGGTGGCTTCGTTGACGTGACACAAAAAAGAAAGCTAAAACAGTTTGTAACAGACGAGTAAGTTTAAGGTGCTTACGGCACTTGACAGCTGAGGATGCTGGGGTCATTCTTGCACCTGAGTGTTGCTCATTGTTGCACGCACGCGATCGCGAAAGAGCGCTGGTGAGTTTGTTTGTCCGAAGTCAAGAAGCGTCTTTCTAATTGCAACAGAGAGAATGTGTTTAGTGAGGTCTTTATCTTCTACAAATCAAACTCTTTGTTTGCAACGTGTAGTGTCACTTCAGGATGTGCAATAATAGTAAAAAAAGACGCTCGGCAAGTCTTAACGGTATACCGGCACTGTAATTAATAATAAGTATTAGAGAAATATCCATTTCCAGCCATCTATTCTTGACGAGCGTTGCATGAGGAATAATAGATCGGCGATCTTGATGCTGGAGAATAGCGCGGCGATATATGGCGTGAAAAGCCGGAGCTTTTTCTTATTGTTGTATATTTCTTTCGCTTCCTCTACCAAATCTTATCTTCTTTGTTTACGTACCTGTCCACACAGCGAAACGGTATTCTGCTTTAAAAGCCCTCTCGTTTTTTTGGTTTTGTTGAACGCTTTTCTCTGGTTTTCATCTTCTCTGTTAGCCTTTTTAAGACATCAGAATGTTCAACTTCGACTATAAAGTTTCCTACGATGAGTTTGTCAAGACAATCTACTATCATGCCTGGAACTACGAAATTAAGGCTAAGGAGCCACAAAAGGAGCAACAAAGACAGCGCGTCGTTGTGAGCGAACTGATTAAGCGTGCCAAATTGGAGGAAAGCAAGCAACATTACGCAAACGCTTACTATTATGCAAACAGGTGCTTGCTGTTTTTCGATACAGATAAAAACAACGTAGATTTTGGGCGCAATGATCCGCCGAGGAAAAAGATTTTCGAAGAAGCTCTCGATCTGGAAGCGAGGCTGAGACAAAAAGATCTTCTTGCTGAATACAACGCCATGATTGAGGAAATTGACCGGCGAGAACCAGAACGTTGCAGAATAGTTGCTCAGCAGCTAGAAGTCGACAACAATGACGTTTCGCCTAATGCGAAGCCTGATTCCCCAGGTGTAAATGAGCACTTAGCTCGTCGGCAACAGTTGCTTTCAAACGAGTCGAATAATGTGAATTCGCTGTTGCAGCGTTTGAAAGCCACCTCTGGATCGAGAACTCAAGACTCAGCGGCGCAAATAAAGCTTTACCCGCAAAACACCTCTCCATCGCCCGCGGAGCCATCGGCCGTGGCGACGCTGTCCTTTCCTCCGCCGACGTACGCAACTTTATCGCCTGACATCCCTTTGCCACCTTCGCCCCAGCCGCCGCTTCCCTACAGCGGCACCCGTCCAGTGTCACCGTCAAGCAGCAGTTACGCAAAGTGTCTATTGAATTCCACCAACGCTGCAATTACTGTGAGAAGACGCGGTATTGTAAACTTGGGCAATACGTGTTACATGAATAGCATGTTGCAGGTCTTGAATTCCACACCATTAGGGCAGTACTTTTTGACGGATGACTACGTCTCGCAACTGGTTACACGGAACGGGAAACTGACTCGCCTAATTAACGCCTTTAGCTTTGTTATTCGCGAGCTTAACCGCACAGATTGCGACTTTTCTGTCAGCACATCACCGTTTAAACTAGCTTTAGGTGAGTACTACGAAGGCTTCCAGAACTCGAGGCAGCAGGACGCGAACGAATTTCTGCGTGTTGTTCTTGATGGGGTTCACGGGGCGCTGAATGTGAACGAGAGCAACAAAGTTGCTTTCCCCGAAATCGACAACACCCAAGGTACTGACGACGAACTTGCGCGACGCTACTGGGCTCAATATTATCAGACGAACTCTTCCGTCATCGTTGACTATTGTGCTTTTCAAGAAAGAAGCATGATTGTTTGTCCGTCGTGCAATCGACAATCTCGCTCTTTCAACGTCTCACTTAGCATTGAGATACCTATTCCGCACAATTCATCTCGAGTTTCTCTAGAAGACTGCCTGGCCGCGTACTGCGGCGAGGAGGTGCTAGACAATAGCTCTCTCTACCTCTGTCCCAGTTGTAAGCAAAAAGTGAACGCGAAAAAGCAGCTGCTCTTTTACTCGGCCCCTCCTGTTCTGTTTGTCACGCTCAAGCGGTTCCGGAGTTATGGAGATTTTTCTACTGCTTCAAAAGTGAACACGGATGTCTTTTTTAACAAAGTGCTGAATATGGCGCCGTTTATGTGCTCTTCGTTCTCGAAGACAAAATACCACTTAGTGGGCATCGTGAACCATCAGGGAAACATGCACGGCGGCCATTACACCGCCGATGCTATCGGTCCAGACGGTGTGTGGTGCAATTTTAGCGACGAGCGAGTGACCCGGTCTGGCGAGGCGGATAATCAGTTGGGCTATATTCTGTGCTACGTCAGATGAACATATATATATTTTTTATGATGTGGTCAACCACTTGTTGCAGTTGTGTTGGAGCCAGAATAGCAAAAAAGAGAAGGATAGATAGCTCTCTTTTTTATCTGGCTCTTTTTTTCCCCTACATGAGAGAAGTGACCTTCTGCTAGTCTATTCGTGTTGCTGATATTTCATAGGTGAGTTTTTTTTTTACTTCTTAGCGTTTGTGAATTTTACGTCTTTTGAATGGTGTTGCTTTCGTAACTCCTTTCACGTTAAGAGCGTTATGGTTGTGCATTTAAACGCAAGAGGACGAAAGGGTAATCACATTCCCTTTTCAGTGCTCTTCGGTCTGGAAGCAACAGCGCTAACACTACAGAAAGAAAATATGCGACGCCTTTTACAATATTGGTATTTATTCAACCTGTCTTACTTCAGGAGTTTCAAATAATACGTACACGAGAACTGAATGAATTGTGTTCAGACGTTTGTAGCATGCTCGGAACTGTCAATTATTCTTCAGTGCTGAAAAGGTAGCACGTCCTTTTTTGGCGCGATTCCCCTTCTCCCGTAACCTGCATTAAAATACAGGTAATGGTATTCCACATGAACGGAGGGTTTTATGGATATTATTGACAGAGGTCACTAGTACGCGAGAAATTACGTCGTGAAGGACCTTATCTCCCTAAAAGGAAAAAATACAATGTTTGCGGTTTCTCATTCAAGAATTATTTTAGTCTCCTTTTTTTTTCTCATGCTATTTTTTTTTTTGCTAGCGACAAGATGATTTAAAAGTTTTTTTTTTGTGCTACGAAAAGACAGTAAACCAAATTTGGCACGATGCGCTCTCAAAATGCATCCTCGGAAGCCTGGCGTGAAACGTTATGCGAACATCCTGATGGTCCAAAAATGTTAAACGACACTCTTTCGCACCCAAGCGATTGGTGTGAAGCAGGTGAAGTACACACTCAACGACGGGGCTTTCCGTCCGTTCGACCGTTGACTATTTCAGCTGCTTCTGTTTCCGCAAGTCGCAGGAGTGAAGATCGTTACATTGATCCATCGCATGGTAAAAGGTTTCTCGCCTCAGGAGTCTCGCCGCTGCGACGAAACGCCGCCTCAGTCGCTTCTTCATGTCGAAGCGCGGGCTCTTTAGTTCCCTCCAGTTTGCGATATATCGGCTTTACTCCCTCAAGAAGCTATCCTCCTATCGAATGTGAAAGCAGTACTTCTGTCGCAACACAGCAACAGTTTCTTTCTCCGCAGCCCGTGCAACCTTCGACCCGCTTCAGGGTTCGGAGTCCGCGCCCTCAAGAAGTGTCGAACCAAACGCGTTTTACACCACTGCACCCCTTGTTGAAGCAAGCGCTTCTGCTGACTGCCACCGCCGAAGTGGAAGAGCGTTTGATAGTGTACCAGGAGGAGAGCGATGGCTTCGATGACATTGTGGCGCTGTTTAGCGTTGCAAAAGAGGTTGAGGCTGTCCGTGTTGCTGCATTCGATATGTTTGAGTTCGAGGTGAATGCTCGGCGCGCGCTTTATACACAGCAAAGACGCGAGCGGCGTATACTCTGGTACTGGTATCTTGAAAGCTACCGCAACGCAGTGCTGTCACAGGAAGTGCGAGCCCTTCAACTTGGCGATGGTCAAATGGCTATCAAGCAAGCGGAGTCGCTGCTCCGCTCAAGGAGCACTAGCTTGCAGCAAAGGTCACACGATTTATTTGATCCTAAACTTGAGCAAAACAGTTCCTCACCGCCTCAAAGGAGCGTGCATTCTGTCAACGTGGAAGGCGTTGCGCGTGCAAAGCCATCTTCCCCAAAGCGCCAGCTCAGCTATCCGGCAAACAGCAGTCTCAACAACAGATCCACGCGTACGAGTCCCGAAGAAGACCTTCGTAGTTCCCAAACGTCAACCTCATCTTCGCCCTCTGCATCATCCACTTCCTCACCAGCTCAGAGTGAGCGAAGTTTATCGCGAACAACCGAATCACTGGTTGCAGCAGGCGAGCCAATGGCGTCGTCGGCGAGGGACAGCGACGTTGCATTGGAGAGTAAACTCGACAATCGTATTGCGAGGCAGCAATTACTGCTGGCTAGCGGCGGGACGACACACAACAATCTCTCAACACCTCTTTTTCCAAGTCGATTGCCACCAAAAACACCCCACAACACGACACGATATGCTAATAGTGCTTTCAAAGTTTGATGCTCTTAGCGTCATGTGCGTTTTGGGAACATAGAGCCGTCAACGTTTACCTCGACCGAAGTGAATACCGCTTCTGCTGAACCTCAACACCTGTTGTTTCCGATCTCTCGGTAGCAGCTGCTTTGTTGCTGTTCTCATTTCATTGTACCTTTTTTTTGTGGTTGTCTTTCTGGCGCTAGTTTTCACTTCACTTTTGTGTTTTCATCGTGTGTTGTAGTACATTGTATTGTCCAACTTTCTGCTTGTAGACCAGATTAATTGGATAATCAAACTATTTTGGTTGGAGCTTTGAGGTCTCTAGTTTTCTTTTTCGGCCTTTCCCTACATCTTCCTCATCCGTGGTGCAAATGTCGCGTTGTTTTATTTCCTCCCTTGCAATTTCGCATCTTCTGTTCGCGTTTCTCTTGTGCTTACTGTTTTTCTTTTGTTTCTTTTTTGTCGTTCATGTTGAGGAAAGTACTTGGACTTTCTGGGTAGCGTTACACGTACCTCCATTCAAGCTCCTGTCTCATATCCGTTGTACTTAGCAGTGCACAGAAAGAAAAGACAGCGAAAGAAGGTAATTATATATAAAAAAGATAAGAGCAACATGCGTTGCAGCGGTCTTTTGCGGTCGCAGAGGATGCTGAGCGTCCTGTCAGATTTAGCTGCATCAAACAACACAACGACGTATTATGAGATCCTCCACAAGCCACAGATTCCAGTGACATCGTTTCCTTTCATACCCCCACCGCGCTGGGCGACGGAGCTCTCACGTCTGCTGCACAAATCTTTTCCTGATATTCCTCAGAAGCATCACGGCCGCTTCTTGCAAGTATTTGTTCACCCGAGTTTCACCACAAGCGCTGGTGCATCCGGTACCATGCTGCCCCTCATACCGATAGGTGAGGCACTTTTAGAGAAGATTGGCGGACTGTGGATTCTTTCCACATTTGAGGGCATTAAACGAGAGGAGTACACCTCCCTGCTCGCCCTTCTCATGAGTGACACGGCCTTGTGCCGCGTCCTGCGAGACCACTGGGGAATGGAACACATGGTACTCACCGACGCGTCGGCCGACCTGTTCTCAAAAGAGCGCTTGAATTCTTCCAAGGGAATGGTGCGCTGGCTTGCTGCGCAAGGCACTGCGGGCAGAGCACAGGCACTTCCCGAACCGTACGCCGCCGGCTGCGTAAAAGCGATGGTTTCAGCAATATTGCTGGAGCACGGGTACGACACAGCGCATCACTTTGTTACCTCCGAAATACTCCCATACCTTTTGTAAAAGAAAGAAAGGGAAACATAAAAAAAAAAACAATCGACATTATTGTAGGATGTCAGCCGCGAGGTTTTGCGCCGCTAAAAACCGCGAGTCTGCTGCGTTGATACATGACAGCCGAATTGCCAAACGTGGTGACCGTTTTTTAGGGCTCGATGTCGGAGATCAGTTTCTCTTTTTCTGATCTCCCTTTTTGTTGTTGGCTGAGCTGAGAGTTCGCACAGAGACACGTGCTACCAGAGACATCATTGCTGCTGAAGTTCTTTTCACACAAACGCACGCAAATAATAATAATAATAATATTTAAAAAGGCGTAATTGAGCGAAAGAAGGTGCTGAGAACAAGACCACTGATCGGCACCAAAGTCCTTGTTTTAAGGATTTTTGGTCTCGAATAGAAGCAAACACGAAGCTGTTTGCCGTATTCATTTTCCCGCAGGTGTGATCATAAGAATAAAAATAAAGGATACTACTTTATGCGAAGTACCGCGAAAAGCGTGAAGTGTTTCGAAGCGGCTCTTTGGACCTTTTCTGCGTTTTTATCTCATCTCGCACCCTTTCTGTTTCGTGGTTCTCTGGGTCAAAACTCACACACACAAAAAGAAAAGTTTGCGATTCACGAGTACACCTCTTCGGTGAAGCACTTCTCAATCCATCAGGCGAAAGCAAAGATATTTATTTATAACTGACGTTCACACACCCGCACAAGCAATAATTGCGGCTCTAGATGACGAGCTTTGCGGAGCACCCACCTGCTGCAGCAGAGGATCCAGAACAGTCTTCTTCGCAAATACAGCTTGTTGCGTATGAGGAAGAGCCGCCGCGCTGCAAATCGCAAGAAGAGATTCTGGCGGAGCGGCTGCTTGCGCTGAAAAAGTTCCAGTACGCTATTCCCGCTGATCCCGAAGGCGATGAAACGGGTGCTCAGATGTATCTCGCGGCCTGTGCGGCGGTGAAGACAAGTGGCATGAAAGGGCCGACTCAATCGATTGCGAGAGATCTTGCCATGAACGGGGAGATGCTGGACCTCTCCTATGCCGGGCTTGGGGTGAAGGGATGCGCCGCCCTTGCCGCTGCCCTGCGCGTCAACTCCGCTGTCCAAACTCTCGTCCTCGTTGGCAACTTCATTACCCCGTCGGCTGCGCTGGAAGTGGTGACGGCCATCAACGAGGTTCTCTCCGTGTACTCCCTCAACTTGTCGAAGAACCAGCTAGGTCGCGTAGAGGCGATGCGGAAACGTACGGATAATTTGTCCAACGTCTCCGGTGGGACCGTGGTGGATCGGGTCCTGGCTCCTGGCGGGGTGCTGCGCACCCTATCGCTGCGCGAAAATCATTTAGGTGACACCGACGTGGCGACCTTCGCGGACACGCTCGCGGAGAACGTCACCTTGCAAGAGCTGGACCTCAGCTACAACTGCATCGGGTACGCTGGAGCGTCGGAGCTGGCCAAGGTGCTCGCTCGCAACGGCGACCTCCGCTTGTTGAACTTAGAATGGAATCCCCTGCGTGCTGCAGGCGCGCATCTTTTGTTGTCGGAGGGGCTGCTGCAGAATAACACCATCAAGCAGTGCAACCTGAGCTCGTGCGGCCTAGATGACAAGTGTGGGCAGCTGGTGGCTCGTGTGGTGTCGGAGAACGCCATTGAAGAGGTAATCGTCGCAAACAACCGTATCACTCACGTAGGGGCTGAGGCCATCGCGCGCGCCCTACCGTCCACCTCTGCGCTCACAACTTTGGTGATGGATGGCAACCCTCTCGGGGACGAGGGCAGCGCGGCTCTGCTTGACGCGGCGTTGAGCGGCAGCGTCGCCACACTTCGCGTGTTGAGCTTGCAGCACTGTAGCTGCAACAATCCAGAGACGCTGCGACGCGGGCAAACAGGATCGACGTCTACACTGACCATCCGCATCTCGGAAAGTGTGTAGCATGGCTATCAAGCAAGCTAATGCCCGAAACAACAACAATAACCACCGCAAAAACTGAGCTCACGAATTGCTCGACGGGCATCTTCTGCTGCAACAGCGCTTCAGTTTTTCCCCTGAATTCGTGTTCGATGTATAGAACAGCTGGCTTCAAGCCACTTGTTTTCTATTTCTTTCTTTCTTAGACCTCCGATGTGAATCGAAACCTTTTGTCACCGTCCCCCGAGTGAGCTGTCAATGCTCGACAGTCCACTTTGAATCTGCCAAAACATCAACAATAAAAAAGGAGCAACAACGAAAAAACGAATCGTTTCTGCATGTTCTTAGCGAAAGAACAACGAATTTGTCACAAGGAAAGGATGCGGAGAGCGTACACGTACAGCTCAATTTGGAAACAAAAACAACGCTGGGATACGTTGTCATTGAAGCCCCAGTAAAACGCGGAAAGGCGGGAGAGGAACTCTGTCTTGTCACCAACACGTGCACGCAGTAAAGCCCCAAAAGGGATTTTTCTAATTTGTTTCTTTGCTCTAAGCTGCGAAGTGGCTCATGTTCTTGTTTTTTCCATCCTTACTAACTTGCTCTCTCCTTTTGTGTGTGTGGGCTTTGCGCATGTAGGCGGTCATGTATTTGTCGAACTCATTTGTCTGACGTACGTTATACCAGTAACTTTCTTTCTCACTCCCACAGGAAAAACAGACAGTCCCCCAGACGTAGAGAATGTCGGAGAAGGGCGATTTACTGTTGCAATGCGAAGCGGCTTTATCAAATGCGCTGCTCCACTTCTCAGAAGACGCGGACTGTCTTGCACCGCTACCACCGCAGGAGCGACTGTTGGCTACTTTGAAGGCATGCACAGAGGCGCTGTCAAACCTTACACCAGTACCCCGAGTCAGTGACATTATCGCAGGCTATTGCGCTGATTTACTGGAGTGCTGTGGCACGAACGACGGCGTGCTGCTGTGCGTCGTCACGCAGTTCCTTGCTGACATGTCTTTACAAGAGGACAACGTCGACCTTTTTCTCCGCTTCGGTTTGCCGAGCGAATACTTGCTGATCTTACAACGGTGGCAATCCTTGACGACGAACACTTTGAACTGTGTGTTTGACTTTGTCAGCACCATTTGCACAAGCAGCGCCGCCAGTCGGCAGTCGCTTCGACCGTGCATCCCGTACGTGCTCGCCGCCATGCACCACAACCTCTACGCGATTGAGGTTCTCTTTGGCGCTGCTGTCACCCTGAGCACGCTGACCACACTCGACAACGATAACTGCAAGTTGGTCGCGCAGCGAGGCGGTGTCCAGATCCTCATTTCTGCCTTCTACCACGCCTACCGGACCCAATCCACTGTGGTGCAGGTGGAGCAAAAAAAGTCGTTGCAGAGCAGCTGCGCTCTGATAGCCCGTGCGCAGACACACCGTCTAGGGGAGAAGGAGCAGCTGTGCCAGGATGTGCAGAAGTGGTGCCGTGATGTGCTGCTCAAAGTTTGCCGATCGCGGTGCGAAGACACCACTGCGGCGCTGCAGCAAGCGGACTTCGGCGCTTATGGCCACTGTCTAGCCTTGGACGAGTTGAAATGGACTCTGATGCTGGATGTGTCAGGAATAGAGAAGAGACCAGTGAAGAGTTGAACCAAACAACCAGAAAAGAAACAACCTCGAAGTATCGCGTTATGCAAACGAAGCTGGTGTGCCTGCAGCGTTTACTCACCTCTGATAACGCGAGACTCAGCATCGTGCGGCTGCAAAGGCGGGGGTTTCTCTCTCAATGCTTAAGGGAACACACGCCCGCTTCACCGCACACCTAAGAAATAAGTCAAAAAGTGCATCTCTACAAGAGCGCGCGACCGAGTTTTGTATTTCTACTGCCCCTTCGAGCACGTGTTCCAAAGAGGCAATATCGAGCTGCTAGGTGTATCCAATCAAGTTGCCTCTTTTCCGCAAGCAAGCGACCTCCTCCTCGCGTAACGTAAATGATAATCATTATAACGCACACGGTATTTACCTTTCCATTGGGGTTTTTGTCGAATGCGGTGAAAGAATATGAACCTGGTGCGCACGAAACACGATCTTTGTTCTGTTGTACTCTCCTTTCTCTTGCTTCTTGCGACTCTTTTCTGATGCCTTTCTTTCTGTTCTTGTTGCCGTGGGGTAACGATTTGCTTTCTTTCTTTCCAACACACAGTCACCAAAGTAAATCGTCGCTTTTTCCCCTTTTAAAGGTAAACTCCAGTTCATTAAACAAAAAGCTAGCTAGTCCAAACTAAACCCTTCTTGAAGCGTCTTGCAAGCCCTTTCGATTCACCGAAGAACAACTTTCTGTTAGGAATACATCCGCTTCTCTTCTCTCCTTTTTTCCTCTTGATCGAGTAGTGTTACGGCAGGTGATTGCAGGTTTTCTTTTTTTTTTTCGCTGAAGCTTACCGGGTAAATACTTCTCTAACGAGAGGTACGCACCTTATTTCTCCGTTTTTGCCGTTTTCGTTGTCTACCCTTCTTAGGCTTTCACACACACCCTTTTGTGCAAGAATTCCTGTCTCTCACGTCTTCCCAAAGGATACACGTGCGCACCTCACTATTAACGCAGCAAGACAAGAAACCGACAACCGCACAAGCAATCAGCCATGTCGTCGCAACAGAATGCTGTGGACGCCTTGCTGATTCGTCTGGGGATGCCGGAGGAGATTCCGACGTTCCAGGCCCTCGGCGTGGATCGCATTGTGACGCTGCGTAAGATGTCCGAGGAGGCACTGCGCGAGGCTGTCCCGGATGACGAAAAGCGCAAGTCGCTCATCGAGTCCATCACGAGCCGTGGCCACTTGCAGGCGCGCCGCGCTGGTCCGCCGTCGGGTCAGCCGCACCCCCCGCGCAGCGCAGATACCGAGCTCGTGCGCGGCCCGTTCGAGGAGGGCCGCGGTGGTGGCTTCGCACCCCGTGGCGGCCGCGGTGGCCGCGGTGGTCGTGGTGGCGGTCGTGGCGCTGCTGGCGACATGCAGGACGGTGACGACTCGACGCGGGTGTGCCGTCACTTCTTCAGTAAGGAGGGCTGCAAGTACGGCGAGAAATGCCGCTATAGCCACGACCCGAACGACCGCGATCGCGGGCAGGAGTTGCCGTCAGGTAGCGGCATGGCGCAGCGTACCGTGGAAAAGCCAGCGCCGCCGCAGAACTACAAGTGCTCCATTGAGGTGGAGATCCCGACGGAGCGTATCAAGTACCTGCTCGGTACGCAGGGCATCAACATAAAGTACATTAATGAAACCTGCAGCACGTACAACGAGCGCTTTGATCACGTGGATGAGAAGGATGAAACCTTCAAGATCCGCATGTTGGGCGCGACGGAGGAGGCCGTCAACAAGGCGAAGGAGCTGTTGCTGCTCATCGCCGGTGTGAAGCGTGAGGAGGAGAAGAAGGACCGCTTCCAGTACGCCGTGAACGAGCTCGACGCGAACACGCACGCGGCCCGTCTCTTTGCCGCCTGCAACCTGAAGAACGCGGATACTCCGCGCCATCTGTCTGATTCCATCCTGCGCAACGTCCTCTCCAGCTTCCATTTTGTCCGCCCGCAGGAAGTGCGCCACTTCTACATGTACACGTCCAGCAGCGACAAGGACAAGCTGGAGATGGTGAGCAAGATTGTGTCTCAGCTGAGCGGTGTGCAGGCGATCCTCTTCTGTGACCAGAAACGTGTGGAGGAGATGCGAAAGGGCTCGCAGCGCATTGCGCGCCACTTCAATGGTGTCGAGCCGCAGTTCGTGTACCGTCAGTTAACGAAGGAGGAGCGCCTTACTGCCCTTGAGAAATTCAAGAACGGTGTGGTGAACGAGAACGGCGTGAAGCAGCGCCTGCTCGTCACCAACGAGGACTACGCCAAGCTCGCCCGCAAGACCGTCATCCCGTACGTGAACCTCGTCATTAACTTCTCTGTGCCGCGCACAGAGGAGTACTACGTGCTGCAGTCACAGGTGACGGGCCGCCACGGCACCGTCGGCGCGTCCTTCCTCTGCGTCAACACCTACGAGGAGGCTGCGTTCCGCGAACTGAAGGAGAACATCCAGTTTGAGCGCTTCGAGGACGAGGACCATTTCCGCGCGACGGCGGTGGAGCTGTCCTACGACACGGTGGAGAACTCGCTGACCCCCGAGACCGCCGACCCGCCGGCGGACTGGCGCGAACACCTCAACGACAAGAAGCCTCCCCAGAGCTTTGGCAGGCGTCGTTAGTACACGCCAGCGACTGAAGCTGAAAGCGGAGGGTAAGTTCACCCCCACGCAAGCATCTACCCAAGGACAGCGACAAACGAGGAGGAGCACGTGGGACGCAGAATGCCATTCCTTTCTTTAAACCATGTCGGCGTGGTGAAGGTCTCTCTTTCTCTCATGTTTGGTGCCGCCGTGGCGATGATCCAAGTTGGCGAAACAGGCAGCGTGGTTGCTCGCAATGACACCTTTTTCTCGCCCCTTTACTTTTGTGTCTGTGTGCAGCACTATCTTTCTGTTTTTTTCCCCTTGCTCTTACCGTTTTTCCTCTTTCGTAGCTCGGTCGCGTTCAACACAAGCCCAAGAGAGAGGGGGAAAGGGTGGGAGAGTGAGAGGTAGAGGGAGAGGAGGAGAGAGAGAGAGATGACTTAAACTTGAATTTACCACCTTTGTTTGTTGTTGTTTTCGTCAATGTTGACACGTACATTGCAGGTAGTGTGCTGGGGCCACATCGGGAATGCGTATGTATATATAAATGTGTGCGTGTGTGTGACGAGAACGTTGGCTGATTCCGACGCACACATGTGTACAAGCTCCCCCCTCATCTCTTCTCTTCTTCCCTATCCTAGCACCGCACGTGCGTTGGCGTTGTCAGAATTTGCTGTAATCATGGGTATTTTGCGTGCTACCTGGAGAATAGAGTGTGTGCGTGGGTTTTCTTGTCTGTCTAGACGCTGTTTTTACTATTACGTTATTGTTTTTAGTTTGTTTTTGGGCACCTGTTACTGTGTCGGTGGTGATACGTTTGTATCTTTTTTTTTTTGGTGGGTGGCGACCTGGAAAAGAAAAACGACAAGGAGATTGCCGCGCTTAGAGGCCGGATAGCAGCGAGCGAAGAAGCGTGTGTTGCGAAGGCGAAGTTCATGGAGGCCAACGTTTGTGCGACATGCGCTTTGGTGCCGAGAAAAAGGAGCACAACTTTTGTGTGTGGGTGTGTGTGCTGTAAACGCTGCATGATGGTTAGACTGGTGCGATGCACAACCTTTCTTTTTTTTTCTCGTGCAGAGCTTTTATCGTAGCCAAACAACCGCAAGTCAGGCACTTCGGCGCTTCGTTTCTCCGTTGATTTCGCATACGCGTGTGACTTCGTCTCACGCATCTCTATTTGTATTGTTCGTGTCTGTTTTTGTTTTGTTTTTAATTTGAATTTCCATGGTATCTGTGCCAGTGCCTAAAATTGAAGGGAAATAAAAAAATGAAAACCAGCAGCAGTTGTTTGTGGCCCTTATTTTTCTTGTTAAGCAATATATAACGCAAGAATGCACACACAATAATAATACATCACAGCAGCAACTGAAGTCACCCCCGGTAAGGTGAACAACCGTTCCTGTGGTTTGCCTTACCACCTTGCGCAGGTGCAGTAAACTCCGCGTGCTTCACTCTTGAGTGCTGAAAGTACCGGTTTTCTTTTCTTTTTTTCTCCGCAGCAGGAGTGTGTGGATCCAGCGAGAGGTGGAGCGACAAGCGAATCTCTTCACAGCACGGCTTTGCGTGGGTGGGTTCCCTTCCGTGTTGCCGGCGTAAAGCGTGCCGAATGAGAGAGGGCGGCTCAAATGAGTTGGTGCAGGTGAAGGTGTGAGATGCGCGCCCATCCAATAATAATAATATTAATAGTATTTGCTCCAGAGCTCTTTATTATTATTATTATTGCGTTTATGCCGTGGTGTCTGTTACTTGATAGGCTACGCTCTCTACAGAAGACTAGAGAACTAAAGCTCTGTTTTTTCCCCCCTTTTCTCTTTTTTCGTCGAGCTCTCTCCTTGATCGATTCGCTCGATCACCAAAGCCATTCGTTGCGAGTACTCCTCATCATAAGCAATCCCAAGGTTTTTTTTCCCACTCTGTTGTTTGACGCAGAATCATGCCCGCAGTCGCCGCCGCCACCGTGAACGCGGAGCTGGCGCTGAAGGACATCATCAAGGCGACCATCTCCAAGGCCTTCCCGCAGGTGCCGCTGCCGGAGCCACTCATCACTCTCGGTAAGGTGAGCGAGTTTCAGTGCAACAATGCCATGGGCCTGGCCAAGGCGCTGTCCCAGCAGAAGCCACCCGTTAAGATGAGCCCGCAGATGGTTGGCGAGGAGCTCAAGAAGCACCTGCAAGACAGCGACATCATCGACGTGTTCGAGCCCACCTCGAAGGGTTTCATTAACGTGAGCATCCGCAAGGAGTGGATCGCCAAGACTGTCAACGCGGTGCTCACGAACGGCATCTGCCCGCCCGTTGTGGAGCGGCAAAAGGTGATGGTGGACTTCTCCTCACCGAACATCGCGAAGGAGATGCACGTCGGCCACCTCCGCTCCACCATCATCGGCGAGTCGATTTGCCGTTTGCTGGAGTTTTGCCAGCACGACGTCGCCCGCATCAATCACGTCGGCGACTGGGGCACGGCCTTCGGCATGCTCATTCTGTACATCAAGCGCAACTACCCCGACTACACGACAAACCCGCCGGACATTTCCGACCTCACCGGTTTCTACCGCGCCGCGAAGCAGTGCTTCGACGAGGATCAGGAGTTCAAGGAGCAGGCCCGACTCGAGGTGGTGAAGCTGCAGGCGCTCGAGGAGGACTCGATCCGCACGTGGAAGTTCATCTGCGACGTCTCGCGCAAGGAGTTCAACGAGATCTACGACCGTCTCGGCGTCACGATCGAGGAGCGCGGCGAGAGCTTCTACAACCCGCTCATCCCGAAGGTGCTGGCCCTGCTGGAGACAGCGGGGCAGATCGAGGAGAGCGACGGCGCCAAGTTGATCATCAGCAAGGAGGAGCGCAAGATAGACAGCCTGGACGCGCGCGACATGACGAAGCTGGCGAGCCAGCACCTGGCGCTGACGACGCGCGAAGGCCCGTCCTTCCACCCGAACCTCATCGCGGCCATGAAGAAGGCCGGCATCCTGACCGGGGAGGCGGGGGCGGAGGTGGTGGTGCTGTCCAAAAAGGAGACGAAACCGTGGAATAAGTTTGACATTCGCGTGGACCTTGACAAGCTCATGGCGCAGCTTGCCCCTCTCTACAAGAAGCAGGTGGACCCCCTCTTCCTCGAGGTGTTCCAGAACGCCGGCATTGTGAAGGGCGACAGCATCCTCGTGCCGCGCTTCACGTTCCCGCTGATGGTGGTGAAGAGCGACGGCGGCTACACCTACGACACGACCGATGTGACGGCCACCTACCACCGCTTTGTCCTCTCCGCCATGAACCGCGTGATTTACTGCACGGACGTTGGCCAGTACGAGCACTTCCGCATGTGCCTGCAGACCGCGAAGGACATGGGCTGGATGGAGCACGCCACGTGGGACCATGCCGGCTTCGGTCTTGTAACAGGCGCGGACGGCAAGAAGATTAAAACCCGCTCGGGCGAGACGGCGAAGCTGAAGGACCTGATGGACGAGGCGGTAGAGCGCTCACTGACCATCCTGAAGGAGCGCGAGGCCGGCGACCGCAACCAGGGCCACACAGAAGAGGAGATGACGAACCTGTCGAACGTCATTGGCATTGGCGCCATCAAGTACTTCGATCTCAAGCAAACCCGCACCGGCGACTACGCCTTCAACTACGACAAGATGCTCGACATGTCCGGCAACACCGCCGTCTTCCTGCTCTACCAGTACGCCCGCATGTGCTCCATTAAGCGCAAGGCCGGCGTGTCGGACGCGGACCTGCTGCAGGTGAAGGAGATCTCGCTCGACACCCCACAGGAGAAGAGCCTGGCCTTGTGCGCGCTGCGCTTCCAGTCGGTGGTCCTCAAGACCGCCGAGGACCTCTTCCCGCACCACCTGGCCGACTTCGCCTACGAACTCATGTCTTGCTTCTCCGACTTCTTCCAGAACTGCCGCGTCATCGACGATCCGTTGCAGAACAGTCGCCTGTGCCTCGTGGAGCTGACCCGGATTACCCTCCAGAAGACGCTCGAAATCCTCAACATTGAGACCGCCGAGCGCATCTAACGACAACGCAGCTGGAGGAAGAAAAAAAAATGTGTGTTTGTTTGGTTGTAGACTGTTTGCGGTCAAACGCACTTTTTGTAGCTGTTTCGCGCAGTTCTAGCAGAAGCCTTTTTTGTGCTCCTCACGCCGTGCTGTCGGGGCGGAGAAAGGAAAGCCGTAACATCGTCCATCTTTATCTGTGCGTTTTCTTTTGTTGATGCTTCCTCAGAGGTGGAGACGCCGTTTTTCGCTGATTACTCCTTGTCACCACCTGGGTGATAAGCAGTATTGGCGCGGAGGAGAGTGCCCTAACCCTCTTTACTAAGCTCCAAGAGCACTAACTAACTGTCCAGTACGTACTACAATAAGCATCGAGGTATTTTTATGGTGCATCTTTAAACATATCGGGTTTTCTTGTTTTTTTTTTTGCGACAGCCGAAGGATGAGCGAAGCGCAGTTGGAGACTGCGAGTTTCACCGTTCAATCGAACTCCCCCTCCCCTCAGCGGCGGTGGATCCAAAAGGAAGAGGCACGGTACACATCAACGTCTTTTCCTGCTCCAATGTGTAATGTCAACTGGTCAGCTGATTTTGTCCTGTAAAAAAAAAAGAGGTTTTATAGCTGCGCCGATTGTTGATGCGTGAAAAGGCGGCACATTTACCGTTGGGGCATTCACGTTCCTGACCGCTATCAAAACTGTTTTCTTCCTCTCTCTTCCTTCCTCGTGCTTTTATCCACACTGAAGCGAAGAACCCTTCTCGTCTCTTTTTTTTTCTTTGCGACAGCTTTGCTTCGGTTTCTCTCCGCCGTCTCATTTTTTTTTTTCTTCTCTGTACACAATGCAGACGTGGTACCGCCCGCACCCCTATGGCATCTACCCGCGCGGGAATGCCGTGAAGCGCAGCGACATCTTCGACCGTCTGGGCACGCTGTCGATGTTTACCACCGCCACCTCTGAAGACGATCGCGAGGACACGGAGCAGCCTTACCTGGAGCTCGTCCAGTACCTGTTGAGCTTTCTGGAGGTGCCGGACCTGTGCCGGCTGTCGCGCAGCTGCACGGGCTGGTACGTGCTGGTGCACTGCACGGATGCCTTCAAGACGGCCTACACCATCTTGTCGCCGAGCTACATGCGTTTCCGCGGTAGCTGGAAAGAGACGGCGGTGCGCGGCTACGTGGCCCAACGTGGGTGCCAGTCAAAGAGTGTGAAGGCACTGCAGGGCAGCAACGGCAGCACGCCCTCTTCCTCTCCGCCCCCCAAGAAGCCAAAAGGGGAGATTAAAAGCACTAATGCGCAGGCGGCCATGTCAAGCAAGGCAGCGGCGGAGCTGAGGTTCGAGCACAGGCCTGTCTGTGTGCAGCGCCGCTTCTTTTGCGATCAGCTCTTCCAAGCGTGGATGTGCACCATCCTGCCCCCCTATTACCATCTCCACCCCGTCGCAGGAGCGGCGCTGTCGGCGGCCGGCGGTGACCGCGACTGTGCGGGACAGGCAAAGAGTCGGAAGACAAAGCGAGACGCTGCCTTCCCCGCCAGCAACGATGGCTCAACTTCGCCGGGCCACAGTCCGCAGTACACGTCCGACTTCCTCCCTGTGGAGCGCTGCAGCCGCCTCTCCGTGAAGGAGTTCAACGATCGCTTTGAGCTGCCGAACATCCCGGTCGTCATCACCGACGTGGCGACGGAGTGGCCCTTATTTAAAATCCTTAACGGCCGCTTCACTAACTTGTCGGACAAGAAGAGGGAACTCGTGCGAGCCGGGTGCCCGCTGACGGCGCCGCTGCGCTGCGAGTACACGAACATGGACCTCGAGGACTACGTCCACTACGCCACAGAACAGAACGACGAGCGGCCCATCTACATGTTTGACGCGGAGTTCGGGAACGTGCTCGACGTGGAGAAGCTCTACACCGTGCCGGAGTACTTTGCGCGCGACGACTTCTTCTCCACCATGGGCGCGCGCCGTCCAAAGCATCGCTGGATCATCGCCGGGCCCCACCGCGGCGGGAGCAGCTTCCATGTTGACCCCAACTACACAAACGCATGGAATGCGAATATGACCGGCCGCAAGCGCTGGCTGCTGTTTCCACCGGGTGCGAACCCGCCGGGCTGTGTGCCGAGCACAGACATGGCGGAGGTAGCGACACCCGTCTCGCTGACGGAGTGGCTCCTGAACAACTACGACGCGAGTCTGCAGACGTTGCGACACTGCGGCTACGAGTGCATCTGCGAGCCTGGCGACATCATGTTCGTGCCGTGCGGGTGGTGGCACTCCGTCATTAACCTCGAGGACTCCGTGGCGATAACGCAGAACTACGTGTCGCGCAGCAACCTGCCGAAGGTGGTGAAGTTTTTGCGTGCCATGAAAGGCTCCATCAGCGGCATTGACGAGGACGCGGATACTGCTACCGCCGAGTCTACCGCAGCACGGCAGTGTGGATTTGCGAAGGAGTTCGAGACGGCGATGCGGAAGGCGCACCCGACGCTGATGAACGAGGTGGAGCAGCAGCTGGAGAGAGAGCATCAGGAGCGGGAGAAGCGCCGACTGGGTCACCTGACACTGCTGGACCCGTCATCGGAGGGCTTCACCTTCGACTTCTAGCGGGGTTGCGCCATTCCTCTGTTGGAGGCTGAAACGCAATGGAAAAGAAAAGTGTCTCCCTCGTTGCGTCTCTGCCGCCTCGAGTCGCGAGAGATGAGAGACGCAGAGCACTCCAGTTGAGGAGCGTCGTGCAACCATGCGTCGGCTACGTGAGCACAAACCAACATCAAAATAATAATAAACAATAAGTTACTAACAGCGGGAAAACAGCCTTTTTTTAAATTTTCTCTTTCGTACGTTCCACCGCGAAACCGTAGCGTTCCAGCCTATGAAGGTCATTCGCTGCCGATGACAACTAAGTAATTAAGCTAAAGGCGTTCGTGCGCCTATTTGTATCTGCTCACTTACGCCGATCTTGGCCGTTGTTCGTGTGTGTGTATCTGTGTGCGACATCACACACGCAGATACATACAAATAAAGACTTCGCCGGTGCATTCTGCGAATAGGTCTATTTGCAAACGTAAACGATTTAGAGGAATTGGAATGCATACGGCCTTTTCTTTTCGCATCGCTTTAAGCAGGAATGCGGCGGACAACGAGATCGCTCGACGGTTGTAACACGGCAATGCCAAATGCTATCGAGGACTTTATTGTCCGCCTTGGCAATAAGTAAAAGAGGACCTATTAGCAGCACAACTCTCCTTTTCCGTATCTCCGCTTCTGTCTATCCACCGCGTGCATCAAGCGCCACACACACACACACACAAGGAAGCCCTCAACGTCTCGCGTTGCGTCTTCGTTCGTACGTACTGAAACTCCTCTGTTTCTTGCCACATTGTGCTGACAGTGACAGCTGTCGCCTGCAAGTGCGAGAAGGAGAAAGCAGACGAGAAAGAAAAGGAAACGTTTGACTGGACTCTACTATTTATCATCACATTTATTCAAAGCGCCTTTCATGGTACCAACGGTTTGTTGGAGAAGAACAAAAATCTCACCATCAGGTCTGTAAGGCAAGCAGAGATCTGCTGTTGCGTCCAAATTAGCTGAGCGCACATCATCATCTTCATCAAAATAAGGTAAAGTATACTTAGGCACACGCAAATAAAATGGGCTTCTTGACGAACTGGTACGAGCGCTTGGCGGAGACGAAGCAGCTGGAGTTGCTGATGAGGATGGGCATGTATGATGAGCGAGTCTACGAGGTCGTGGAGCGCCACCGCCTCGCCCCCGACATTATCCAGACGCTGCCGACTCCGCTCACGGCACACTTCCTGGCGCGTGGCATGTGCTACGACGCCATCAATGAAGAAGTAATTCGCAACTTTGTGCGCATCTGCATGATGCTGTCTCGCTACAACAGCGTGGAGGAGGCCTCGACCCTGGCGGAGCTCATCGGCAACTGCGGGCTGCCGGAGCAGTACCGAATGCAGATGTTCAACTTTAGCGAGACGTACCGCCACATGATCTTATCGCAGTCGTACTTCCCGCAGCGTGCCGTCCTTCGACTGCTGGCGTACATCTTCTGCGATGACTTCCTCTCGGACGCCGTGGCGCAGCTGCAATACAAGTCCGATATTTTGAACCACGTCAACAAGGTGTACGTCACCACCCCTGACTTCGTGTCGTGGCGCTTCTCGGTGCGATGCATGGCGCTCGCCGGTGGCTTCAACGAGGACCGATCAGACGTCGAGTACACGGAGCTGCTCACGCGTGCGGTGTCGCAGATGGCGCCGGAGTTCCTCAGCTACTTCGTCGTCGCGTTCTTCTACGCGCGGTTCCGCTTTTACCCCCAGCGTGTCCGCGGCATCACCCCCCGCTGGCTCGCCCGGCAGCGGGCCTGCTTCTCCGCCCTCTACTGCGCCCTGCTTGGGGTCTTCTGCAACTCGATCTTAGAGTACCGTGTACACGAGCACCGGGTGCTCTACGAGCTGCGCAAGAGTCAGGAGCTGCGCCGCCGCCGCGGAGCCGCCCGTCGCGGGGTGGCGTACGACGCGAATCACTACTTTGACGACCTATCCGGCGTAACGCGGCGCGTGCACATGATGCAGGCGACGACGTACACCGTGACGGGCCTCGGGCTCGCCGTCTCGATGCTGCCGCTCACCTCGGTGAGGTTCCCCAAATTCATGGGCGACGTCGCGTGGCGACACCCGTTTGTGCCGCGTCTCTTTCCCTCGCTGGTCGGCCTGCACGCCGCCTCGCGCTGCCTCGTTCCGTTTGTCGTGGCTCCTTTTACTGCGGTGAGTCTGGCGAAGTACGGCAACTGGGGCACCACCTTGTATGACCGCTACGTGGAGTGGCGCATGCGTGTGTGGCACCGCAAGGTCGACGTGGCCTTTGACACCACCACGGAGGTGAGCGACGTGGACATCACGGGAGCTGATAAATTCAAGAAGAGCGAACTCTGAAGAGAGCAGAGGGTATGGGGTGGAAAGAAAGAAAAGAAATACGCTGAAGGGTTGCAGTGCGAAGGTCGCCGTGACAGAGACAGAGAGCAACGGAGTAGCAAGGATACGGCGAGTGTGCGCGTTGCCGCGTGCTCCGTGCACCGTCGCTATGTCATGCCTCCCAATCGAGGTGGCTCCCTTTTTTTTTAATGCCGGTGTCAGCGCTTGGAGGAGCGATCGTCGCGATGCGTCGCGGACGGCGTTTTCGTTGATCGCTTTTCTGGTGCTGGTGTTGTCGCACCTCCGTTGTAGGTTGCTGCGTGTTCTTTTGATCAGGAGCACTTGGAGGCATTTTTGCGCGGGTTCGCCTCCTCTTTTCACACAAACACGCACAGACACTCACCGACCGACTGACAATCAAAGATCGTAGCGACTGGCTACCGGTCTTCATCACAGTAGCACTCAAAAGAAGAGTTTATTGTGCGATCAAGGGCGAGAGAGTAAGATGGCTAAAAACTTCAGAAGACTCGTTGAGGGAAGTAAAACGCTCATCGTTCAAGTTCGTAGAAGATGTTTTTTTTTCTAATCAAGGAAGCAGCATTTCTCCGTTGTACATACTGTGTGGCTCCTTTGTTTTCCTCTGCACTTCCCTTTCCACATCTCTCCCTTCTGGCTACTTCCTCCTCCCCCACCCCCGGCTTCCTTCCTTAACTTCTCCACACTCCACGGTTTCTCGAAGAGAGCTAGTTGCATAGCACCTTTAGCTACGCTTTTTCAAGTACGTTTACCCATCCGCCCAATTCATCCTTTCCTGTTGTTTCATTTTTTACCTTTCCTCGTTTTCTTTTCCCGGCGTGTTTTTTGTTTAAACACCCCCGCCTTCCTTCTCTCCCTCTTCTTCTCTCTCGCTCGAAAGCTCGTATCAACGGTGAACTAGCATAGCTGTGCTTGAAAGCTGAACCGGGTATCATAATAAGCGTCGTAATAGGAGGATTCCTTTTCTCTTCCCCTTTCTTCTTTCTTCTGTGGGGCGGACTCCCGCTTCACTGCTTCATTGAGCTTCTCTGCCTTTGTTCTTGTTGTTTATGGATTCACGCTAGCTCTTCGGGAGTGTGTGTTACATAGGGATATATATGCATATATATTTGAGGTTCTCATCTCCTTTCTTCTTCTTTTCATCACCAGCATATTATTGGCAATTTATATAATAGTATAGTACTCCAGCTTCGCGGAAATCCGATAATGTTCTCAGAGACGTACTTTAGCGTCCGCGTAAAGGGATGTGCGGGGGCTGCGTACGAGATCCACGAGTCGCGCAGCTGTGTAATGGACCTCACGAGTGTTCTTCTCGAGGCCCAAGACAACGTTCGCCAGATCCACACGCTCAACCACGTTCTCGGCATTCACTCCGCCGTGCCCAAGCCGCCTGCTGGGCCGGCACCTGCCTCGCCTCGCCCTTCGATCCCAACTGGTGATACAAAGAAAGGCAACGACGCCGACAGCAACAAGAACGCTGACAACATGAATGAATCCCGGGTGCCTGATATGTATAGAATGGACACCATCGTGCACAGTTTGTCTCGCCCGGACGTTGAGGCCGACTTCGCGACTGCCCCGATCAATCTAAGCGCCACGGCCAGCAGCCGGACCTTCACATCAGTGTCCTCGATGCAGCGACTGGCGCACGCGGTGCGGGACGACCTTCCCATGGACGTTGTGGCCACCAACGCGCTGGACTTCGTGGCGGCGTGGCGGAAGGAGGATGGGAGGTGCACCGCGCAGGATGACCTTTTCCACGAGTGCATCTCCTCTCGCCTCACCATCGAGGCCACCGAGGAGGAGTGTCGCCGGCGGCTGCGGCATCTCCTCTTCAACGTGGCGGAGCAGCTGGACCGCTTTGCCGTCCTCGGCGAGTACGACAAGTTTGTCGTGTTTTGCATGGAAAACGAACCCGTCTGGCGGCAGGCGGCGCGGCAGCTGCAAGAGGACAACACCGCCCGACTGAACACAGCGGCGAACATCTACATCCGCTTCCTCCTCGAGGACGCCGCCGTGTCGGAGAAGACGAAGATGTATCAAGAGGCAGCAGACTTTGTGGTGTCGCTCAGTTTAATGGAGCGAGAGCAGCGCGGCGTCGCGCAGACGAAGGCCGTGGCGCGACGCCGCCGACAGTCCGCCTCGCAAGTCACGACACCGACAGCGACGGTGACGAGGCGGAGAAACGGCGATGAGGCGGGTGCGTCCGCAGGGCGTGCGGGATCGCACTCGCCCAACGACCCAAAGGCCCACAAAAAGGAGGCGGGGAGCGGTGCGACCGCCGCGGAGCGGGTGAAACCGCTCTCGTCGGTGGAGGTGGACAACTACCGCGAGGGCTGGCGGGCAATACTGGGCCACCTCACCAACGGCGAGCGCGGCGGGCCGACACACCAGAATGTCACTCCACCTGCCACCGCTCTGCCCGTTGCCGCGGCGGCCCCTCTCAGCGCACGTGAGCAACAACACAAGAACAAATCTCCGATCCTGCCGGAGGTCGCATCACTCAACGGCTCCAGGAACGAGGGAAGGCAGCAACAGACAAAGTCCAAAGACTTTGTGTTCCCCTCACCGAAGGAGACGAAGGTGGAGACGAAGCGGTCGCCACCCAATGACAAAGACAAGCACAAATCGCTACCACCGGTATCACGGGATGCGCAAAAGATTCAAAAGGACGATAAAGCTGCTGTCTCCTCATCTTCACGGCCGGCACAAAAGTCGCGCGATGAGCCGCGCGGTAAACGCAACCCCTCGCCTCCTCGCGGCCCAAGTCTGCCGAGCACGCGCGGTGCCGAGGCGGCGGCACGGAAATCAGAGGCGGACGCGAAACCAAAGGAGATTCGTCCGGTCGTGGTGAACGCCACCGTGCAGAGGCACGCGGACGGCAATCGTGACCCACGCGGCGGCCCGCGTCACAGCCATCGTGAGGCCAAGGCGCGCTCTTAAAAAAGACGAACAGTGTTCTTTCGTTGTGTGTTCGTCGTGCTTCCGGAGTGCAGTCTCATCAATATCTGTTTTCGCTTTTCTGCCTCTCCACTTTTTTCTTCTTACTTCTGCACTCATATTGTTTATGTTTCCATTAACACTTTTAATATGCAGCGAACGGTTTTTTCCTTCTTCCGAATATTCAATGGGCCAAAAAGCCCGGCGTGGTTGACGGAGCACAGAACGCTGAACGTGTCAACGTCGTTCTCGCCGCCGTCGCAGCTGCCCACACAACGATGTTTATATCTCATTTGGATTTAATTTCGACGCAACGCAAAAAGCAGGCAAGCTTCTTCGCGGTTGCTTTGCTCTCTTGACACACATGCGTAAGCCGGAGAAGCTGCGATGTGAGTAGAAATGAGGCTGGTGCTCCTTTTTTTTCTGGGGATTTCAGTATACACGTTTTCCGATATTGATTTTTCGTGCCGTCTAAACTTCTTTCTTTTTCTTCCTTTGCAGCTGTGTTGGCGCTGATCTTTTACGAATCTTTTTTCTCTCTCTCTCTCAATTTCATTGACCGAGGCACGAACCTTCTTTTCATTTTTCCCCCTTCTTCTCCCTGGTCCTCGGGCGCGTGGAATTGCGGTATATTGCGTAGCATATTTGTGCTGCTCGGGAGATAAGCGTTGTGGCCATTCGCAGCGCCTCTCTCCGTCTGAGAAGGTGATCTTCGCCTTCTCTTTCTTGTGTATACGGAGGTGCGTTTCGTGGCCTCGAAGCGATCGGCGCGGCGCTCCCTTCTCTTGCGGGTTTCGTTTTGCTTCGTTCTTCTTTACGCAGTGTACCGTTGTGCTGCACGCAACACTACCCCCTTTCTTCTTCTTTCTGAGTCGCTCCTCTTCGTCCGAACTTTCAGCATTGCTGTCGGCTGCTTAGTTGTGTGGAAGGAAGCGTTCTTTTTTTTCTCCCTTGCCAGCACATCTGCTTTTCGCCATTTACTTCACCTGCGCGCGTGCAAGCCGATAGCAGCGATGGCGGTGATTGGTTGTTTCTGAGGGAGAAGTGGACACTGCAACTTTTTTTTTGTGGCTTTCTCCACCCCGTTTCCTGCTGCGTGTGCTTCATGGCGCGCCTCTTTTCTCTCCCAAGGGGGGGGGGGTTGAATTCTCTGTCGCTACTTCTTTCTCTTGCGTTTCTTTTCCTTAAAAGCTTCTTTTTCTTTTTGCGTTCTCTCTTGTTTGCGATACACAGTGCTTTGTTGACGAGTTATGTTGCATCGATGCGGGCTCAGAAAAGCTTTCGCTGCCGAGTTGCGATGGAGAGGAGTAATGGTTGGTACTCGTGTTTCACTTAACAGCGTCAAAGCTGTTTCTGCAGCACTACCACCTCATGTACATACGAGCTGCTGGTAAACGCGTGATGAATTGGCATCATCACCTCCAACGCATCGAACCGCTTGGTGACTTCTGAAAGGTAGTTTACTGTGCTTTAAAAAAAAGAAGATAATTAAATGAAGAATACATGAACACGATCGCGACTCAGACCCATACGCACATGCACATACATCTACTCGTAGCAGCGTACACAATCTATCAGAAAGCCGGCAAGCTGAATGTCCCGTTCCAAAAAAAAAGGGGTGTTATTCGCACGCAACGGGTTGCATTTCAAGGCGAAGACACAAACAAGTAAATAGAATCTGACGACACGCAATAGCATGGGTGCTAGTATGCTGGAATGTTTTGTAGACGCCACTGTGAAGACCTGTTTTTCTTTCTGCGCACCTTCGTGACTGTAAGTAAGACACGTATGCACTGTGATCTGTCTAGCGTTCTCCACCCAACGTATTTCGTTTGCAGCCACCATTCGCAGATTCTCATGCCCCCCCCCCCCCTCCCACCTTTCACCCTTCTTGACCTCATTCTTACAGTTTATAATTTTCTGTTGGATAGCCGTTTTCCTTTGCCTTGCACAGAACATCGCAATTTCAAACTTTGTTTTTCTCTCCCCCCTGCAGCTCGAATTCCTGGTGTGGAGCGCACTATGCCAATCCCCGCCGTTAAACGAGCCCCACCGCCGCCCCGGCGTGCCCCTCCCGCGGCCGCACTGGCAAACCTCACTCATGACGGCAGTGAAGGTGCCTACGCCGCCACTACCGTGCAGCTGAAAATCAGCGGCGTCGCCCTCACCTCGCAGCGGCTCATCCAGACAAAGGACTCGGTCAACGACATCAAGGTGGCGCTGGCCACTGCAGACGACACAATTCAGCGCGTCGTCACCAGTCCCGCCCTCCTCGGCGGCGGTACTACTGACAGCGCCAAAGGCGGGGTGGACATCCAATCCCTCCAGTTTGCCGCCTCCACCCGTGCGAAGCTGGCCGAGCAGGAACAGAAGCAGGATGCCCACTACGCCAACCTCTCCGAATCCGCCGTGGTGGCACAGGAGGTGCGCAAGGCCGCGCAGGACCCGTCGCTGCGACGCTGCAGTGAGGCGATGGAGTGCCAAATGGCCGCGTCCACCTTCCCCGGCGCGCGCTTTCCACGCGGGCAGGGCGCCTCTCACCCGATCCCGCCGGAGGAGGCGCAGGCGCTATTGAATCCTTTTTCCACGGCGCGACGGCAGTCGAGGAGTGGCGCGCTCACCGCGATGCTGCCCATGCCGGCTATCAGCAGCACGAACAACGGTAGCTCGATGGGGGGCGCGAGTACGTCTGCGCCGCCAGTCGCGATGGCAAATGAGCCTTACCGAGTTGTATCTGGAATGCACGACGGCGGGGCCTACCCGCCGACAGTTACACGTGCGAACATTGGAGGAGGCCGTCTGATATCTGGTAATGCGGTCTACTATGCCGAAAACCCCTATCCCCCTCGTGGCCAGCCGCAGCCTGTTTATGGACAGTACGGCCAGCGACAGCCTGTGGGGAATCAACAGAATAATGGGCGGCCCGCTTATATGGCTCTGTAGATGAAACCGTAAAGGATGTCAAGCGTGGTGTTTTGGCTCATGAGTACTTTTGTTGCATTCTTGGTTGTTTTTTTGAATGGATCGCTCTGCAATGAAATCGCTGCTCTTTCCACTCTCTCACTCTCTCTTTCGTTCTGTCGTTTACATGAAGAATCAAACCAAAAGAGGGATGGGTGCGTTGCTTCCGTGCTTTTATCCAGTTGACATGGAAACTTGTACTTGGTGGCAGGAGGCCCCACCCCCCCCCCCCCAAGTTGTATTAGCGCCTAGTTTTCTTTACTAGGTGCTAAGCGTTTTTTTCTTTTCGTTTCCCTGTGAATACAAGAGCTACTACAATGGAAAGGTTGATATGTAACCTGTCTGTTCTGTTCTTTTTGTTCGGTTGCTCTCCGTGCTGTCTTTGGTTCATCATTGGTTACTGTAGCGTGCTCTCTCTTCTCCTTTACGTGGCTCGTGCTTCAACGATGTCGCCACGTCGCAAGGCAAGTTTTTTTTTAAAGCTCAAGGCGGCGAAGGTGACCGTGCACCCTCTGTTGTGCTTCAACGCGGTGGATTGACGTTTTTTTTTTTCATCTCAAAATGCCTGACAGCCTATACGTACTGTAAATATTTTCAAAACTGCGCGATATTGAGTTCTTGCTGTTAAAAACTTGCAGGAGAATGAAGGCCGTCGATGTGAGCGAAGGTTGCTTTGGCTTAATGCTTTCGAGAGTTTCTTTTCATATATAGTGTATTGCTCTTTCGCGGTTTCCTTGGTCGCAAAGCTGTTTGGTTGACAACTTAACGAACACTGGAAAGTCTCTTCTCTTTTTCTTATTGCTTCACGCACCTCACCCCCGTGATTTGCGTTTGCCATTTTCCGTTGCTGCATGTTCTTTTCTTTCAGAGCTGAAGGAACAGAACAAAGAACATTGGCGAGGAAGCGAAAAGATCGCTGTGCCTCCTCCGCTTTTTGGGGATGATGATGTGTGCGTGGCAGCGCACAGACCAGAGCTCCTTTGATGGCTTTGCCTGCCGCTGAGCACGCCCGCACCTCATCGTCCATTGTTGTTTAGAAAACAAAAGGAGTTTTGTGACCTGAAACGCGGTGCAGCCGAGGAGTTGCACAAGGCGCAAGGTAACTGATCGCGTTGATTGCTCTGCGGCATCGCTCCTTTCCAAACCTTTTTTTCGCTTCATCTTATTTGATTGTCTCAATGGCAGACATGAACGCGCCCATATGCTCTCACCTTGTTTCTCCCTTTGTTTTCCTCGTGTTCCGAGTTTTAATCCGTGTGTGCACAACTTCGTCTCCACATCTGCAAACAGCATCAAAAACTGCCTTGAAGCATTGCGCTGGGTGCGCTTCTTTTTGTGATCCCATTACACTGGTCACGACACGTTTCGAGCACCCTTCATCGCAGTTCGCCTGTTGCTCGGCAGTGTTGTCCAAGAGCTTTACCTTTGTTTCTCCCTCTTTCTCGCTTGTTATTAAAAGACCTATCCTCTACCACTTCTTACTATTCCACAAACAACAGCAAAAAAAGAAAAGGAAACCGTTATGGAGCAACCACCAGGATTCTCGCTGCCGTCCACCACGTTACTTGTGGAGGTGGACGTAGCGCCTGAATTGGCCGACATTCACAACGACTTCGCACCCCTACTGCGCCTCTCCGGCATTTGCGCGGTGCCCAGCGCGACGTCGGTCGCCGTCAGCAGCGGCGTCAGCGCCGGCAACCTGTCCGGCAGCGATGAGGAGGAGCAGCGTGGCCGGCGCAGTCCCGCGATGTCACCAGTGCGCGCGGCGGAGAACAAGCTCGCTGAGCTTACCGCACCGGTAACGGTGACGCTGCCGCCGCCCATGTCCAACGAGGACGCCGCGTTCCTTGCCCACTACGTCCAGAGTTTCCGTGCCAGGGAGGAGGCAGAAAGGGCGTATATTGCGTTCATCTTTCAGGAGTACAAGAAGCGGAAGAGCGTTGAGCAGAAGTGGTCGAGTGAGATGGAGGCGATGCGGCAGGAGCTCGAGGTGCTGCGTCAGCGTGAACTCCCACCGGAGGTTCGTGAGGCGGTGGAGGAGCTGGTCAAACGTGAAGGCGGCGCACGCGAAGTCGTCGTGGCGGCCTACCACAATTTTTTGGAGTGGGTTGTGAACACCACTCCGCAGTGGATCGAGGCGGCGCAGCGGCAGGAACAGGCGCGGCTGGCGGATGAGAAGGCGAAGAAAGCTGCCATGGCCGCCGCACGCGAAGCTCTGGCGCGAGAGCTGGCGATGGGCAAGCAGTTAGGAGGGTCGAGCGGCGGCGGCGGCAGTGGTGGTGGTGGTGGTGCAGCCTTCGCGGCCTCCTCGCGTGACTCGCCATCTGCCATGGCAAGTGGTGGCTCTGCTGCCGCGGTGGTGAATGAGGATGGCACGCTTTCGTACGAGCCGGCGGTGTCGGTCGAGCAGCAGCTTGAGGCTTCGCAGGACCAGTCAACGAGCCTCGGCGCGAGTGAGCTGCGACGCAAAGCAATCCGCATGCTGGAGGCCGAAGAGGAGGAGATGCGGCGGCGACGTGAGGAGCAGGTCCGTCTGTTGCGGGAACAGGAGGAGCAGCTGCGAGCAGAGATCGAGTTGAAGAATCAGCACGACGCGGAGCAGGCGGCCCGCAAGGAGCGCGAGGCGGCGCAGAAGCGCGAGGACGAGCTTGCACAGCGGTACAACGCGCTGCTAGAGCAGGAGTTCACCTTGCAGAGTCGGGTCCGGCAGCGAGAGGAGGAGAAGGCGAAGAAGGAGGAGGAGCGGCGGATGCTGATGGAGCGCGTAGCCGCAGAGGAGCAGCTGCTGCGGCAGCGCATTCAGGAGAAGGAGGATCGTCGCAAAGCGTCAGAGGAGGAGGCGGCCCGCGTTGCACGAGAGAAGGAGGAGCGTCGCAAGGCGTCAGAGGAGGAGGCGGCCCGCGTTACACGTGAGACGATGATGCGCGAGATGCGCGAGCAGGAGGAGACGCTGCGTCGCCGTCTTGCCGAGCGCGAGGCCGCAGCGGAGTCAGCACGAAGGGCGGAAGCAGAAAAAGCGCGACGCGACGCCGCGGCGGCCGCCGTGTGCGCCGAACAGGAAGCGGCGCTGAGGCGGGCCAAGGAGGAACGGGAAAGAGCAGAGAAGTCACGTCAACTCGCCTACCTGCGCGATCAGGAAGCGGCGTACACGCGGCACCTGCGCGAAAAGGAGCTGGCCGAGATCGAAGCAAAACGCCGGGCGGCGGAGGCGCACTGGACACACCCGACACTGCCTTCACCGCAAACGAACAGCAGTTCCCTCTCTGTTGTCTCACCGATGCCGATGGGCTCAGTGGCGATGCCCACCCCACACGCCGCGCCGTCCACCCAGGGAAGTTACTACGCCACTCCGCAGCCGGCGGCACCGGTGGCGCCTGTCTACCCGCTCGCTGTCGCTGCTGCGGCACCTCCGCCCGTGATGCCAGGTTACGGCGGCGCCTACGCAGTACCGCCGCCACCGCCGCAGGCGTACGCCTATCCCTCTCCGTACGTGGCGTACCCCGTCATGCCGCCGCCGCCGCAACAGCCGCCGATGATGATGATGCAGGGCTATCTGCCGAATCCCAATCCCTATTACCCGCAGGTCGCGCCACCGAATATGATGGCGCCAATGCAGCCCTCTCCTTACACGCCGGCCGCCATGTACCCACGCTGAGCTGCTGAAAGTGCGAGATTGCTGCGGCTGTCAGCTCCCGTTTCTTTGTTCTCTCATCCCCAAACTCCCCGGTTGTACCAATTTGTTGTGGATGGCTGTCGGCTGTCGTTTTTGTTTTTGTCTCCACCTCTGTTCTTCTGTCACGCGTCGGTGTGACGAAGGACGTTTCTCTTTTCATTTTCATCTCTTCTGCTATCTTCCTCTGTCGGTGTGATGCGTGAGTTTCGCTGTGTTGTGTGTGCTCTCTCTTTCGGCCTTTTCCTTCTTTCGATTTTTTGTTTTATTTTTGCGTGCCTGCCATCAACTCACGACAGCGATAACGAAAAACGCACAAGTAGAGAAAGTCTGCTGACCTGAAGGCGAGCGGTGCTAATGCAGCAGCCTTCGCAGCACATGGCGACGGTCGGCGATGCTCAGCCCCGTTGTTGGATCCAGAGGACGTAGCGAGAGCCGTCGAACTTCAAATACAGTGTTTTCTGTTGTCGTCATGTGCCAATACGCCTTGAATTCACTCTCGCAGTGTCGCGCAAGTAAGAGCTGTGTCCTATGCAAACAGCACAGAGAACTTTTCTTCAAGTGCGTTTCCGCCACGATGCAGCTGGCGTAACTGTCTACCACGCTTGTACGCTGTAATGCGTTGAAGAATAAAACACCACCTTTCTCCTTCTTCTCTTTTAAACGTCTTGTTTATTTTTTTTCCCTTTGCTGCTCTGTCACTGCTTCTGGTCGGGGTAAAACGATTGTTTTGCTTCGCACTAATTCTTTTTTTCCCTTCTCCGCTCCCGGCTCGCGCATAAACTAAGAAAGTAAAAAAACGGCAACTACGCCTTTTACTTTACTCAGTGTCAAGAAAAAGTGGGCAACGAGCTGGATACCGCTTTTCCGTTTCTCCCCGAATAATTTCGAGGTGCGTGTGCGCACACGCCGGTTAATACAGCCTTTTTGTTGATTAGAAGCGCTAGCTTCTCTTCTTTCATACTTATCGAGTACCCAGTGACGCGCTCCCGGCTACTTCTAGGTTCGTGCCTTTTTCGCGGCTGCTGTGTGCTTGCGCGTGGCTCCCACCGCAGATAGCACAGCGATAATCCAGCCTGCACCTTCTGCGTACTTCGTGCGGACCACCTAGCATTCACAGGTGAAGTGTGAGTGTGTGCTTGTGAGAATCATCGCCGGAAAAGCATCGTTTCCGTTCTGCTGCAAAGGAAGGGCAAATTCAACGCCAAATACACCCCTGCCGAGGCTTCATCGGCACCGGCGTCACCACGGCTTCTCTCTCGTCCCTTTTTTCTTCGCTTTCTGCTTTCTTCTATTTTTTTTTAATTTTTTAATATCCGTGTGTTTTTCCACCGTTGACGACCCCGTCGTGCTTTTGCTCCTTTCTCTCTCTCTTTCTTTTTAAACTTCTCTGAAAACGCTGAATCTGTTGGCTCTCTTAATTCGCTTTCATCTGATTGTTGCTTTGCTCTTGTCGCCGTCTCAAATTCTGCGTCGTCATTCGCCGGAAAAGCCGTCCGTTGTCGTCATCAACGCTCAGGAACGTACGTATGCTTCGAAAAGACACCAAATCAACACAGTCTTACGCCGAACTCACCCAAGCTTCTTCAACGCTGCTTTTTTAAACCGTCTCGTTCAGTCACTGTAAAGCGTGCTGTTCGTTTTGTTATTATTATTTTCCCACTTTGACTGGTACGGGAGTCTTTTTTTTGTTTAAACATATGTATTTTGTATTTTGCCGGTGTTTTTGTTTCGTCTTGTTCTCGCGTGCACGGCTTCTCTGCCTCCCTTTTTTGAATACAGAGTCTATCATCTGTGAAAGTAATACACATACACGGTTTGCAAGGCAGTGGCTCGCTTCCGACCTGCCACAGGTCTTAATTCCGTTGTTTTTGCGTGTCTATTTCTTCTTTTTTTTTCTTATTTGGCGGCTGACGTGATCTACTCTGTAACTGTGCTCGCAACTGTTATCTTCCGCGAAAGGACGTGACAAGCCCACCTCAACGGAGCGCGTGAGAAAAAACAGGATAGATGGTGTACACATTATCGTAGCTGATTCCTCTGCACCTCCCTGTTGTGGGCATTTTTCCGCGTGCTGTGGATAACACTGCAGGTTTTTTTTTAAGTTTCTCTGCTTTTATTATTGTTGTTATCTTTTTGTTCACTATTATTATTATTATTACTTTTGGTTTCTTGCAGCGGTTAAACAATTCAGGAAAGCGTGTGGTGTCTGTGCTTCCTGCTGCGGCATTCCGTTTCCCTCCCCTTTTGCCGTCTTTGATCGTTTGATATTCCTGATTGTCGTGTCATCATTGAATTTTTTTTCCTTCTTCTGCGGTGTGTGTGTATAACTAATATCCCCTAAACGAGTGTGCTTTATTTTGTATTTGATACGTGCGTGTTCACTCTCTCCCGCGCGCCCCTGCAGGGCCTCGAATGAACACTTCGCCTACGGCGACACACTCCCTTCCCGACGCGGCGCAACAGGGTGAGAAATCGTACTTTGAGTGCCCCAAATGCCACCGACAATGTAAGAGCCGGACTTGGTTTCTGAAGCACCTGGAGACGTGCTTCAAAGGATCCACTCAAGCCATCACAAACGGGTCGACCAACTCACCCGTGCCCGCCTCGGGAGAGGCAAACGCCGCCACGCCGCCTGCGTCACAGCAGCAGCAGCAGCACTATCACCACCACCACCGACTACCGCGCGGCACCGGCGCCGATGACGCCGTTTCGTCGCCCGTGTACGAGTCCATCGGGAGCTCCTCCCCCACCTCCTCGGTCCACTCCTACCAAGAAGGACAGAGTAGACGAAACTCTCGACTGAAGTTCGGCGGGGAGGGCCGCAGCGGCAGCAACGACATGCCGCTGGACCTCAGCGACTCAGGTGTGAGCCCCAACTCGGGCGCGTCGCGTACCTCGGCGCTCGCCTTCGGCTTCAAACACTCGTACGCTGACCCCAACCAGACCGGATCCATGGCGAAGTCTCCCCACTGCAACGCTGACGATGCGTCGTCGAGAGCGTTCCAGGCTTATTATAGTAACAACACTCTACCGAATAATAACGCTAGTAATGGCGGCGGCAGCGTTCCGCCCCGTCTGTCGCACCGGACAAGCATGTCACAGGGCATCTCCTCGTTCGTGGGCAGCCTTCTTGGCCTACGCGCCGGCACCGGCTCCGGCGAGAGCGGCTCCGCTGCCTTCTCCAATCAACGCCCGGTTGTCGCACCCCCCGCTGCTGCCGCCGTGACGTCCGGGTATCAGGGGGTCAGCTTTGCAGAGGAGGTTGCACCGCAGCAGGCACCAGCGCGCCAGGGCAGCTTCCGACTGCACTCGGACGGCACGTGGACGCAGTACACCCCGACCGCGTCCTCCTCGTCCTCTTCGTGCGATGACGGTGACGATGCGGGGATGAACGGCGGGGACTCGTTCCTCGCGCACTCGAGCCGGCAGTCCTCGCAGAGCCTCAGCCGCAACGGCACCAACCATCGCGGCCCTCAGCACAGGAGCAGCAAGAGTTGTACGAGTCGGCCCCCAAACAGCCGTGATCCAAGGAGTTCATCGCTGTTCGCGGGAAGTCGACTGATATCACCCGTAGGACCCGACACACTCAGCGAGCCGCGAGTGTACGAGCGCAACGGCAGCGCCGGCAGCAACCGCAACGAGAGCGGGCCGGGCGCGGAAAGGCATCCATCGTTAAGTTTCGCTGCCACATCGAGCCTGCCGCGTGAGCAAGAGCGGTTGGTGCCACGCCTCATGATGTGCGGCAACGTAGGGGACCAAACCCCGTTCGAGCGCAAAGGCAGCGGCGGCGGCGTCGACGGCAACGTGAACGGCGACCGCCTCTCGCGCTCGCAGCACGGCAGTGCCTCGCCAGGTTCGCTCAGCTGCGTTTCGTCGTCCGCCTCGCCGCTGTTTGCCCAGGCGATGGCGAGCCCGTCGTCGCGGAACGTGAGCACCTTCCCCCAGCCGGGGACCAGCAGTGGCCGCATCAGCGGCGTGAACGGCGGTGGGGGGTGCCCAAGCGGGGTGCGCACGCCGCGGCAGAGCGAACGCAGCGGTGCTGTCACGCCGCGACCGATCTCTTTTCAGCGCGGCCGCGCCGTCGGCTCTGGTGGCTTCGGCACCGTCTACCAAGCCATCCTCTCCGACGGCTCGCTGGCCGCCGTGAAGGAGCTGAAGCTGGAGAACACGAATCTGAAAGCGATTGACCGCGAGGTGCGAGCAATGAGCAGCATCCCTCCGCATCCGAACTGCGTCCGCTACCTCGGCTCGCGGTACAGCGCGCACCACTACTACCTTATCATGGAGTACATCAGCGGTGGCAGCATCAACGCACTGCGCAAGTCCGTGGGCCGCTTCCGCGAGTCGGTCTTCCAGCGCTACGCCTACATGGTGTTACTCGGTCTGTCCCATCTGCACGCGCACGGCATCGTGCACCGCGACATTAAAGGTGCCAACGTGCTGTTGGATGAAAGCGGGTGCGCGAAGATTGTCGACTTCGGCTGCAGCCGAGACTTGAATCAGGCCACCACCACGCTAACCGGCGGCGGGACACCGCTCTGGATGGCACCGGAGGTGTGCCGAGGCGAGCCTGCCACTGAGAAGTCGGATGTCTGGGCCTTTGGCTGTCTGTGCCTGGAGATGACGAACGACACGGGGCTGCCGTGGAGCTTTCCGGCAAACATCACACTGCAGGGCGTCGTCTACGCTCTCGCGTGCGCCAAGACCTCGCCGCCCATCCCGACCGACCTCTCCCCAGAGGCTCAAGACTTCTTGCAGAGGTGCCTGAAAATAGACGCGGACGAGCGGGCGACGGTGGCGGAGTTGCTGCAGCACCCCTTCTTCGACGTCGACTTGATGGAGGACTCGGACGAGGACGAAATGCTTTCCTCCTGCCCGCAGTCGGCGGTGAAGCGGGCGGTGCAACAGGTGCAGCGCAGCCATATTCAAGACGTCCGGGTAGCCGACAGCGACGACGGAGACGATGATGAGGTGCGTGCCGGCCCGCTCGTGCTGGGGCAGGCGTTAGGCGCACGGTCGCCTCGCACCAACCAGCCGCAGAAGAGCTCCGGCCTCAGCGGCAACGTCGGCGATTTGATCATCACCTCTCAACTCACGCATTCCAAGAGTCCCTCTGGTCCGCGCCTGGATCACTACCCGCGCAGCGTGAACGTGGGCTTCAGCTTACAAGCCGTCGACGATGAAGATGACGAGGACGCGGCGGCGGGCAGCAACACGGAGGGCAGCGGTCAGCCCCAGCTCTTCCAAAGCGCACGGGCAGAGGCAGCCGCCACTGCGCCGGAGGAGCCCTCCGCGTTTGGCCCCGACAGCGATGTCAACGAGGACGTGGATGACACGCCGCTGCTGCCATCCACGAGCGTGCCGGCGAGCCGCATGCCGATGCCCCCCAAAGGCAGCGCCGCCGGCCCCGACATAGAGAACGAGGACGAGGACGAGTACACGCAGATGATTGCGGAAATCATCACCGAGGCACGAGAGGCGTACACAGATGAGGAGCGGCGCATGACGGAGCAGCGGCGTCGTCGCAACGATCTATACCCCAGCAGCGACGATGACGATGACGGCAGCTTCAGCGACAGCAGCCTCGACACGTCCGCCGGGCGTGCGGCGGTCAGCCGCGAGCGGCACCCACGTGCTCTGTCGCCCAGCGGCGCGTCCGGCGAGATCACCAGCGGCAGCGATGCCGACGGTGACGACGATGGCAGAAGCGCGGACGGCGGAGGGCCACAGAAGCACAAACTGGGTGATACCTGGCGAGCAGCGCACACCTCCCCCAGTCCGATCGTTTCCCTACCTCAAGCTCACCCCCGCGGCGGCAGGGAAGACGCGAAAGTGGAAGGAAAACGCGGAAGTCTTCTGAGTGCACAGACACCGCCGAATATACAGACGGACCAAAATAGCATAGGACAGCCAGGGGCCACTGACAGGGGTGCCACCTCTTCGCGGTACGACACGACCCCACCGAAAACGTCGGCCGCAGACACACGGACGCCGCTGTCGTTGCTGGCTCAGACGCACGCGGACCCGCAAGGCGTCTTTCCTGTCTCTTCTTCAAACCCGCTGACGCGATCGTCGGCGGCAGGAGGGTCGCAGCCTCTCCAACAGCAGTCACTGCTATTCCCCTCCACCACCACCACCTCGTCCCTCGGCTCGCACCGCCCTTCCCCGCGTCACCCCACCCCAACATCGCTGGCGCAGCAGTCCTCGGTGTTTCGCGAGGCGGCGCCACGAGAAACGATGCGTGAGACCCACCTCTCCATGAGCGCCGTGACACCGCCAAAAGGGGTCGCCGCCACGTCCAATGGGACGCTGCAGTCGCCCCGCGAGCCGGGCGGTCCAGGGCGTTCCTCTGCCTCGGCGCAGCCTCACCACGTGCGCCTCTCCCCCAGCTTTCTGCCGCTGCCCACCGCCGCCGCTACGCTGCCACCGCCAGCCGTCAATGCGACCGCGTCGACCGACGCAGGCCGCAACTCCGGCTCCGTGGACGGTCAACGCAGCCCACGCACGTCGCAGTCGCAGTCGACGCCGGCGCTGGCGGTGGGCGGGCCAAGCCGGCCGTCTTCTCAGGGATCAACGGCGCTGGTCGCCTTCCCCCGTCACTCCCCTAACCGCGCCCCGGTGGAGTGGTACACCGGCGGAGCTGGGCGACTGGAGCGCAACGTGACGTGGCAGACCGGCGGTTCGGCAGAGCAGCCGAAGGAGCTGTCGATGGCGCAGAAAGAGATGCAGGAAATGCTGGACTGGGGCAGAGACAGCGACCACCACTCGAGCACCGTCTCCTCCTCATCCCCAGGCACCCTGAAGCACAGCTTCAAAGATTCCTCTAGCGACAACGCGGGGGGGAGCCACGACGCACAGCGCCACCGCCGCAAGCATCGCAGCGCGGAGAAGGATTCTGAGAGCCCGGCGGCAAAGGATCCGGTGAAAAGCCTGTCTTCGTCGGAGAAGGTAGACGGCAAGCGACGGCACCTCGGTCTGGGTCTCTTTCGCAGTCGCAAAAGCAAGTAAGCGAAACCGGCGATGTAAGCCGTGCCAAACCGTTGTTGAATGCAATGCGCCTGCTACGTATTGAGTGCGCTTCCTGTTCTCTGCACGCTGCCCCCACATTACCTTTTTTCCTGGGTGTGAGTGTGCGTGCTCGACGACTAGAGGAAGGGAAAACTGTCCTTCTTACTCACTGCGGTGTTACGAAAGTGCCGGCTGTCTTTTTTCTCTTCTTTTCCTTTTGCGGGTTTCGGCATGAGAGTTAGAGCCTTTCGTCTTTAGTTTTATTATTATTATTTTTGGGGTACGTTTCAGTCTGTTCTCCCTCTTATATATATCAATGAGTTTTCCAACGGCAGGCCGGCAGCGGTTCTCTTGTCCCCTTTTGTTTTTACCCCCATTTTTGTGCGCAACGTATTTGGGGTCACTTTAGGAATGTGCTGTATTTTTACGCGTTCGTTTACCGACTTTGTCTACTGTTTCTCTTTCTTCACCGTATTTCAACAAAACCGACTTTTCAAAAAGGAAAAGGAAATTGAGTTTTTTTTTTCCTAAAATGCACTCAAAGAAAAGCCGCGGTTTGATGTTCGCAGCTTATGAACGCACTGGTACAGTTTACCCGCAATGTCGTCGTAGTGCCCTCTGAGCAGATCCCCCGTCTTTTCAAGGTGTTCACAGCAGCAAAGCTGAACACGATGGAAGGGAGCATCGTTGTGTTTCTGTTGTTGGCTCCACACGAAAGATGCGTTCTTAAAATCGACTTCTTGACTGCGGTGCTTCCTTCTCGGAGGTAGAGGAGAAGATGGATACACACCGATGCAGGCGGTGCTCAGCGCGCGAACTAAAAGGCAATAAACCGCTCACACAAGCGTGTTTGGTGCGGCCTTTCTTCATTCAGCTTCTCTTTTCCTTCTCCACCTCTTCCTTTGACATTGGCGAACGGGAACATCTATCTTCCTTTGTCTTCTATTCCTTCTTTTCAAATCTTACTTTCTTTCGTAACTGCCTCCTTTACACTGCACAGTTCCTTTTGGATAACAAGAGACCGCCCATGCCGAAGTCCTCCTCCTCGTCCTCCTCGGTCTCCTCCTTCTTGGCGGCGGCACCACCGGCGGCAGCGGCGGGGGCGGCGGCGGCCTCCTCGGCAGCGCCACCAGCACCGGCCAGCGTGCCGTTGATCGCGGCCTCGCGCAGTTCCTTGCCGTTGTGCTCCTCGAACTCGTACGAGGTCGCCACGGAGATCGCCAGCAGGTTCTTGAAGGCGTCCACAACCATGTGGCCGATCGTCGCCGGCGTCGGGATGCCAGCGCCGAGCGACATCGCGGAGACGTTGCTCAGACCCTCAATCAGCATCTGCTCGATCGAGTCTTCCGTGATCTTCAGGTCATCGCGAGTGAACAGCACGCCGCGGTCGAAGACGGTCAGCACCTCCACTTGGTAGTAGAACGGGCTGATGTTAAGCTTCTGCAGCAGCGTCGCAGTCGAGTTGTCGACCTTGTCGCCAGTGCTCAGCACCTTCTTCTCCGTCACGATCTCCACCATACCCTTGGCGATCTTCGTCGCGATGTTCAGGGCCTGGAAGAAGGACGTCTGCGTGGGCTCCATACCGGTGTTGCCGGCGGGCACCACCACGTCGCACGGGGCGATGGCGCCGACACGGGCGGGGGCCTTCACACGGTGCGCATCCAGCACGGCGGTGATCTCCTGCACGTCGTTGTTCGTGAAGACCAAGCCGGTGTTGCCGCTCAGCAGGTCGTGCTGCTCGCACAGCTCGGCGAAGTGCTTCGCCTCGGGGCTGGCGTGCTTGCCGTGCGCGCGCTTGTGCACGATCTTCGCCTGCAGCGTCTTCTTGCCCATCACGAACTCGGCCTTGCCGCGCAGCGCACGGCGCACCTCGTGCACCTGCTGCGAGCGGACGTTGTCCATGCCAACGAACAGCACGTGGCTGTACTTGGTCAGGCACTCGATGAGGTGCTCCTCATACGCGTGCTTCGCGGGGGTGATAGACGGCATCTTTGGAAAAAGACACAATAGCCTCAGCTATCTTTCAAGCGCAGATTTAGTAAAGGATGACAGCAGATTATTATTTTAAAACAGGGATTAAATACCAACAGAATACCAAGGAGAAGGCGAAGGAGAGATGAGAAGGAGAGATGACGTTGAGAAGAACGATATTAAACACGGTGAGAGGTCGGGAGCACAACACGCCAACACCTCTGTTGGCATTCGATCCGCTAGCACATCACCTATGCGCGCGATCTTCACCCTTTCGCACTACCGCGCATTACTGGAGCACCAAAAATAGACATAACAAATCACATTGAACCGTCTGCTCCTCCTTTGCAGCGATGCTGAAACAATGCCCCCACCACAGTTAAGGGACACAGGCGAAAGAGGAACTCTAGCCACGATATGCTGCGGGGGGCTGCCGAGTCGCAGAAGGCCCTCGTCAACGGCAAAACGTAGAAGCGTTGCTGTTGGGACAACCAAACAGCCTTCCCACGATGCGATCTCTTCACCTTCCGCGAAAGTGACCGCATCGTTGGAGACAATACGTAGCTCCTAGAAACTTGGGGTTTCCTTTTTTTTTAAACAGAAATGATGAGCGAATCGAAAACGAAAGTGGGGGAAAAAGAACTCAGTTCACCTTTTGGACGAGAAAACAAACGCAGTTCGGCAAGCACGCATTACAATACCACCGCAGCGAAAAGGCGGTGCCTCTTGAGTGCGAGGTATGTACCTGAGTGCGGTTTCGCGGGCTGTGCGTCGGCCTGCTGTGGAAGTGACCAGAAGTACGGCAAGCGTTGAGGCGCCTAGAAGAGACCGCCCATGCCGAAGTCCTCCTCCTCGTCCTCCTCGGTCTCCTCCTTCTTGGCGGCGGCACCACCGGCGGCAGCGGCGGGGGCGGCGGCGGCCTCCTCGGCAGCGCCACCAGCACCGGCCAGCGTGCCGTTGATCGCGGCCTCGCGCAGTTCCTTGCCGTTGTGCTCCTCGAACTCGTACGAGGTCGCCACGGAGATCGCCAGCAGGTTCTTGAAGGCGTCCACAACCATGTGGCCGATCGTCGCCGGCGTCGGGATGCCAGCGCCGAGCGACATCGCGGAGACGTTGCTCAGACCCTCAATCAGCATCTGCTCGATCGAGTCTTCCGTGATCTTCAGGTCATCGCGAGTGAACAGCACGCCGCGGTCGAAGACGGTCAGCACCTCCACTTGGTAGTAGAACGGGCTGATGTTAAGCTTCTGCAGCAGCGTCGCAGTCGAGTTGTCGACCTTGTCGCCAGTGCTCAGCACCTTCTTCTCCGTCACGATCTCCACCATACCCTTGGCGATCTTCGTCGCGATGTTCAGGGCCTGGAAGAAGGACGTCTGCGTGGGCTCCATACCGGTGTTGCCGGCGGGCACCACCACGTCGCACGGGGCGATGGCGCCGACACGGGCGGGGGCCTTCACACGGTGCGCATCCAGCACGGCGGTGATCTCCTGCACGTCGTTGTTCGTGAAGACCAAGCCGGTGTTGCCGCTCAGCAGGTCGTGCTGCTCGCACAGCTCGGCGAAGTGCTTCGCCTCGGGGCTGGCGTGCTTGCCGTGCGCGCGCTTGTGCACGATCTTCGCCTGCAGCGTCTTCTTGCCCATCACGAACTCGGCCTTGCCGCGCAGCGCACGGCGCACCTCGTGCACCTGCTGCGAGCGGACGTTGTCCATGCCAACGAACAGCACGTGGCTGTACTTGGTCAGGCACTCGATGAGGTGCTCCTCATACGCGTGCTTCGCGGGGGTGATAGACGGCATCCTAGGCGCCTCGACGGTTGCCGTACTCACCGACACGTGTTTCCACGGTATGACCTGTGGTCGCCACGTCTCTTTAGCTTATCATGGCTGTTTCTTTTTTTGTTTTGTACTCACACGAGTGTTTCATTTCAACCCTAAAACATATATATTTGTGTCGAAACAGAAAGCCTTCGCCGCTGCGCAAAGGAAAGCCGAGGAAAAGTGCTTCTGGTGAGAAGTGGCCTCTGGCGTGGAAAGGAGAGGGAGGCACCATTTCCTGAACGGCCGCTCAACTTCCTCTGGTAAGTGATGTGCCTTGGGAGGCAGTGATGGCGTCTTCCTTTCTGGGCTTCTGAAGCCGAAGAAGGTGCTGCGCGTTTTGCGATGTTAGCAGTGTCACTCGAAGGTTCAATGCTGGACACCGCTGATCAAGGCTATTGTAAGGCACTTGAGTTTGCTGGCATGAAGATTTAACTGCGTTGTAATGCCCACTCTACCAACGCGTCCCTCTCCCTTTCCCTTGGCTTCTCGTGTTCTCTTACAAATATAATCCTTTTTTATCGCGCTTTGTTCCATTCTCAGGGTCCCTTCATCAGTGAAGTCAAGAAATACCCCCCCCCCCCATTACTCTGCTTTCACCTTGTGCATATCGTCGTGAGGAGCGGCTGCATTCTGTTTGCCTCCTTTCGTTGCTGTTCTGCCCACACGAGATACGTATTGCTAGATTGTTCCGCCTTCCTTCCCTAGAGATCAGGCGTAGCTATTCTTTTTTCTTTCTTCTGCGTCTGCTTCAGTCTCACGCTATCAACTGCTAGGAAGAAAGCTAGACAGCCTAGAAATACACGCTAGAAGAACAAAGCAATGTCGCGTGTTCTGACGGTGCTGCTGACCTACGACGACCCGGAATGCGGAGGAGCGGCGGACGCTCTGGTCGAGCACCTGGAGCGCGATGCGGCCGCGGTGGAGGGCCAGTGTCAGCTCTCGGTGAAGCCTATTCAAGTGGTCCAAAACGGCTCCCACCGCGACGCCCTCTACGGCTCGTTGCAGGACTTATTTCAGATCAAGCCCCAAGATATTTTTGTCATCACGTTTTTGAAGGGCAATCAACCGGAGGAGTATCGCAAGGTGAATGAGTTATGCAGCGGCGTGCGACCGAACGCGGTGCAGTGTCAGGTGCTCACGCATCTGGCGAACTACAACGACGTCGGCCTCATCATTCGGAATCTAGTGCGTCTCGTGTTGGATGCAATGACGCGAGAGGACGCGAGCCGTAGCAACGCGGAGCCCGCCCAGTAGATCTGTTGTTATTTTTGCTGTTGGCGACGGATACCTGCCGCGGCGTGTGTCTAGCGGCTCTGGGGAACAAAGAATAGATATATAGGGAAAGGCGATGACTATTCGCGGTCAATTCAACGTGAGTTCGACGGTATCCCAATTCGATTCTCGCATGTGTTGACGGGCCAGTATCGAGTAAGTTTCTCTTTTCAATGGTCTTCAGTTCGATTGTACATTCTAAAACGGCCGATTTCCAACGCTTTGGAATCGGCTGCAACTCGATAAAAAAATGTATATACGCGATCTGGATCTCTGTTTTCTCTTCGTCGTGACCGCCTTCTGTGATGCTGTTCGCCATTTCAGCATTTCAACGTCGGCGCTGCGCTCGCGAACGGCCTTGGCGACGGGGTTCGTGCGGCTGGTTTCCGCGTGTGCCTTGGCGAGGAGCGTGGCTGCACAGGACATAACGTCAGAGTTGGTATGTTGGCACATCTCGGTGACGGTGGTCGCGTCCGTCATCGTGGGTGAACACACTGCTACAACCTCCTAACGCCACACCCACCTCTCTCGTGTTCTGCAAGACCCTCATCTTCACACTTCTATCGTTAACGCAATCGTGGAATGTACTTTTCTTCTTTGTCTTCTTGACGTTGGAGGTGTGTGCAGGACCTCTGCAAAGCGGTAGGCGACGTGCGCGTCTCCGGCATCTCTGAGCTTAGTACTTTTAAAACACATAGAGGCTGAGACAGCGTGAAGTGCAAAGCCCGCATGGAAGCGTGGCTGAAGTCGGCGCTGGAAAGCGGCTACATCGTCAAGGTGGACAGCACTGAGGTGCAGCACGGTGTGTACTGCGAGGCCTCGCCCTCTCCGTGGTATGACGACGGTGTGGTCTTTGACTGGGCCACACTGCACCAACGCCTCGTGCAATCAGCTTCCACTCAGCCCTACGTGGAAACGTATGTGAGCGCTCTGGCGCAGTTTGGCGCCGGTGCGGCCGCAGACGCTGCCCGATCCGGCAAGGAGTGCTACGCCACAGTGGTGGAGCTGAAGGCGCCGTGGTCGCTGCAGCCCCTCTCCGAGCAGGCGCAGAACCTCAGTGTCTTCGACGTTCCTGCAGCGAAAGCTGCGGCGTCTACTGGCACGGATGGGAGCAATTCTGGCACTGCTGCCGCCGCTGCAGGGCCGTTGGCATCCTCGCCACTGTCGGGTCACTCCCGTGACTTCTACAAGTTTATCCGCGGCCCTCCTGGTCAGCGTGCGGTGCGGGATGACATGACCCGCGTCCTTCGCAGCGTCCAGGAGCAGCTGCGCCAGAACAAAATCCAGGTGTTCTGCTTTTTGAGCTCCTTTGTGATTGTCTGCGAGGACTTTACGGAGCTGTTGCACCGCACCGCCGCCGTCTTCCAAGCCCTGACAGATGGCGGCTTCACCGTTGACGGACACGGATCCGCACTCGGCCCGCGCGTTGTTCAGCGGCTGCGAGTGGGTGGCGGGGACTGGTGGACGACGCTGCAGCTGCACAAGATCACCGCGGAGGCGGACGTGGTGTCACTTCTGGTGGCTCTCTTTTTCCAGTGGTTGCTGGACGCCTACGTGTGGAGCTGTGTGTCTCCACTTCGCCTGTTCCCCGACGCAAGGGAGAAGGGAGCAGAGGAACAGGCAAAAGGGGTGCGCCTGTTTGAGAAGTTTGTGCGTGGCCTCGTGCTGCCGAGCATCCACGCGATTGGGCTGGCTGCGCTAACAGCTACCTTGCCGGAGGAGGGAGGCAACTTGCTGGAGCTGGCGGCTGTGAAGCTCGAAAGGAAGCTGCCGCCGGTGGGCCCGCAGCGGTGGAGCGTGCTAGAGTTGCGGCTCGTGTTGTGCCAAATCAACGCGTATCATCACCTGCCCTCCGAGTACTTGGGACGGGTAGAGACGGCAACGGCAACGCTTTCTGCTGCAACGCAAACGAAAAAATGAATAGAGTGAAAGAAAACTACAAAGGGTGGTCTTCTGAAATGCCTAGAAGCTGCTAGCTTTCTTTGAATCCCCACCTTTAATGCGCACACCAACACTCCAAAGTTTCTTACAAATAAGAAAACGAGAGACTGCAATACAGCTTCGTGAACCTCAAGCCCGTTTTACCTCCGTATCATCTTCAGACTACTTTTTTTTGTTAAAGGTCTCTCCATAATCTTCACCTATTCAAGCGTACAGTGAGCTCTTATAGCAAATGAAATGGAACTTAATGGGCTCTTGGCATTCAAGGCGATGAATTCCTTGCCGCTGTTTCGAAGACGCCTCTTCCACGCTCGCAACGTCTCTCGCGCCTTTCGTCACTTCCTTCGCACCTTTCTCCTCATTGCGGCCATACACGCAGGATCACGTGTGCAGGCACCGCTTTTGCATGGCAACTGCTGTGCTGTGATGTAGTTACGATTCATTCATACCCGCAAAGAACGGTTCCTCAAGAGAGAGAGAGCTTGGTTCTTCTTTTCTTCCTCTTTTTGTTTTACCACAATGCTGTTTGTACGAGCCCGTCCGCTCCATCAACAACAACAAGAAAAGAAAAGGTGTGTGCTGGAGCAGTCACGTGAAATAGATTTTTTTTCAGAATTAATTGCACAACGGTAAGGGGTGCGGCGCGCAAATGGTGGATCGAGTGGGTGAATGGTACGCCTTCTCCCGCACCGACTTTTGCCGCCGTCTCACGCTCTACGAACACTTGCAGTGGAGAAGCCCGCTCGCGTTGGACCCTGCGGAGGCGGCGGGCCGTGCGGAGGCAGAGTTGCCGCCTTCCTTTTCTCTTGCCACCGCGGAGCTGGTCGCAGTGGCCCCTTTCGGCGGCCCCATCGCTGTGCTCATCCATGCCGCGGACTTCACGGCGTCGTCGCCTTCTGTCACGGTGGGCAGCTCCTCCCTGCCGCTGTCGTTTTCTTCAGATGCGCCCACCCGGCCGTACTTCAACTTGTCCGCCCACTCCGCCGCCACGGCTGCGTCTCGTGCCATTCACGTCTTCACCAACGCGGGCGAGTTGCTCGCGAGCTTTCCGCTGACGCCGCAGGACGTGGGCCACGACGCGATCAAGACGCTGGGGTGGACGCCGGAGGGGGAGCTTTTCTGCTTGCTGGAGCCTTCTCTTGTTGTCCTGTTCGTTGACATGCGCGATGTTGCGGTGGAGTCTTCAGCAGCGTCGTCCACCATAATCTCAAGACGCGTGTCCTTGCGACATCAGACGGAGGTTGCAGCTCCACCAACGCTGCCGTCAGCTTCGTCCGCCGCCCCCATCGAAGCGTTGTGCGTCTCAGCGGAGGGCCTCCTCTGCGTTGACGGCGACGGCTCCGGGCAGCTGCACGGCCTGCTGCATGAGGAGAAGTTTCGCTCCACCCGTGTGCCGCCCGTGCGACTGCCGCTGCACACGCCTTCATTGCGGACAGCGGGTGAGGCAGGCGGACTGGGGCAAGCAGCATCCGAGGCGGTGTCGAGACCGCGTGTGACCGCCGTGGAGATGGTGCCGCCTGCTTGGAACGACTCGGGCGATTTTGTTGTTTTGTGGGCCCAACACGACGATATGTTTCCAGAAAAGAAGGTGCATGAAGGAGGCAAAGCGAAGGTGAAGGCAGAGGAAGGGGAGGTGGAAGTGATGAGCACGCTGTGCGCGATGGTGCTGCCGGACGGTGACGTGCTTGACTACTACGCTAGTGGGATGGTGGCAGCAACTGCTCCCACTCCCGCCCCCTCACTTGCTTCCACCTGGCCGGCAGCTCGCATTGCGTGTCCCGGGCGTGTTTTGAACCTGAGTGTGTGCTTGAATGACCCGACGCGCGTCGCCGCCTTCACCTCCCTCGGTGTCCTGCACGTATTGCGCAGTAACTTGTCGTGCGTGCTGTACTCCCTCGATGTGGGGCTGTGCCGAGTGTTGCGTGACAGGGCGGTGACGGCGGCCCACACGTCGGGTGGTGGCGGCGACGGCGGCGGCGCGTTGTCGTCGAACTCGTTCGCTTTTGGTGATGCTCCCTGGCGCCAGAGTGACATCGACGGCCCGAGTAACGCAAGCGTCGCAGGCGGGAATACAGGTACATCATTCAGCAGCTCCTTTTCTTCGATGGTTGGTGCGCACGGCGGAGGCGTGGGCTACCGAGGCAGTGCGGTCGAGTCCGCCGTCGCGTGCCTCGCGTCGTATAAACTGGAGTGGTGTGGAGCCAATTTTGTGTTGTTGCACGGCTACCAGTCCGACTTCCAGCAGCCCTACAGCGGCGGCACGACTTCTGGTCCTTCCGTTGCGCGTCAGGAGGCACCAATGTTTTCACTGCTCGTGTGCGCGCAGAAGGACTGCAGCGTGCGGTGCGAACGCTTAGACTGGTCCTTAGACGGCAGCGGCCACATCGTCACGGTCGCCGAGGTTGACGGGGTACGTGTGGTGTCGGATACAGCGTGTTACATTCTACAGGAAGTTCCGTCCTGTCTGGCGAAGCTGTGCCGCGTGCAGCCGCCATTTTCCGCCGCGGCGCAGGTTGTGTTGGCGTACGAAGCGTACATGAACGGAGATCGCCACGGCATTGCCCAGGTGCGGGTGGCGCTCTCGTTTTCGGCCTCTACAAACGCCTCCGTGACAGACACCACGGCTGCGGTGGCGCAGGCCAGCGAGGTTGATAACGAGGAGGACGATCTCGCGGACGACGAAGGGGAGATGTCGTATGCGGAAGGCATCGTGTACGAGCTGCTCGACGCCGCCTCGTGCGAGCTGGACGTGCAGCAGCAGTATCTGCTGGTGGCGGCCGCCTCCTTCGCAGGGGAGACAATTCGCCTGCGTAGCGGCGTGCCGGACGTGATTGTGGACGTGGTGCGCCGCCTACGTGTGCTGCGCGCCGTGCGAGAAGAGGCGCGTTGCCACACCCCCCTCACCATGGGTCAGTATCAGGCCTTGAACGGCAGCGAGGAGCGCCCGGCGCGGCTGCTGAGCAGCTCGGAGGGGTCGGTGCTCGTGGATCGGCTCGCGTACCTCGGCTACTACCAACTCGCACTGGATGTGGTGCGGGCACTGCACATGAAGCTGAATCGGGTGCTGTCACGCTGGGCCTCGAGCTTTGTGCGACGACACGCGGCACTTCTGTCGGACACGGCGCTGCATCACGAGGTGGCTCAGGTGCTGAGGCAGTACCCAAGCGCGAGCTACGTGGGGCCCGCGACGACGGCCTTTCATCTTGGCCGCCGAGATGTCGCGCTTCGGCTGCTGCGCGACGAGCCGCAGCAACAGCGGCAGCGCGTGCTGCTGCTCGCGAAGATGGGGGAGCTGACGATGGCCGGTCGAGCCGCGGCGTCGAGTGGGAGTGCGGAGCTGATACACCTGGTGGTGAGCGCCTTGGTAGCACGGGAAGCACAGACGCAGCGAGGGCATGCCTCGAGCAGCGGCGGCGGGGAAGGCGGCGGTGGTGATCAAGGGCCGCAGGGCGAAGGAGACGGTGCGGCAAATGTGGCCGCTGAGGGGGTCACGGCTGGCGACGTCTACCACTGCCTCATCGCGTCGCCGGAGCTGCTGTGCTGGCTGCTCGTGGGGGCGCAGTGTCTCGTGTCGTGGCAGTCGATGGCGCAGCGCCTCCTCTTTTCCCATCACTGGTCGCTCGCCTCGCTCGAGTGCCAGCACCTGCTCGTGCAGTGCCTTCGCCGGACCTCGGTGATGCACCGCAGGCAGCTGCAGCGGCTCATGGAAGATACGGCGGCAGGCGGTAGTCCACGGCGCACGCCTCGCACCGCCGAACTGGGAACGCAAAAGGAGAGGGATGAAGGCAGCGACGCGCAGCGGAAGTCGAAGAAAGAGAAGAAAAGGGAAAAGAAAAAGAAGACGCAACCGCACCACAAGAAAGACGGCAGCGGAGGCGACAGCGGGGAATCGGGGAATGAGGAGGACTCAGTCAACGGCGACGAAGACCAAGGTGCAGCTACAGGACCTACTGCTGCCGTCGCTCTTCCACCACCGCTGGGCATCCCTGTTGCTACCGCCGTTGACGTCGCCGCGGCGCTGACAGAATGGACGAAAAAGACAAGCGGAATGCTCTTCAGCGGTCTTGAGCACGCAGAGGAGCTGCGCCGCGAGAAGTCGACTGCCCGCTACCCCTTCTCAGTGATCCTGGATAGCGGTGCGCAGCTGCGTGCGGACATGCGGAAGGCCGCCACGCAAGGCAGTGACGACAGGGACCAAAGTGCAAGCAGGAGGAAGCGCAGTCCTGCAGCGCACCTGGCAGGCGAGGAAGAGGGCAGCCGCGACGTGGACGCCGCTTCCTCTTCTTCCGTGCTGGCCCACGAACAGATGGTGCGCACGAACCTTTCCATACCCTCCACCATGCCACACCACGCCATCGCGGCACTCAAGCAGGAGCAGGCGCTGTGCCAGCTGAAGGTGCGCCTTGCGGTGAAGTACAACACACCGCGACTGTCCTATGCGGTGAGTGTGCGGGACTTGATTTACGAGCTGTGCGGCGTCGAGGACAGCGAGGCGGACGCGGCGGAAGTGCAGCGCGCCTTCAAGGTCCACGACAAGATCTACTTCTACGCGAAGCTGCGTGGCCTGTGCGCGGCACAACGCTGGGACGCGGTGGATCGCTTCCTCGGTCCCGCCCCTCCACTGCGGAAGCGGTCGTTCTTCTCCGTCGCCGAGGGTGGCTCGGCGAGAACGCCGTGTGTTGGTTACCTGGCCGTGGTGCAGCTACTCATGGAGTACGGGCAGGAGGAGCGCGCCGCGCGTTACGTGGCTGGTGCCTGCAGCGAGGCGGTCGATCGGGTGGTGCTGTACATGTCGTTGGGCGCCCCGGTGATGGCGCTGGAGGCGGCGATGGTGGACAAGGACGCGGGTCTCATTCAGCAGATTATGCAACGCGTCCCTGCCAGCGCGAAGGTGCAGTCAGTCGGGACGCAAATGCTCAACGACCTTCGCGAAGATTGAGCTTGATGTTCCGTCGCGGTGTCGTAGCGAGGGCCTTTCTTTTTCCTTTCTATTGTTTTCGGCGAGCACCCACGGACGGCGCTGGGATACGTTCCTTGTATTTTTGTCTTCTACGCTTTCTGCATCGTTTAGTGTCTCTCTTTCGCTCTCTGTACGCCACGGACCCGCTGGGGAAAACAAGAGGGGAAACAAAAGCGAATATCCAATATAAAGGAGCAATCGAAACGCACTCGTGTGGGACAGCCGGTGACGTGCGCAAACCAGCGGGTAGTAATGTGCGCCAACGCCATCGTTGCTTGTGCGTTGAGGAGCTCGGTTCTCCCTCTCCGCCTTTCTGCGAAAGCCACCGAAGCAAGTTTTGCTTGCGAAGCAGTCTGAGTTCTCGACTATGATGCATCATGAGGGAGCGGTCATTCTGGCTTGTCTTTTTCACTCTCTCACCCCTTCCCCGCCTTGTGTTTTAAATCCCCCCCCCCCCTAAAAAAAAAAAATGACGTGAATTGCGGTGCAACTTTAGTGGAGTCACGTGTTGCTTCTACTACTCTTACCTCCTTACATATTCTCATATTATAATTTAATCCGTCTGGCCTCTTCTCGCGGGTGGAGCGTGTCTTGTCACGGCTTAGTTTTTTCTCCCATCTAGCAACCGAAACAGGGGGAGGAGGAGGCCGCAAAGGACCGTCCCAGTGGCCGATCAAAGAAGGTCAGATACGAGAGAAAAAGTATTAAAAAAGAGAAGCCACGCGTCTAAAGAGCTCTGGTCTATGGCGCACATCATCGATGCGTGGATCACGGATGATCCGCTGGTGCGACGCGTGCAGATTGTAGAGCTGGTGCTGGCCCACTGCTCCGCGGTGCTGTGGCCGAACAACGCAGAGAAGGTGAAGCGGGTACCGGGCTGGATTGCAAAGCTGCGTGCGTCGCTGAAGAGCAAAACGAAGCTTCTCCTCGATGGCAGCGGCAGCGCGCAGGGGTCCGAGGACTCGTCCGCCACGCGGTCCCTCTCGGCCGTTCCGCAAAAGAAAGGCCTGAATGGGCTCGCCGTCGCCTCGGCAGACGTCCTTGTCGTGCAAGAACACTCCAAGGCAAACCAATTCCTTCAAGATCGTCCGCCACCGCCGCGTGTCCCTCCTCCGCCGGCGCCGCCCGCACCGCACGGCATCAGAAGTCTTTCTCCCGTCGTGCTGCAGGACTCCGACCAGCTCATCAGCTCCTCCTTGGACGTGCCACAGACCTCGCCGCACGTCCGCAGCGGCAGTAGGACACCCAGCAGTAGCAGCAGCCGCCGGCACTATCCCGAGGTCGGCGCCGACAACAACCGCACGAGTGGTGTTCGGCCCGGACCCTCGTTTGCCGGCACCCCCGGTGCCTCGGTGACCTCGCGGCGCAGCACGGAGGACTACTACGACGAACACGGCATCCCCCCGACCGCCGCGACGACGCTGCAAGGAGAGGTGGTGGTGGTGACCGAAAACGGCTCGCCGCTGCTGGAGTCGAGCACGCTGGTGGACTACCCCATGGCGCCGCTGCAGGTGCGGCGTTTGTCAGGAGGCATTACGAATGAGCTCTTCCACGTGTACGATGAGGACGACGAATCGGCCTCGGTGGTCGTGCGTGTCTTTGGCAAGGAAACCGACCGCGTCATCTCGCGTGAGAGCGAGCTTTTCTATCAGTCGCTCTTCATCCCCACCTACGTGCACGGCAACAATTTTTTGATCTACGACTTCCTCAACGGCTTCTACACGCTTCCATACACACAGATGGCTTCCGAGGCCACGCCGATCGCCCACGCCATGGCGGAGTTTCAGGTCCGTGCGACCCGCGCCGCGCTGCGCGACCACGCCCGTCCACTGCTGCGCGACGCGCAGAACAAGGAGTATTGGGAGAGCTTTGACGAGGAGTTTGTGACCTCCACAACGAACGGCAGCTACGGCGGCGTGCGTGCACCGAAGGAGAAGTCCCGCTTCCACCACGAGTCGAACTACCTGGTGGACTCGCTGACCAAGTGGGTGGAACTGGTACTCTCGAAGGAAATTCAGCAGAAGGTGCTGGCGGAAAAGCAGGAGAGCTTTCTCGAGACGGCGCATAACCTCCAACGGGAGTGCGCGTGGATGCTGCCGGTGCTAGAGAAAGAACGCGGCTCCCTGCCTGAGGGCGTGTGCCACAACGACCTGCTCAGCGCTAATGTGATGATTCACAGCACCCGCAAGGAGGTGCGCATCATCGATTTTGACTATACGAAGCGCAGCTTTCTCCTCTACGACGCGGCAAACCACTTCAACGAGTACCCTGGTCTGGAGTGCGACTACGCCACGTACTTTCCATCCGACACACACATTTCGAAGTTCATTGCGGAGTATCGTAGCGGGATGCGTGTGGCGCTGGAGAAGGCGTGGACGGAGGACGCCATCGAGCGTCCCGATCTCAGTGCTGCGGAGCGAGAGATATTCCCCAGTGCGAGGACGTTGTTTTGGACGGAATCGAACGAGGCGGAGGCAGCGGCGGTGGCGCAGTGGACACGCCTTGTGAAGCTGCTCACTCTCGCGTCGCACCTCTCGTGGGGTGTGTGGGCGCTGCTGCAGGAGGCGGTGTCGACGCTGGACGTGGACTTTCTCGACTACGCGAAGCTTCGCTACGCGCGCTACATTGACGTGCGGAAGGAGTGCTCTCGCGACTTTTAGGGCCCATCGAATCACATTTTTGTTCTCTTTTGCTACCAGGTAAAACTAATTATCTGACATCAGATATTCTTTTTAAAGGGCTTTGCCGTTGCTTTCTTCTTTGCGTGTCGCTTCCTCAAAGAAGTAAAAAAAGAAAAGAAAACTTGCGGGTTTTTTTTGGTTGATGTTGGCGTCGCGCTCTACATTTCAGCTCTCGCCGTGGCGACCGAAGTGCAGTCAACGCATTTTGCTGTATAACTACTCCATGCTAAATTGTACCATCTCACGGGTGTTTGATCGCTTTGGTTTAAAAAAAAAATTTGTGGTGAAGTCTTTCTGGGGACATGAAGCATTCTGCTTCTTCTGGCGGGTGCGCATACGTGGCAGATTCGAAGTGAAAGGAAATGTTTAGAACGAAGAAAGATTATTCGCCTGGAAGAATATTTTATCGGTCTGTCCATCGGGCACCACACCTCCTCTCCACTTTTGACGAAGATGTGATATCCTGGTCAATTCAACGGAGCTGCGCGATTGCCTGTTTCTGTGCACCAACAGAAATGTGATGGTTTCCTTGGTGGTTTACGCAGATGCGTTTATGGTGCGTCTCGGTGCGTTTCTCTCCGTGGCTTCCCCAAGTGGCGCGTGAAACCGTGGTGCTCAGCTGTTTGTTTGCATTTTCTGCTACCTCACTTCTCTGGCGCCACCAATCTGAATTCTTTTTCGCTTTTCTTCAAAACACTTTATTTTTAATCGCGTGTGATTTGAATGCAGAAAGCGACGCGCTGCGTGTTCCCGTAGGCGTGTGATCTTGCCCACTAAGGAACAAGGCGGAACGTTTGCTACTGTGGTGGTGGTTCTCTTGGACGTGCACAGGGATTTTATGAAACAGGTAGTTCACTGATTGCCTCCTTGTTCATCGACCTTGTTTGTCCCATCTCTGAATTCTCGATTCATTCTATCAGTAGGCAGATCGAAATGCAAGTCGATCTCTCCGCGTTCTTTAGTGCTCACGAGGTGCTCGTGGATTCCAATGGCGCCGAGGTCGCAGTGGCACGGGCGTTCGCCGCGGCGGCCAACACAACACACAGGGCACACCGACACGCTACCGCACCCGAGTACGTGGCGGTGGCGCTGACAGTGCACTCCAAAGAAGCGTGCTGGAGCCGGCGACTGAAGGACGTTGTGCTGCGCTGCGTGGACCGCGCGACGGGGCGCGTGTACCCGCCGCTGGATGTCTTGCAGTACATCAGCAACGATTCCCCTGCGTTTGTATCGGGTGACGAGGGGACCGCAGAAGGAGCTGTTCGCGTAGTTTTCAGCGTACGCCCCTCCGCCGCCTTCGTGTCCTCTCCTCAGCGAAAACAACATGCGGTGGAAGGTGAAGTCATGCAGGGCGTGGAGCTGCCAGAGCTGGAGGACGCGGCCGCCGTTACGGCTGCCGCCTCTGAGGTCATACAGAACACGATATCGGACATGGACTTGTGGTACCGTGCGCGTGCGGCGCATCAACAGTACGACTCTAGCATTCCCCTCGAGAGCATCCATCAACTGGCCGGCTCGCTGCTCGACGTGGACGGAGGTGGAGAGGAGGGCAGCGGCGGCGGTACGCAAGATGCTGCGCTTCTGCAGGCCCGACAAAAGCAGCAAGAAGAGAAGCTGGAGCAGCTGCAGTGGCAGCTGGCGCGGTGGCTAACGGAGCTGTTCCTAAACGAAGGCGGCTGGGCACGTGCGCAAGGACCCTCAGCATCGGTAACGACGTCGTTGACGAAACAGAAGAACAGCGATGCCGCTGCACGACGCCTCTTTCACGGTCCGCTGCGTCTCGCTTTCCCTCACGTGGTGGACGCGGCACTCTTTTCTGGCCCGATAGCGCGTCAGCAATCCTCTCTCACGGCGGAGCTGCCAGCGGGAGCGGAGACCGTCCCACGACGCCAGCTGCACACGGATGTGCGCGGCATGGAGTGGGACGGCCTGCTGATTGGCTACACGACGCGCTACGCGTACATCGCCGTGCCGTACTTTGTGTCGGCTGCAGAGACGACGGTGAAGGCGACGGCGTCAGTGTCCTGCGCGACGGAGCCGGCCTGTGTGTGGAGTATTGTGAGCCGCCTGCCCATTCCAGCGTTTGCGCGTCGAGAAGCTTCCCGGCGAATGTCTGAAGATGGGGCAGAGGAAGCAAACGGCGTGCCACGCACTAAGAAACAGTACGGGGCCCAAAGGCCGAGTAAAGAAACGCGCAAACGCACGCATACGGATGCAGACGCGGAAGCGAGCACTGCCGCATCGTTTCCTGATCGCGCCAGCAGTCGCCGCAGCGATGCCACCGTTGCCCAGACGGTGCTGTCGCGCTGCTTCAACGTTGAGGAGGCCATGCGACACGACACGAACGCCGCGGCGGCATTCCGCCTGACCGATGTGCCGTACATCGTGACGGTGCGCGCCCATCGAGTGTACTGCGCGCGGGCTGACGTGACGAAGCAGCTGCCGTTGCCGCCGTCCAACGCGCAGACGACTTCCCTGTGCACAAAGAAGCCGCATCCCGCTGCTTCACCGTATAGGCTGTCAATGATATTAGAAGACGCCTACGTGGTAGCGCATCGACCCGCAGGCAACAGCGCCGACACGTCGGTGTCTGGTGCGGATGGCTCGTTGCCACCGCCATCGGCGACGCACTGGGCGGCCGCTCTCTTCGGTGTAGGGGCTGGAAGAGAGTCCTGTGCCGCGACGGCGTCATCCCTTGCGCGTTCGTTGCACACCTTTCCGGATGTGGTGAGTGTGGTGCGGGAGAGCTGTCACCGCTTTGTCCGCTCGCACGAGCGCTTCTGCGCCACGTACACGCGCTGCCTCGAAGTAAAAAGACTGCAGGTAGCTCAGCAGTCGCCCACCCCCCAGCAGCCGCCTTCGGCGACAACACATGGGGGTAGCAAGGACAAGGCGCCATCACCTCAAGAGAGCGCCGACGAAGCGGCGAGGGGGTTGGAGCAGACTGAGCAGAGCGAGCTGCCGTCGCCGGCGGTGGCTGCTCAGCAGCTGCGTCTCCTACGCCGTGCCGAAGACGTCTACGCCTCCATCGCCGACTCGATGTCTGTCCACTACAAGAAGCTTCGCGGCGCGTCACGGGTGGCAATCCCCAGCGTGCACACCAGCGCCGATGTCCCTGCGTTGGAGGAGAGCAACAACGTCGAGTTCAAGGCGAAAGTTGGTCTTACCCAGTCGAGCGCCGAAGCGTTTTCCTCGTCTTCTTTCTATCCTTGTGTCGGAGGGGGACGTGGACGCGGTCGACAGGCCAGCACGATGGACACGGAGCGCCTGCGCAACACCATCGCTGCCATGGCGGCGTGCCGCGGCGGCCTCATTTTGATTGGCGTCGCGGACGACGGCCACATTGTTGGCCACGCGAAGCAGCTGGAGGTGGGCAAGCACCTGCGCACCTCGGGCTTCTGTCCGGCTATGGTGAAGGATGCCGTGCAGGTGAAGGAGCTGCGGTGGCTGGAGAAGGCGAGGGAAGATGCCACCGCCGTGTTGGATGCTCCAGCGAAGCGCGCCATGCCGGAGAACTGGTGGAAAACGCACGGCGCCAACTCCACCGCCGGATCGGATGCATCTTCCTCGCTGAACAAGGCGGAGAGAGCTGCCGCGGACCGGGTCATCACCGTGATCAGCGTGGAAAAGGGGCAGGCGCCGTTTTACGCGACTTCGAAAAACACACCGCCGTACCAGCGCGGGTGTGCGAGTACGGTGGTGATGCCGACCGTGGTGCTGGCGAGGCGGCTCATGAAGGAGCTCGCTTGAGTTTTTTTTTTACATCTCAGCAGGTAAACAGGTAGGCGACGCTTGAGGCGCTCTCCACCTGCTTTTTTCAGTGTAAGGTAATTTTCGATTAAGCCTCACCCCATTTAAAGTGCTTCGCGGCGATTGTGAAGCCTACGCGGATAACATGAGTGCGTACGTAAGAGCAACCATAAAGAGAGTCCGAGTAGCACCGACTCGGCCTGCACCTTTGCAGAAACCCTTTCTGATTTTGAGGGGGCAGTCGTGAGCTCAATGGCGACGGTGATGCTCGGGTGTGCTGCTTTCATCATAACAGCACCAGATTGCAAATAGTAGTTCATCTGCCGGAAGCGCTGGATAATCTTTGCCGGCCTCTGTGGATTCCATTTACTGCGAAGACTCACAATTTGTAGTGGCCCCACCGCTTCTCCTTTCTTTCTTTTTTTTTCCATCCGTTGTTTCAAGCGCAACTCTATTCCATTTTGTGCACCTCTCTCCCCTCTCTCCCCTCTCTCTTCTCCCTCCCAACCTCCTTTACGGTCAGCTACGAGTTCATACTTCTTCGCCTTGTTCTTTTCAGTTTTCTTTTTCTCTTCCTTTGTTGCTTCGCTGTTGTGTCAATTCCCAAGCGCTCCTGCTTTCCTTTGCTCTTTCTTCTTCTGTAAGCTGCGCCTTTCCGTTTTGCACTGTCCAGTTCTGCCGTGCCTTCGTTCCACCTTTAATTCCACTACAAGGAAAAAAACAAACTCTCAGTAACTCCCTTATCCATTCGTTTCGTCCTCCCTCCCACCTTCCTTTGGAAAAGGTGTACGAGAGCAACCTTTGCAACTCAACAACCAAGAACGGTCACGAAGGAACATCCAAGATGGGGTTCACAGACTTGTTCCACCGCGAGACGCCACAGGAGAAGATGCGCAAGTACAAGCGCCAGCTTGACCGCACCTGCCGCGACCTCGACCGCGAGCGCAACAAGCTCAACGCGCAGGAGCGCAAGATCATGATTGAGATGAAGAAGATGGCGAAGCAGGACCAGGTAGACGCAGTTCGCATTATGGCACGCGACCTGGTTCGCACACGCAAGTACAGCCAAAAGATGTACCGCATGCGCACTCAAATTCAGGGTGTGTCGTTGCGCATTCAGACGATGCAGTCGTCGGCGCAGATGGCGGATGCGATGAAGGGTGTGACGAAGGCGATGAAGTCGATGAACAAGCAGATGAACATCCCGGAGATGCAGAGGATCATGCGCGAGTTTGAGAAGCAGAACGAGATGATGGGGATGAAGGAGGAAATGATGAACGACGCGGTGGACGACGTCATGGACGACGATGGGATGGAGGAGGAGGAGACGGAGCAGGAGATTCAAAAAGTGATGGACGAGGCGGGGTTGGACTTCCGCACAAAGGTCGGTGTCTCCGACGCGGCGCTTCCGCAAAAGAACGTTGAGGAGCAGGGTGAGACAGACGAGCAGCTGGATGCCCGCCTCGCCGCTCTGAAGGCCTCGATGAAGTGAGAAAAGCACTTCACTGCTTTCCTCCGTTCACCGTGTTATCGCTTCCAACTCTTTATGTGTGTCTGTGGGTCTGTGTGTAGGGCACCTCGGCGGGACCGCCTCTTTCCTTCCGTTGTCTTGTGGCTTGTGCGTGTTTCCCCTCTTCCACCTTCACTGCTCTCCTTTGTTGTGTGGTTGATGTCTTCTGGTGGCTGATCGTTGTGGAGCGGCTTGTCCTTCCTTTTTATTTCCTTTCCCTTCGTTGTACCCGGCTATCATCTTTCTATATGACCTCATGTTTTTGTTGCCGAGAGCGTGTTCTTTTTTTTACTTTTCTCTTGGTTGCCTGTGAATGCGTCGGAAAGGGGGAATATGAAAACAGCACCGGTTTTTTTGTTCCTTTGTCAAGACGCGTAGGGCGGGAAACGGAGGGCAGGAAACGAGGTAGAAGGAAGAAATGAATGGCGAAGCAGGGTGTACAACGCGGATGAAAGGCACGCAATGAGAGGTGCGATCAGCATTTCTGAAAGAAGCGCGCTCAACCACTTCACCTCTACTGTTATTTGGCTTCCCTGTTAATTTCGATTGCTTTTGGTTTTATCTGTTCAATTCAAGATTCCTGTTTCTTCCTTTGTTTGCTTTCCCTTTTCTTTTCTCAGCTGCGCGCGCCGCACGGCGTACGACAAACCATGCGTCTTTGAGCACTCTGTTGGCGAGTACAAATTCTTCTTGCTTTGGTGAGCGATGTCTTGTTGGTTCGAGTCGGCTCTTCTTGGGTCTTTCTGTCCTTCTCTTTCCCTGGTCCTTGGGTGTTTGGCGCACCTAATCAGGAGTCCGTTCTTCTTGCTCTCTTCTTCGTGTTTTTTTTTCTCTGTCTGTCACACTTGGTGGACGTGCTGCCGCTCCAGGCACGAATGGCGTGAACACTCCGCTCAGCGGGGAGTGTACTTCGTAGACGGAATGAAAACACAACACGAACGCAGGATGACATCGGCTCCACAGCATTCGACACTCTTCTCCAAGTCCGTTGGCTTCCTTGTGTGTGTGTGTGCGTGTGTCCTCAACGGCGTTCAATCTGATGCCAACAAACTTGCAAGCGTGAAGACGAGAAGAAGACGCATCGACGAAACAAGGGAGCTGCGTTATCGGTACCCAAAAAGAAGAAGAAAACGGCTGTGAGAAAACAACTCACAAATGTGGTGGTGAACGGTGATGTACGGCCGCTGCAAGACGTCGTAAGGTGCAACAGGACGTAGAAGTTAATGGGAAAAAACGTGCCAATGTGGTCGCATCTTTGAAAACGACTCAGTCGCCGTTCCCGTTGTGAGACACATTGCTAATATAATATGTGTGGCTGCTTGACTTCCATCAAGTGTGGCTTGCTGCTCCACCACCGTCTCGGTTGACTGTTGCCTCCCGAATGCAGTGCGACGAAGCCGCCTTCTTGGCGTTCACTCGATCCAAAGATGGCCCTCTGCTCAGCCTCGCATTTGGTGGCCGGAGAAATCTCTTCCCATTACCTTTTGTCCCTTCCCCCCCCCCTTCGTGTTCTCTTCTTCTGTAAACGCGCCTGCGTTTCTTGTTTGCGCTTCCTTGCGTGTGTGTGGTGCATGTCTCCGACACCAGCTAGTTTTCCCAGCGCGTCGCCAGCAGGATTTGTCGCCGGCGACGAGGTCGAGAAGCCTTTTTTAAGTATTTCTTTTTGTTTTTCTTTTGTATCATTTCCACCCGTTTCTCCGGTCCGTTTGGCTTCACCCCATAACAACGTGAACACAGAGTTCTTTGCCTTCCCCGCAGCCATGAGTTCCTCTGCTGTTCTCGATGTGGAGAAGAGGTGGTTTATGGTGGCGCTGCCGCTGCGCACCTGCAGTCTGCGCGACGTGGCCACCACCACCGTGACGAAGGAGCAGATGGACGCCTTCTACCAGGAGGCGCAGACCATCCTCGACGAGGAGGCGAAGGCGGCACAGATGGACCGCGGCCGGTGGTACAACGCGCAGTTCATTAGCCGCGGTACCACGTCCGATAAGATCGCCTCTGCCGCCGTGAAGCTCGCAGACACGGACTTCATGTTTTACCTTGATGGCTTCACGCTGCTCTTTGACACGGCGCGGACGGACACGCACCACTACGAAGCTGCGCTGAAGGCGCTGGCGGCGGTGTGGCCCAAGCTGCTGCCGCCACGCCCGCTGAAGCGCTTCGTGACGCAGTACTTTGCCACCCTCCCCACCGAGGAGACGGCGCGCAAGAAGACGCTCGTGTACTGGTACCTGGAGGACTACCTGAAGCGCACCTACTCCCAGTTTCTTTCGCTCAGCGAGTCGATGCTAAAGGACCACATCGTGCAGCGTCGTGATGCGTGGTTAGATGTGGTGGGCAAGCTGCTCTGCTCTGTGGCGGAGGGCCGCAGCACGGCGATGGCCATGATGATCGACAAACTCGGCGACCCCGTCTCCAGCGTCGCGCACAAGGCCTACCACCACCTGCTCAAGCTCCTCTCCGAGTCTTCGACCCACCAGGCGATGCTCTTTACTGAACTCGAGAAGATCATCTTCATGAAGCACTGCCCGCTGCGCACCATGCGTTACGCCGCCAACGTGATGAACCAGCTCGTGTTCAGCAAGGAAGAGCGGAAGCTGGCGGTGAAGTGCGTGCAGACCTACCTGAGCCTCTTCCGTCAGCTGGCCCTCACCGGCAACGTGGACTCCACCGTGACGACGGCCATCATCGTGGGTCTGCGCCGCGCCTTTCCGTACGCCGGCGTCGACCTCGCGCCCCTCGAGGAGCACCTCAACGCGCTCTTCATCTTGGGCAACACGGGCAGCTTCCAGCAGCGCGTCGCCACCCTCACTTTGCTGCAGCTGCTGGCCTTCAACAAGGGTACCGCTGAGGCCTTCCAGAACCGCTGGTACCGCACCCTCTACAGCCTTTTGCTGTTCTCGCCCAAGCAAATCCCGCAGTCCGCGCAGCTCACCAACTTCTTCACGCTTCTCCACAAGGCGATGCGCGCGGACAAGTCGAAGGAGCGCGTGACCGCTTTTGTGCACCGCCTGCTGCAACGCGCGATCTTCTTCAACGACGCGATGGTGTGCGCGGTGCTGCTGTTGGTGGGGGAGATGGCGCAGACACACCCGCACGTGCGCAACATGCTGAAGGCGCGTCCGAAGGGAACCGCCGTTGCCGCCGCCTCCTCTTCGCCCGCTGGTGCTACGACGGTCTCCTCGACGGCCTCGTCGACGGGCTACGACCCAAAGGCGCGTGAGCCGCTCTTCGCGAACGCCGCCGGTGAGTGCGTCTGGGCGCTGAACCTGCTTGCCCACCACTCCCACCCGTCGGTGGTGAAGCTGTCCGTGCTGCTCCTCTTTGGCGAGGACATCGTCTTCGACGTGCACCCGCTGGACGACATGACGCCGCTGAACTTCCTGAACATGTTTGTCGACGCTAAGGCGAACGCGAAGGCGGCTGAGGACGACGTGAAGGGCGGCAACACCGCCACGGGCATTGCCGTTTTCCACCGCGCGGTGCACAAGGCGAACCTGCCCAGCACGTCCGACCCGTACTTCATCAACGCCAGCGCGCAGGACGTCGACGTGGCGGCTCTCTTCCTACACCGCTACGCCGTGCAGCGCCAGCGCTTCCTGGACGGTCTGTCGCAGGTCCGCTCTACCTGGGGCGATACGAGTGGCGAGGCGGACGTGGCGCTGCGTGTGACGAACTTGGACGCCGCCCTCTTCGGTCCCTCCGGCGCGTTGGCCGATCCCGACCAAGAAGTCGGCGGCACGGCAGAGGGCAGCGCTGTGGCACCGAGGGATGGGAGGGCAGTCAAGACGAAAGCAAAGAGGGCCCCCATCGAGCGAGACGAGGACGTCCCGAGCGAGGAGGAGGACGGCGCCGAAGCGTTTGATGTGGCGGCGGACGACGCGGATCTGGACTGGGGTGCCGAGGACGAGGCCGCCTACAACGTGGAGCTCGAAGAGGACGACGAGGAGGGCATGGAGTCCGCAGACGAGGACGAGGACGACGTTTTGGGCGGTCGTGGCACGGCGGAGGCGGACGAGGGCGGCGACTTTGGCGAACTGATTGAGACGCAAAGGAAGGAGATGTCGAAGAAGCGCAAGCGTGAGATGGACTGGCTAGAGGGCCGGTCTGGTGTTGCGGGTGGTGGTGGTGGTGGTGGCCGTGGTCGTGGCTCCTACTCACAATCGTCTTCTCAGTTCCGCGGCGGCGGTCGCGGACGTGGTGGTCGCGGTGGTGGCCGCGGTGGTGCCTCTCCGTACGGCAGAGGCCGCGAGCGTGGTCGTGGTGGGTTTCAGCGCGGCGGCCGTGGTGCCTCACACCGAGGCCGCTACTGAAGCCCAGCCATGGTAGCGTGCTTTGTCGTCAACACATTGTGATTTTGCTGTGCATCTTGTGCCCCTTCTTGCGAACCACGCTCTCCACCTCGACTCTCCGCTCGCTCTTTGTGGCGTGTGAGCCAACTGTCCGCGGCGGCGCTACGGCACTCGTAATGCAGAGTTGCTCGGTCGCTCTTCTTTTCCTTTTCTGGTGATGGCCGTGCGCTTCTGCCCATTTCTTTTATCTTGCTGTGACGTTTAAGCGGCCCTGCCGGGGGCAGATTTTTACTTTCTTCTCCTCTTCTAAATCTATCACGCATAAATAATCAAACGAAGGGGGGCGGCGCTTTAAGTCAATTTTTCTTAAGAAGCAACTAAAAATGGAATAAAGATGCCGAAGCAACAAATATCAAAACACGCACGCACATACACACGGAATGCTTAACAGTGGTGGTTAAGCGCATACATGCTGGAGGGCTGTTTCTCACTGTGAGTCTGTGAGGGTCAAGCGAGTCTTCCTTTTTTTTTTCTTTCCTGCTGAATTGAGGGTGAGCACGACGCTGTGGCACCATGTCAACGGCGCTGGATGTAGTGATGTCTTTCAGCGGTGACGAGACCTGACTTTTCTCCTCTTACAGAAGGTAGGAAACACACACCTGTGAGTCGGCCACGTGATGCCTGCGGATCTGTGAGCTTTGCTTTCTCCCGTATAAGCAGTTGTGCACTTCATGTCTTGTCTCCTCTTCACGGTACATATGCTTTTTTTTTTTTGCAATGTTCTCCTTTCGGCTTTCCTCGCTCATTCCACCTCCTTTAGCAGTTTGTGACTCTGTAGGACGTCGCGGCCCCCACTCGGCAACGCCATCCACTCTTTTATTCTCCTTCCCCGAGAAAGCTGCCAAGCTATTACTGAATCTTCTACTTCTCCTCCCCGTAGTGCTCATTCATAAATGCCTCCGATGTCTGCAAATCCGGCGTCGAACGCCACCGCTGCGACGAAGCGCGCCGAGGCAGAGCAGCTGACTCGCCTCATGGCCCTCTACCGTGCCGTGTGCGTCCGCCACGACGAGCTCGGCATGGAGGTGGTGCTGAACGACATCTTGGCGTTCTTCACCAACACGCATCAGCACGAGCAAGCTGAAGCGTTTATCGCGACGTGCAACATCACCCTGCCGCACCGCGCAAACAACCAGGCTGCTCGTTACTTCTACTACGTCGGCCTCACCCGTGCTCTGCGTCTGGAGTACGTGGATGCGCACCAGTGCCTGCAGCAGGCACTGCGCAAGGCTCCTGAGCGTGCCTTTGGCTTCCGCATTGCTGCGACAAAGCTGTCGCTCGTCGTGCAGCTGCTGCTCGGCGAGATCCCCCCGCGCTCTGACTTTCTTGCAAAGGACATGCGCGAGAGCCTCGGGCCGTACCTGCAGCTCGCGTCGTGTGTGCGTTTCGGCCAGGTCGGCCGCTTCATGACCCTGCTGCGCGAGAACCAGGTCACCTTCGAGCACGACCGCACCCACTCGCTCATCCTGCGCGTGCGTCAGCATGTGATCAAGACCGGGCTGCGTCGCATCTGCCAAGCCTACAGCCGCATTAGCATCTCCGATGTGTGCTCGAAGCTGACCATGAGCAACGTGTCGGATGCCGAGTACATCCTCGCCAAGGCCATTCGCGATGGCGTGATCGACGCGGTGCTGGACAACGAAAAGGGCGAGCTCATTTCGAGCGACAGCATCGACGTCTACTCCACCTCGGAGCCGCTCTACGCGTTGCAGCGTCGAATTCAGTTCCTGAACGTCACGCACAACGACGCGAAGCGGGCGATGCGGTACGACGTGACGGACCCGGAGATTCTAGAGGAGCGCCGCAAGGAGGCGAAGGCCGAGCGCGACGAGCTCGAGCGCGCCATCCAAGACGAATCGACCGGCATGGACAACGTGAACTTCGAGGACGGTCTGTAAACAACAACAGCCAGAAGAAGAAAGTGGAAGAGCAACTGTAATCGGCGGCTTAACACGTGCCCTCTGAGCAGCGCTTTCCGGATTATGATGTGCATAAGAGGCTTTTTAGTATCTATTTTTCTTCTAGTGATGACGTACGCACGCTGCATTTTTCTCTCCCGCTCTGTTTTTTGTGCGATGCTTCGTCAAACGCAGCTTTCTCTCCCGTTCTTCGTTCTCTTTTCGGGCCCGCTGCACTTTTCGGGTCGCGTGCACTGCCTCGGGTGCTCTGCTCTCCGCCATCTTATTTTTTATTCATTTGAAAAGGAGCGCCGCGGATGTGAAGCGCAGAGATTTTGTGGTGTTGTTGTTGTTGAGGGAGTAGCAAAACGAGAAGGAGAGGGAGGCGCTAAGAAAGAAGAGCTGTTTACCGCAAAGGCGCCTCCCTGCTGCGGCGATGCGCTTTTATTGGTCAACTCGCACCGAAGAACGCTTTGCGTAACGAAGATTCCACGCCAGCGACGCCGCATCACTCCTTTTCTCCTTTTCTCCTTTTCCTCGCGGTTTTTTTTTTTGTGTGTTGTTGTATCGGTGTGCGTGCGTGTGTGCGTTCGTTGTGTGCGGCTGCGCATGTGTCATTTATTATTGACCCAGAAAACTGCAGAAGGAGAAGCATATTAAGGGTGATGCAAACGGAAACGGACACCCGTCATGCGACGACCGTGGACTCTTCCGTGCAGTCGAGAAAAAAAAAATGCTACAAACCGCCACCCCATTGTTCAAGTATGATAATGAAGACGAGGTAAATGGATGCGCTGGCATGCAAAGGAAGTGGAACGACTCACATAATACGTCCTTGAGTAGCCGTTTTATTTCCGCTGTGGATCTCAACTGGTTCTTCTGCTTTCTTTTTCCGTTGTTGTGCAAAATAGGACAGCTGCCCATTCAGTCGTGCCCGTTGCTTCTTCTGTGCTTACGACACTGCTGAGTTCTTCCTATTTCCCCACCTCTTCTGCGCCTTTTCGTTCTTGTTTTGTCCCGTCTCTTACCAACCCCCCTTGAGAACAGAGCGGAGGTGAGCAACGAGGATCTTCCTTTGTGTTTGCCCGCCGTCTGTGTGGATGTAGAATACAATTATAGCTTTTCAGCGTCGAACAACCCACAAACAGCCCGCACAGGGTTTTTTTCTTCGTCTTCTTTCTTCCCTCCCACCTGAGTAGAGAGCAGTCGCCTAGGACTTTCTCATTCTCAACTCACCACCCCACACACACGTAAGAGTTTTTTGTTGTTGTGGTTGTTGTGATACAAAGCGTTTCGCTCTCAGTGAAGTCTTTGTTCCTTCTATATTTCTATCAATCATGAGCTCACCGTCTTCGCCAAACTTGAGCCACGGCAGCGGTACGATGGGGAGCGCGAAGGAGCGCAGCTGCTCCACCAGTGCCGTCAACGTGCCCCCGAAGGCCCAGCGCGGAGGGCGGCGGTCATCGATTCTGCCGCTCTGCATGTCCCGCGACCAACATGCAGCCCTGCAAACGTCCTCGGCCTCGTCGCAGTCCGCCGGAAAGCATCGCAAGCAGCGCGGCAGTAGCGGACCGGCTGGCAAACCGCGTCAGCAGACCCCACTCGCCGGCAGCCCAACCAAGACGACTGCTGCCGCCAACAACGCCAACGGCTGGATGGCGCTGCTCGCACATCCAGAGACAAGTCAAGAAATTGCGCGCGCGTTGCAGATGTGTTCCTTGTACCCGACCCTCCGCGTCGCCGGCACGGCGTTTGAGAACTCGTTGAACGTGGCCCATCGAATGAACGCGGACACGTACGCCATGCTGTGTAGCTCACGCCGGGGAACGGACCTCAACAACGTCAGCTTTTCCGACTCCCACCGCGACGACGTGCCTCACTCACCGCGCATGAGCATCAGCGTACTCATGGAGACCTCCTCGATGCTGCGCGAGGCAGCCGACGACTGGCGCACCTCGCACGACGGCAGCGGCAGCGGCGGCGGTGGGGGTCGCAACAGTGTCCTCGCGTCCAACTCTGCTGCTGCCGACGCCGTGTCCCGCGCCATTGCGCTCAGTGGTGGCACGAAGATGGTCCAGATGGCCTGTGCGATGAAGCGGGCGGCGATGTGGGAGGTGCTTGTGGTGACGGCGCTGGCCCACCGCGTCATGGAGCTGAAGTTCCGCCGCGACCGGCTGCGCTGTGTCTTGGAGCGGCATCTGCTGCCAACGTTAATGCGGCGCAAGACGGCAACCGGGTCTGTCATTGTACAAAAGGACGACCGGATGGCGAGGCGCGGCAACAAAGACGTGAGCGACGATCCCGCTAACGCTGGAGCTTTGGCAGGCCTGGACAGCAGTGGAGCACCGCAGGGCACCTATTTGCGCGACCACGACCCCTTCTTCGCCTCCTTGAACAACTCGTCTCTCCTGCAGTCCTTTGCAGAGACGATGACGCGGCACCGTTTCCTGCCCGGCGAGGTCATCGCGCGTGCGGGTCAGCCAAGTCAAAAGGCGAAGTACTTTCTCATCTCCGGCAAGTGTGAGGTGACGAAGGGCCGCTCGGAAAGCTCGACAGATGCTGCCGAGCTAAGTGCAAGTGGCAGCGCAACAAACGCCGCCCCTAACACGCCGACCTATCGCGATGGCATGCACTCCACGAAGGCTCCTCGTTCGCGGCCGAGTGGGAGACCAGACAGCTCCGTGCTGCGGTACATGAAGGAGGTGATCATGCCAGGCTCCTCCTTCGGCGGCATCTTCGGCGGCGGCAGCAGCGCGGTCTTCGCCGAGACGTACCGCGCCCTCTCCTACTGCATCGTGTGGGAGCTGAGTGCGGAGGAGTTTGAGCAGGTCTTTCGCCCCTTTTCTGATCGCGGCATGGTGGACAAGTACAAGGAGTCCCTGCGCGCCCACAGCCTGGCGTGGCTGCAGCAGCACTACCACCCAAGCAAGGTGTTTAGTTCGATTCCGGTGTACCGCAAGCTGGCGAGCCGCAAGTCACGCTACCTCAACGACTTCACGCCGGCCGTGAAGGTTCGCGGCGAGCTGCTCTTCGCGCAGGACGACCTTCCTGGCGATGTGTACTGCTTGTTGGAGGGCACGGTGCTGCGACGGACAAAGGGAACGGCAACTGAGGACGGCGTAGCGCAGCGGATCGCCACCAACGCCTTCTCCGCTCTCCACAGCGTCGGTCGCTGTTTGCTGCTTGGGGAGGAGCCGCACCTTCTCCCGGGCGTGCAGCCGTACACGTGCACCGTGAGCAGCCGCGTCGCCCTCTTCTACAAGATCTCCGGCGAGAGCCTTGTCAGCGCGCTGCTGGACGACCCCGCCTTCTTCGCCCAGCTGCGCGAACGTCTCGTGAAGCAGCGACAGGCGAACATGGTGCTTCACCCAGACTGTCTCGCGTACGTCCCACTGCTGCAGCGCTTTCCGCCAGAGAAGCGGGCAGAGCTCGTGCAGTCTGCTTGCCCACGGGTGGTCGGCCGCTCTACCTCCCTGTGCGAGCCCGCCCAGCACCTGTCCGAATTGATGTTGGTGGTGTCGGGAGGCGTCTGTGATCCCCGTCACTACGGGCAGCGGCCGACGACGTCGCTGCCCGTGCCGGCCTCCGGCGAGACCGACGACGCAGGTGGGGTCGACGGTAGCCCTAACGGGAGTTCCACACGGCAGGTGAATGGATTATCGCACAACAAGAGCAGCAAGACCGATCGGCGTCGACGGGAGCCGGACGGGATGAGCCCGAATGGCGCTTCAGAACAGGATCTGTCGTACACGGCGGCGGCAGCGAAGCGGCACACCTTGATGGGCAACAACGGGGCGCGCTTCGCCGGGAAAAACGGAGTGAAAAGCTTGGACAGGGAGGACAGCGGCGACGAGGAGACGAACCCGCTCTCGCCGGACGCCGTCGGCTTTGATTGGAACTTCTCCATTGCGGACACCACGCTGTCCTCGACAATTGGGGGCCACACGGTGTCCAACACGTCCTTTAACTCCACCGGCACAGGCGGCGAGGCGGGCGGCCTTGCCAAGTCGCCTCGCGCGCACGCCGCCCCGCAGATGACGGCCGCGCAGCTGCACCAGAAGCTCTGCCAGACCGCCCCCATCGTGTGCCCGGATGAGTCCGAGGAGATCAACCCCCCGCTGCCGTCGCAGCCATCGCGCAGCTTCCTCTACGCTCTCGGCGGAAGCTGGGAGGCGCTGCTGCTGGAGAAGTGGCCGAACGGGTGGGAGACGACCTCGACCGTGGCGCTGTGGGCCATCCCGACGCACAAGCTGCGCCTCGTGTACAACAGCTGCGTCAAGGCAACACAGTCGTACATTCTGAACGGGCTGCGGCTTGCCCAGAAGGAGGACCAGCAGCTACCCAGCATCCCGCATACGAAGATGCCGCCCATGACGGTGTACACGCAGCGCGGAGAGGCGGTGGTGGCAGGGGCCGTCGAGACGAACAGCCAGTCAACGGGCAAGTCTTCCGTCCAGCGCCGGCATGCGAAACGGAAGCAGCCGGAGCAGCCACCACAACCACAGCAGCAGCAGCAGCAGAACCAGCAGCGCAGCCCCGCGGGATTGCTGACCTTCGCCATCCCGTCCGATGCCACCGCATCCTTTCTCAAGGCGGACGATGTGGTCATGAGCACCTCGGCGACAGGAGCGGAGGAGCAAGACCCCCTTGGCGGCTGGAAGCGGTCACAGCGCCCCGCAAAGGATAGCAGAGGTGAGAGTGGTGGTAGCAGCAACATCAATGCCGTGGTAACGCCACCGGGTGCGGGCGCAAAAGCCAGAGCAATGGCGGTGCCCGGTGCGGTGGCGAGAGACACGAACGCACGCAAGCCACAACTGCCTCCGCACGGTGCATTGCGCGATGCCGCAGCCACCACGCCGTCCGCCACCGCCTCCAAGTCGAAGTCCACCGCCGGCAGGAAAACGAACAGCGTACCGCGGAAGGAGGAGGAAGATGACTCCGCTCACGTTCGCGCAGCCGGGTACGGAAAGACGAGTGCGGGTGGCCACGCCGTGTCACGACGACGTGTAGCGCGCCAGGTGGCGGTGTCAGCCCCGTCAACGCCGATAAAGGTGACGATCGACCCGGCGGTGAAGGCGGCCTACGACGGCGTCCTCGACGCGACGAACCCGCTGATGCTGCGCATTGTGCGTGATCCGGTCGTGGCCCCGGCAGCGGGGAGCAGCAACATCAACAAACCCTCTGCGAAGCGTGCCGCCGCCCTTGCGGGGCGCAACCTCCCTCCCCTCCAAAGCGATCTGGTGGCTCCTTCTCCGGAGGCCGTCACCACCGTCAACACCACCGGCGCGTCGTCTGCCGCGTGGCCGGCCCACGCGCCGGTCCATGAGCGGTGGTTCCAGGCGGTGCCCTCCTACGAGCCGCTGCCGGGCACCGTGCGGGCGGCCGAGACGCTAGCTGCCCCGCCGGTCTTTGCACCAAACTCGACAGTCCTCGCGCTGACCGGCACTGGGTCGAGCAGCGCGCATGCGAAAATGTTGGAGAGCCACGTAGCCTACTACGCCGCCAGCGTCTCACCCGGCGTGGCGAGTACGAGGAAGCGCGGCGACGTGGCGGGGGATGTCCCCGGTGGGGTGAGCCCGCATCCGCTGCCGAAGCGGCGCGCCTACGCGGCGTGATCAGCAAAAAAAGAAGAAAAAGGAAAACACCATTCTGACATGAAGTGGAAAACAACAGAATTACATCTGCCGCACGCACGGACGCACCTTCGTCTGTGCGGCACCGACATTTCTCTTTTGCCCTTTTACGTGTTTTTTTTTGTTGGTGTCGGTCTTCCGCTCTGTACTGTTTCCATTTATTATTATTATTATTTGTATGCGTGCTTTTCATTGGTGCTCCTCAACACTGCGATGTATTTGAACCCTTGAGGTCTTACCGGCGGAGGTCAATTATGTTTTCCTCCCTTCCCCCCCCCCCTCTTGGCATGATGTATTGTTGTAGCTTCGTATGGTAACTCTCCCCCTTCCCCTTCCTCACTGTATGCTTTGGCGCTTCCTCGGTCATTTGAGTCGACGTCATCGGTTTGACAACTTCGTGGGCGCCCTTCACGAACAACACAGGAGACAGATTTATGTACAGTCTCATTCACTTTGATTCACAATCTCCCAACAGGAAATACAGGCAAGAAAAGGAACTGTTTAGCACCACGCTCACGTACCCGCCGCTCAAGGTGCTTTCCGTCACTTGTAAAAGGCTCTGAACGCCACGCAAGCGAGTGGCATTTGAAAGAGGGGAAAAGGATGATGAGCCGAGTGCTGCAACAGGTGCGTCTTAACGTAGCCATCCACTGCACAATACACGTGCTGTTCTTTACTAAAGACTGCAACACGATGCTTTTTTTTTCTTCTTCTTTCGTTTGCAAGATGCACAGCCGTGGCGTGTACCTGGAAGAAACCGGAATTAATGAACAGTGCTGACATTCAAATCACGCATTTTGGCATCTTCAACTCTTACTCTTTTTTTTTCTCTTTTTTTCTCTCTCCGTCGTTTTTGACGTTGGCTTCTGTTGCAGACAGCGTTCGGTCCGATAGAGTGCACATCCGTTTCTCTTCGACTGCATCTTCTCCTTCGTGAGGTGCTTCTTTGTCAACACACATAAATAATTTTGCGTTCGAATTAATTCGCTGCAGTTCCATCGTTTCATACACATTACGCGGTGCACTACAAGCAGCAGAATTGGGGTAGTTAGGCACAGGTGTCACAGCGTAGCCTTTCGCTCGAGTTGCCTCCTTGGTTTTCTTTTTCTCATTCACCCTTCGTTTCATTTTTGTTTCTTTGGTTTCTTCTCCACACGATGCCGGAGAGCAATTGGGCGGTGCGGGAAAACGGTGCTCGCATCGCCGACGTCTCCTCCGAGGCCGCCAACGGCGCCAACGCTGCGGCGAATCTTCTGAAGGCACACGAGGAGGCGCTTTGGCTGGCTGGGCCGGCGCCGCAGCACGTGACGCTCGCCCTCTCCGCCCAACACCCGCTGCTGCGGTACGCCGGCTGGCACGTGTGGCTCGACCTGCCCACCAACCCCAAAGTCGTCGAGATCGCATCTGGACCGTCTCTGGAGCAGCTGCGGCCCATTCTCGTCTGCGAGGCGCTGCCTGGTGCGGGGACACAGGTGTGGCAGCTGCCTCGCCCCATCCCAGCCGAGCACACGTTTGTGCGCTTTAAAATACTCGAGAGCTTCGGTCCCGGGCCAACCTACATGAACACCCTCGCACTCCTCGCGAACGACCCTGGCCCGAACTACAGCGCCAACGACGACGTACCGGCAGCGACCGCCGTCTCGCCGAGCGCAACAGTAGCGGCAGTCGGTCCGCAATACGCAAACCCCACGGCGGCCACGCCCTACGCGTCGCGCTTGCCCCTCTCGCTCTCTGGTGTCGGCACCCCGGGCGGAGCAGCGCGCAGCCCGCTGCCTCGCCACGCCACGTCCCTTGCCGCTCCACGAACGCCGCCGGCTGGCATCAACATGAGCGTTACCTCAGGCGGCAACGGTGGCGGCGGCCACTCCGATGACGGAGGTCCGTCCGACGTCGGCGTGTTTGTGAGCACCAACAGAAGGTCCGCGGCGACCTCGAATGCAGAGGAACCGCTGTCGCCCGCTGATGCGACCAACCGCGATGGCAGCTCACGAACCCGCTCGCCGCGAATGCGCAGCAACAGCCGCATGCGTCAGCTCCTGCGCGAGCTCGACAACGACATCAAGCAGCTGAAACCAATAAAGAGCGTTTCGCCTGGAAAGAACATGCTCATGTACCTCCCTCAAGACGCATCCGGCCTCGAGGCAGACAGCTTCGACGAAAACATCACACCCGATCGCAGCGGCCACCGCCGTGGCAGCAACTCGGATGGCAGCGGCTCCCAAAGGAACACCTCCGGCGATGGCAAGCACCGTCACGGTCGTCACACGGGTCACAGTGGTAGAGGAAGAGAGGGAGACGACGACGGCGGCAGCAGCGGCAAAGGGGCACGTCATCCGCACCGCGGCAGCTCTGCCACATCGGCCACCGGTGGCAACTTCCACGCAGACCCCCAACTACAGCGGGGCATGCATCCGGCCCAGATGGGCATTGCACTTTATCCGCCGTCGGCCGAAGTCGCCGGGCCACCACCGCTGCCGCCGTTAAATGCCACGTACGACGCGCGCCTCAACGCTCTAGAGCAGGCGGTCGCTGCCCTTAACGAGGCCGTCCAGCACCAACGCGACGACCTGACGATGATCAAACGGCTGCTGCTTCAGCAAGCTGTCGAGGGCCGCAAGGAGGCGGAGCAGCGCTTTGAGGAAAAGCAGCGCTACGAACGCCTGTTCAGTGTGTCAACCAATGCCACGGGAATTCCTTCGAACTCTGCGCTGCCAGCCGCTTCTCCAGCCTCGGGCTTCATGGCCGATCAGCGACTGACGCACCGCAGCATCACGGTCGACTTCCCCGAGGATACGTTGCGGGTGTTCGTGAACTCCGTACTCGATCACCGCCTCCGCAAGTACACCAAGAAGCTGGAAGCAAAGCTCCTTCAGCGGCTGGATACGCAGCTGCACGATGTTATCAAGGTGCTGTCGGCCACCGTGGACGGTCAGCTGGCAAACGTGACGAACGTCGCCGCTGCTACCGCCACCGCCGCCGCGACATCGGCCGCAGGTGCGTCCATGTCTACGCCGCGGTCGATGTACGCGGAGCAGGAGAGCACGCCGAGCCATCGAGGACGCACCTTCTCACCCGTGTCGCAGTCGTCGCGGGGGCTGCACACCTCCCGGGATGAATTTGGACACGACAACGTGGACTCCACGCCGCGTCGCGGCGGTGCTGCCTCTTCTGCGTCGTCGAAGGGGGGCGCCTCGCACACGCCGCGCTCGCAAACGGAGACCGGTGTAAGTGCGTTTCATCCTCGTGCGTGGAGTAGCAAGAGATAGCGACGATGCATCACCTGCTTCGCGCCAGAGCAGCGGAGAGGTAGAAAGAGCAAGGAGTTGTCTGCACCGACTTCTGAGAATCGTCATCCGGGGGCAGCACGAGCAACGCGTTGGAGAGCGCGCGCGCGAAACAAGTAGAGGATCACAAAGAATGTTGCTTTTTTTTTTCAGTCCCGAATTCTTCTGTACTACTACCATTGCTATTATTACATGTTCTTCTTTTTTCATAGTCCAATGCTTGTCTATCCATCACGTATCAATATCCTTCGTGGTGTATTCGAAACACTTCTGTTTTTCTCGTTGTTGCTGTCCTCTCTACAGCAAACTCTGTCTGTGACTCCCCTCCCCCCCCCGCCCG